ATCTTGTTTAATTAATTTAAGCAATTTAGGCGATATGAATAAAAGTATGGTTCACGTTAAATAGCCAAGCGATTTCAAGATGCTAAGTTTAAGACAAAATTGCATAAGACATTTATTGCCTCATCTGCTCTCCTGTGCATTTTTGCTTTTATAATTAATTGTAATTGTATTCCCTATACTGGATGTAGTTTTTCAAAATGCAAAAAGTAAAAAAGTAAGAATTTTTCATAGTCGGCGATGTGCACTTGATATCCTGGTGTTACAGCCGTTCACAGGCTACAGCAACCGTTTACTGTAGCCTGTGAACGGATAACCATCAAACGGACTGTAATGCTCGTTTTAACTAAATGATATAAAAAGACTATGGAGGCGTGGCCAATTGCTTTGCCGCCAATGATTGTCTATTTATTTGTTTTGCTGAATTTTGTCGTAAAATATACGAGCCTTAGATTGCGGGCATTACGACTAATGACAACCTTTTTCACCTGTGGTTGGCGCATTGATTTGCATGAATGTATAGGAGCCAGTTAATTTTTCGTCGGGCCGTCCGTTTGTTCGGTTTGTCTGATTATTCCAGGTTGTAACACATGTTCGTTGTTTAGTGTTTCATAACACAGACTTAATATTATATTACAACCGTGTGACATTTATTATGTACTTACATAGTAATGATCGAAGTTTCTGACAGTTCTTTTCGATTACGTTAGCATCTCTATTTAGTTTATTTGTTTGTTTAAAATTATTGTTGTTGAAAAAAAAACTACAATACTTTGTAAACCAAATGATTTAAATTAACTCTACAAAGAAACAGCTTCTTCAATAAAATGTCCGATAGGGATACTTAAAGGAGTTCAAAGAATCTTCTCTTCAAATAATTGCATTAGGTACTTAATACTTACATAAGTGTGCTTATTATTGCACCTAAGTCAGATATTTAAATACTCGCTTAGGTATTAAGTATTTCTAAATCCATAGTCTTGTTTTTTCCAACCATTTTTTTTATTTAAATTAGATGTTTATTTACTTCAACAGGTACAGGTTTATATACATATGTCCTACTACTCGTATTCAAAAAGATACTCTTCCCTGATCTTAATCACTGATCTTAATATAGGTTCTGAATTACAAAAGTTGAATAGGATAAAAATTTCCTACCTACGTATTGTAGTAATTGTAGTATCTATAACATAAAGAAATGTCATTAGGCATTTTGAGTACAACTCATTTGTGTATTATGTTTCTTTAAACAGATTCGTCACATTTAGAATCAATTTAATTCTATTAGGAAAGTGGGTTGTTTGTTCATAAAAAATATAAGTACGTTACCAACAAGAAACTTTTATTTTTTATTCTAAGTTTGAAATGTCGTTACGCACGCGTCCGTGACATCTTCAAAGCGACTGTTTTAATCAAAATTGCTTTTTTTGTATTTCCACAATAGGTAATGGTCCACAGTCAGTTCAGAAACTTAAGTAGAGTAGTGGAGTAGTTTAGTGTTGAAACGAGATTGCAATTAAAAGCAGACATGTATAAATGTCCAGCTACACGCAAATCTACATTTCTGGTCATTTGGTTGGTACGTGAGTTAACAATGGTATTATTGGTGGAACACCTACATGAGTATTGTGTAGGTACTTACATTTGTCGTGAGAAATATTTTTTAATGGGTTGCATACATATAAACTCAACTGCTACAATTACATAGGTTTTAAAGTTTTAATAATACTATACTATACTTACTATAATAAGGTACCTTACAATTATATTTACTTATCATGAAATAATAGAAATATTTAAATAGATGGTTATGTAAATTCTATCCTAAAAGAAACAAACTGAGTAGCTTATTTTAATACTTTTATTTAAAATATTACTAAGTCGGGACTAATGCTAGTGTCATATCTACCTATATTATTATAAAAGTGCCATTCATCTGTAGGTAGAGAATGTTAACACTAGTTAATTTTATTTCGATTTTATTTATTTATTTGTAATTGTATATTGTATATTACGAGAAGCTCATCAACTGTCAAGTTGTTGCCAGAGTTACAAGTCTACATGTTAGAAAGTGGTTGGACTACTCACAACCATTAATAATAATCTAAAACATTGTATATGCTGAAAGAATTCATAACCAATTCTTCAAATAAGACATAATATTTATTTCAATTATTGAATGGTTAGTTAATATCTAATTTCTGAAATAAATACATATCTATGACAGATGCAACTGTTGGTAGAGATTTGGTTTACTCCTTTGAACAGGTATCATTATCTTGTACGTAAACATTATTAATAGATATATTTATATTTTTTTATTATTTTTAACGAGTTTCTTTGAAAATAATGTTAATTTGGTCTAATGGAACGCTCCTTTAAAAGGAGAGAAAAATAAGAAAATAAAAAAAAATTGCTGTATTTTTTAAGATTACCTAAGATCACGAAATACTATATATAGTATAGTATATATAAAGCAACCTTATGCCAATTTGATCACACCCTGCAATCCTATGCAGGGTGAAATCAAAATTGAGTAATGCGTGCGTTGATTTCATCTGAGCGTTGACGCTTTCTTCGCCACAAAATGAACAACAATAGTTTTCAAGAAATATAACTCACGAGAAATTTGTAATATTTGTCCCAATATGACATAGATGTTGCGATTCAAGTTCAAATCTGCCCGTCTTTTTCTTTAAACGACTTAAAAAACGGTTCTCTATTTGACGGTACTTACCTTCATTTTTATTTGTATGTTGTACGTGGTTTATTCCGTCAATTCTCAAATAATTTTTATTTTCAAAATCTTGTAATTTCATTTCTACAATCGAGACTATTTAGGTCCCCCAAGTTAGTATTATTATAATTAATTGTCAAACAAAATTCTTTAACATACTAAAAGTAAATTATCACTCCTTACGCGTATAAGAATACGATTGCAATGAATTTTTTAAACAGTTGTGCATAATCTACAAAAGATTAGTTAATTGCAATAAAAAATAGCGAAGAACCTCATTTTAAGAATCCTAACAACTACAGCTATGGGGCTTATTAAATACTATACGCCTCATTATAGAAATTTGTTCATGTGATTGTACCTATTATATTACTTTCTAATTATCAACTGAATTCATTGTTTTGTAAATTCACTTAAAAATAGATCTAGTTCCAAAAGAAGGAAAGTCTCCATTTAGGTTATGATGTTTTGCTTATATATATTGGAAATCCTTTTTTATAATACACATACTAGCTATATCCTAATAGCTTCGCTCGTAATCATATCGTGATAGCCTATTTTTCAAATCTTACCGGTAGTTTTAAAGATCAGCGCATTCCAACAAACAAACTTTCGTAATGTTATCACAGATTTAGACGCTTATTGTAATAATAGTATAGGTAAAAATTTTATGTCATAAACAAATGTTTCCAATGTCAGAATAATCCGACCATTTAGATTCAGTATAATTTATACCCAGCTACAATTTGGACGCACAATAACAAATACACAGTTCAGTAGTTAATGAGCGACGAAATGTAAAGATAGGTAGCGTAAAATTTACTCTGTCCGTTGATTATATAAAAGAAACCACATCCTGGTTTCTTATAAATTGGCATGACAAACAAATTAACGGTCACTTATAGACATCAATAACAGCATCACATCATCATCATCATCATCAGGACATCGAAGAATACATGGCACCGCTGTTATTTTGAGGAGTAAGGTGTTATGCCTTCGAAAATGTATGAGGGGTATCATTGGCGAAACGGTATGCTCTGTTCTGTCCGTGGTACTGCTCATATCTATGGGTGGCGGTTACCACTTTCCATCAGGTAGGCTGTCAGCTAGTTTGCCATTCTAAGTTGTATAAAAAAAAAACTAAAGTATGCACCACAATATGAATAGTGTAATCATGTCCCTATACCATCCCATACGTTGCGCAATAAATAGTCCTTCGAGAAAATGTTTGGTTTCTTAAACACGCATATTATATACATAGGCAACTTCTTAACTATCAAGTTGTATGCTTGTTTGCTATTATCATAATATAATAAAAATTGTGGTTAATAAAGTGAAAACCACTGAACGAAATTCTATAAAACTTTCACTACAACGAAAGTCTAAAGTAAGTGTCTACTTGATGTAGATTAAGTAAAAATTTACTAGAAGTTTAAATTTGCTGTGACTCGCCGGAAATATAGCATTCTATCTAGTCAACATCTATTTCCTAAAGAAAATAGCAAAATAAAGTATGATACCTCTTATAGTCTCAAATACAAGAAACGTAACTCTGTTTCTCAGGATAAATTGCATACCTATGACATAATAAACACGTATGTGTAATATAACCTCAGGACATCTATTATATTTATGTCTATAAAGATGAAGACATTTACCATTTTCTACCAGGTACATCCTCATTACCAACAGTAGGTAGGTAAGGTACATTTATTAAATAATATCTATAATATAAAGTGGTAACGGCCTACCTGATGGAAAGTGGTATGTTCATAATATCCCTTATGAATTGGTTATCTTGAAAACTAAGATGGTATGTCGTCGTATCCTGTAATTTAGCTGCTACATCCTACCATTCAAATCGAAACAGCGATGCAGACTGCAGTTTAACGATACACATAATATTCATTTATATGTATATATATATATATATATATATATATATATATATATATATATATATATATATATATATATATATATATATATATAAGAATGTTTTAAGAAGGCATCCCATCTCTCGAACATAAGTTGCCTTAGTTGCCTCTAACGACACCCACGAAAAAGGAAGGAGTGGTCTATTCTATACTGGGATATACAATGCGAAAGAAAATAATAATAAAGGAGACAATATAAAGTACATAAAATATAATAGTGTAAAGAAAACTAAAAATTAAACAAAACAGAAAAAGTTATTACTATTATAATAATATTGAAAAATTACTAAGGAATACTATCAATATAATTTAATCCGACAACTTACCATCATCTGCGTCTATTTCAGCAATCGGGGATACAGGCGTAACCCGAAAAACAAGTCCAATGATAAATAAATTTGCCCGGCAAATCATTATTCGTGATTCAATATTTTTCGTGAATTCACATTCGTAACTTTCGGTAGGTACCTTTTACTTTTTACAAAAATAAATTTCCCTCGTAAATTTTATTCGCGCGTGTTCATACTCGCGCAAATGCAAATCTCAAACCAACGACTGTAAATGTGCGCAAACGCTTCTATGGTCCGTAAACGACTGGTTACCGTCACAGTAACTTTAACTTAACCAGTGCCAGAACAAGCTGCGCCTCATACAGTCACAGTTATTTTATAAAGCCTGTCTATGGTTGAAAGGATTTGGAGTACAAGTTGAAATTTAGTTTATTTAAAATATTTGTTAATAATTAAAAATCATATTCCAATAAAAATATTGGATTTTTATTTTATTGAGTGACTGAAAAATATTAAAAGAGGCCAAGATTAGAATCCAGTTTTATTTTCAGTTTATTTAAATTTTACGTTGCATTGTTGTTTCTATAAATAATGAAACTATAATGTGAACGAAACTATATATGAATGAAACTGTATATAGATAAACAATTTATTAGTTAATAACAAAATGTTCTTCTTTATTTGAAATTTAATTTATACAGTTTAATTACATAAATTAATAGATAGATAGATAGATATTCTTTATTGTTTTCTCCAAAAGATTACAATAACAAACTCATTATAGATACAAACACATTACAAGAAATAATCACAATGAGAAAACAAATGGGTGACCTTATCACTAAAAGCGATTTCTTCCAGGCAACCTTTGGACGGAGAGAAGTAATTATAAACAGTTTGAAATTAAATTTATTAATTAAATTAAATGATCGATTCTATAATTTAATTGATCTAGTTTTAGATTATATAGACAGAATGTCTCCACCACAAAATGCTTATTCATACAATTTCGAAATTAATTCATGATATATATATATATATATATATATATATATATATATATATATATATATATATATATATATATATATATATATATATATATATATATATGTATGAACAATGTTAACAATTCTTATAAAAAAAATATGTCAAATACACTTTTATTCTACGTACCTAACCTTAGAAAAAGAAATTTCAAAATTTACAAATGAAGCCCTTTCATATGCCACCACACTTGGACTAGTAAGTCAATTTTAAAATTTTTACCCCCTAAATAAAGAAAATAAAAATATTTTTTTCAATTATTTCCATTGCAATATGTACAGATCAAAGATATGTAAAACTATCCTAAATTTTAAATCGATAGTATTAGTAGTTTCTGAGATATAGCGTTGTGAGAGATGGACGGAAAAATGGACGGATGACAAAAGTCTCACCACCTTATCTATTTGTGAAACTTATTAGTGTCTTAGTTTATAATCCTAAACTATATCTGTTTACCCTAGTGTAGTCCTGGTTTTCCGGTAAATAAATAAATAAGAGTTCCATTGTACCTTTTTGGTGCAGAACCCTAAAAATGTATCTTGAGATGTCCTTTATATATACAAGACAACTTGCTCAAATAATAGTTCTTCAGTTTTGTTTTAAAACCAGCCGTACATTTTATATTTCTAGTAAACGTCAGCTGAAGGCCCTCAGAAGACCTAAGATTAAAAGGTCACATGCGCAGTAAATTAAAACCCGCCCTAGCGATCAGTATAGAGCGCAAAGCAAAATATCAACATATGATTCCCGAAAAATGTGTTCATTGTGAATGAAGTTAAAAATGTGAAATATAAAATTAATAATTTTTCATTTACAATGGGGAATCAATTCAAGAACGTGGCTGTTATAGCTTGCTTGAAGACATTTTTGTTTGTATTCAATGTTGTGTTTTGGGTACGTACCTATTACTAAACAATACTTGTTTACTTGAGTGTATTAAATTCAATCTTTTCATTTATTACCTGATTATTCAGAAAGCATTTACATATCGAAAATCAATAAAAATGTTACATATTTTTTAATTTTAATTTACTTACCATTTTATACAATTACAAGTAGCAGCAAATAGCACCTGTTGTTTAACAATTACTGAGATAGATTCTGTGAAAACAATGTTACTATGAAATTAGCTGTCCAGGCAATTTTATCAAATGCGAACTCGTTCTCTTTTTGACATGCTATTCGAGGATTATACTAAGTAAAAATCTGAAAAAAAAAACTGAATTCCGTATTAATTATTTTTTATTGATGAGACGCAAATGGAATTGTAGCTAAACCTTGCCTTATACGATTGCGAGGTATATGTCGGTTTTTTTATGTATGATAATGGAATGGTTACTCCGCCTGCGCTATCGGTATACGCTGGCGCGACACCAGTGATAGATGATAGGTGAGGATGAAAGCATGTCAGTTAGCCCTTCGTGACGAATTTCACAAGAATTCACCGCAATAGTTTCCAGAGGAACCACGTGGAGGTCGACCTGATAGGGTATGTTGTTAATAATGGGGCTGTTAGATTATCCCATTATTAACAATCCCTTCCCCCCGATATCTATCGGTGGGCCCATCGCAACTAATTTACCAGAAATTAATTACAGTGGTTTCCATCCAAGAAGGACCGCGTTGAGATCGACGTAATAGAGATTATTGCTAGCAATAGGGCGATTCAAATACACTGTAACGCCTCTGAGAGCTAAGGCGTCATGGTCAAATTACAAATATAATCATAGGCGTATTTAGAGGGAACACAGGGTAGGCCGTGCCCATCCTATCCATCTGATGTCCAACACAAAATGCAAACAAAGCTTCACAAAGACATGTCTAAGTATACATATGCGCCTTTTTTAAAGACCTAGATTCCCTCTGAAAAATAAACACGCTAATGCTTATAATTTCACGGCCGAAAGTGTAGAGTTTATACTAGAAAAAAAAGTCCAACTATTAATTAAATGAGGGGAATAAATTAAATACATACAAATAGATGAAGCGAACACATCACATTAAATTTTACTAATGTCATAATAATAAGATACCTAATCTCATCAGTTTTGGCAACTATAGAAAGTAACTGCCTATTTAAAAAAAATCGTGAATTTACAGATCACGGGCATTCTACTGCTAGTGGTGGGACTCTGGGCGGAATTCGACCTATATAAATACATGGAACTATCTTCAGAGTTTTCCGGAACGGCTCCCCACGTGATGATTGGAATCGCTGGTCTGATTGTTCTCATCAGCTCTATCGCTTTTTCATGTATTATTAAAGGACAACCTGTGTTACTTTATATTGTAAGTATTATTTATATAAAATATTATTGTAACTTATATATCTATAATAAAATTGTAACTTGTAGATGCCTTATATAGATACTTAGGAGATAAAGAATACAACAAAATCTCTAGAATTAAATTATCAATTTGATATTAAGGCGAAATAATTATTGTATTAGAATTGCGTCAAAACTGCTTTACATTTCATTCGCGATGATCCATATCAAAATTGTTTAGTTGCTAAATTATCTAATAAAAATTATAATTTAAGGGCATTCTCTGTCATATCATTTTTCAACCAACTTCAAAAATAAGAAGACTTTTTGGTTGTATTTTTTTATGTATGTTACCTCATAACTCCGTTAGTAACCGACTTGGAAATTCTTTTTACTTTTTCAGGTAGAATAGAATCTGTAAACATATCTATTCGGATATGATTACAGATTAGTCCCATAGAAATTTTCATTCAAAATAAATATCACAAATGAATTCGAGTTTTTTATGGGGAACAATCTAATTGTCTCTCCGTATGTTTGTTCCGGCATCACAAAAACTATAGCACCAAATTGGATGCGGTTTTCAGCGCTCTACTACCCACCTATTAGTCACCAAACAACTTACTTGCATGCTCCAATATTACCGGTCACCATAACACCAAGAATAAATCCTTCTTGGAACTTAACTTTACAATTAAAAATTTAGGAAAATTGAAAACCTTATTTTTAAAGTTTCTTAAAAATTTAAGCTGATGTTGTATCTCCTTCTTAGTATGGTGGATTCCTAGCATGCATATTCATGATGGACGCAGGTGTTGGCGCATCAGTGGCATGCTACCGAGACACTTTTGCAAAGGGCCTGTATGATGGATTGACACAAACTCTCATTTCCCAAAATCCACAAAAAACCAACTTCGATTTGGCACAATCGACGGTAGGTACACAACCAGAATAACTATCTGTGTGTGCAATTATACTTAGTAAATTAGCAAGGTTTGATTAGAAAACTGCAACCTATAAATACAATCCCATTTGTACTATCCTACTAGTTATTATACTTGTACTAATCATAAGTGGGCCAAAACCATAGATTATTATTATATATACTAAGAGGTAGAACCATAGGCGTGCCTAGAAATTAATTTTATAGAAAGGACAGGGAGATAACGAGAACGGATAATGTTCTCACAAAGAAAAACATGCAAACATTAAAATAGAAAAAATAAAATATTAAATAATTACATCTATTCTTCGTTTAGAGATACCCCTGCTTACGCCTTCGTAAAGATGATGTTCTCTGCTCTTTTGATCCTGAATTGTTATTGTCATATTTCTATTAAAACTATAGATAATAGGTAAATGAATGTTTCCTCTTGATAACAGTTGCATTGCTGTGGCGTGTCCAACTATACGGATTGGATGAAATTATCACCACAAAGAGTGATTCCGATCTCCTGTTGCTTAGACCCGAATCACTGCATCACAGCCAACTATAGCGACGTCTACCAAAGGGTATGCATATTACATTCTGTGATATTTAAGCCTACTTCATTAAACTTGTTATAATGTTACTGTTACAAAAATATTCTATAATTACAGGGTTGTTATGAAGTTATAGTGGAGTATTTAGAAAATAACATGGATGTATTAGTCGGCATTGCAATTGGAACTGCGTTACTGCCCCTAATCGGAACAATTCTATCGTGCAGCCTTGCTAGTTATATCAAGAAATCCAAATACGACGTCATGAATTAACAACTCATTAAGGGTTCCCAAACCTTACAAAACTAATCTCTCAAATTTATGACTGCCTCTTTGACTGATTTTTAATTTATGTGTATTAATAATTACAAAAGTTACAACATTAATGTAATAGGATATATCATTCTTTAAAAACCATTAGCATCCTTTTAAGGGAGTGTTCTAAGCATAAAACAGAAAAAAGAAACAAGTTAGGAATACATCCAAAAAATTTGAGCTTTGCATACTAACATGGCGTGTTCAGCTGTTGAAATATGGGAGACTCATTTTTTTTGTTTTAAATGAGTTTATTTGAGAATAATGATTTATTCCAATAAAACATCCTAAATGCTAATGATTTTTATTTTCATTAGAAACAATGCATAAGAGTTTGTCCAGAACATTTAAATACACCTAAATGTTTATCACAAGTCAATCGCAAGCATTCTAGAATAAAAATAATTTTTATTCAAGCAATCTTAATTATAAACACTTTTGAATTTTTTCTTATAATCTCTTATCTTTCTACCTCAGCAATTCTATTATTAGTATACTAGATGATTCTACAGATCCCCGTGCTTTATTCCCGTGAATCAGAAGAAGATATAAAGTCCTATATATCTTATTTATTAAGTTATGGTTATTGCAGTTAGTCATAATAGTTAAATATATTTGTAATATCATTCCAAAATGAATATTAAAAATATATATCAATAAATGAATCATAACATATGTATTATTTTATTTTACCTATTTAAATTAACTAAAACATGAGTCATATTAACAAAATATTATATTTTTGCTTATAATAAACATAATTACATACAGTCTTATACATAATAGTCCAATTTTGCAAATGAGAATGTCAAGATTCAGAGAATCACAAAATTCTCATGACACAGAAAACTTGTCTGCAGTAGTACTATCTTGGCATGTCCATAACAATATATAAAACTACACTTCACAATACAAAATAAAACATTTTTTTATGATTTAGTCACTATCAGAACTATTCTTGTCTTCCTTAGTTTCGACAGGGACTTCTTGTTTGTAATGTCTGTACTCTGGTTTCAGTTCCCACATATTCTTATGTGGATTTTTCAAGTTATAATTACACACTTCCTTCAGTATTTCCTTCAAATATACTATAGGCTGTTTTGTTATCTAAAACGAAATTATAAACTTTTAATTTATATTTATATAAAATATATGTTCATTACAACTGTTATGTTCAAATTATTTTATATACTAAAAATTTATAAAATATTACATATATTGGCTTCAGTTTTAACTACATTTAATTATTATATTATTATTTTCTCTGTGTAATATTTTCTTGTAATTGTTTGTATTTATAATAAGTTTACTATTGTAATCTTATAGAGGAAACAAAAAAGAATATTTATCTATTTATTACATTATATTAATAAAAAAAAAAACATATTCTCAGTAATTGTAAATACCTTCTGTAAATCTTTGATGTTATAATATTGATGTTTCTCAAATGCAGCAAACAGCATATTAAGTACAGCATCTTTGTCATCACGAGCCTTTTTGCCCTCAGCCTTTTTCTTCTCTTGATACTCAATCTGTAATACCAAATTATATATAACTATGTGATAAAAGTACTAACAAGCAAAATAATGAGGTCTATTTGATGATAAATTATTTCATGGTATATGAATATCTACAAATTATTATAGATGCCAGCCAGTAACTTAAAAACAAAATTACATGTAACCTGCATTACAACACCTCTCTACTATACTATCTTTACTATCTATAATTTTATTTAAATTGTTTGCTGTCAATATACAGTTAATATATATAACAAACTTACATTATGTTTATGATCGGAGATTGGTTTGAAGTTCTGTACAATTCTATCCAATTGCTGAACTTGACGTTGGGGCATAGAAGCTTTCCTGATAGATTCTGATTTTAATCTATAGTATGTGGGATCTGCATATGGTCTACATTCCAATTTTTGTACAATACGACCTTCCATATAAAGCTTTTCTGATTCAGGTATAACAGCATCTGTGTTTGAGGCTGGAATAATAGATAAAAAATTATAACCCACCAAGTCACCCACTGATCCTAATTTCTGTTACATTAAATAAAAAACAGTACTCACGCACTACATGAGAAAATACACCTAATGATTGTCTTGTCACATTGGACACGTCAAGACGATGTTCTTTTGGTATACTCTGCTCTCCAGGATCTTTAAGACACAATACTGCCTCCGACAAGGATAGTTGAACTTGCGCCTTTTGACCAGGTACGCGAGATATTTTTAACTTTCCTACTTCGATATTTCCCGAAGCTTTATCCCATTTATTTGCTATATATTTCGGTACCTTAACAAGCCATACACCCCGGCCTGTATTTGACAAATCTAATTCACGATCAATATGAGGTACATTATTAGTATTATTCATGATATAATAAATTTATGTAGATTCCTAAAAATTCTATATATTTAATATATTGTTCTATAATACAATATTCATCAGCTAACAAACGTTAACAAATCACCAAGAGAAAGACAAATAGTTTGTAGAAAAATGTCAAAACTGAAATGTCGTATGTCAGTGTCACTGTCAGCCACTGTATTATTTAAGAGTTAGGACTACCCTTTATAAAACTAAAAAATAATCTATATACTCACCTATAACTATCAACAAATAAGTAAATGCATATTCGTAGTGTTTTATAGCTACCTTATTTATAGTTTTTAAAACTAGTCAAGTTTAAGATAAACTTATTGTGCAATTATAAGTATTGCAAACAGGACTCAGTGTTAATCTATGTTAGATCTAGAACATAGGTAGCCTCTTTAATCTGTCAAAATTGACAGTGTCAAATGTGTATTCACTGTTGTCTGTTCGCTAAGTTCGCTCGCCATAAATTTTTAGCATTTTCTTTCTTACTCACTCGTTTTGTCCACCTTAATTGTAAATCTTGCAGAAAAGATTGTATCCTTTCATTATCTTCTAAATATTCAAAGCTTTTTTAATTATATCTATGAAGCAAACAAACTACGTAAACAGTATCAAATTGAGTAGCAATAATGTTCGGGTACAGCAAAGAAGCAGTTAGAGTGAAAGTCAAGGTTTGTATTAGTATTTATGAATTACTAAACATTACAAAAGAACAAAAACATATGTTACCTACATATATATGTATTTATACTTAAATATTAATCGCATAATTTGCTATTACATATAAAAAAACAATCAATAATTTTATGGAAATTCCAATTATAAAAATACCTACATTGCGAAGACTGTTAATGAACAATAACATTTTTTTTTATTCCTTTATAGAAATGTGAAGGTAAACTTCAACCAGAACTAAGGAAGTTTTCAGTAGACCCGCAAATAACTTCACTGGAAGTATTGCAAAGTATTTTGGTAAAAGCATTTGATATCAAGTCTGATTTCACTCTATCATATAGAAGTGTGGATGATTATGGCCAAGAAATATATTTACCTCTCTTATCTGACTGGGATTTGGATGCAGCTTTTCTCAAGTGAGTAATATCAAATTAATGCTAATTGTTATGAATGCATTTAAATAAAAATATGCAAATGGAGGGACAGATTGAACAGGTACTACCTATCCAAAGTTCTTCTGTAAAAAGTATAACTAAGCATTCTCCCTACATTTTTTCCTACATCATCATACCAGCCATTAACTTTTCACTGCTGGCTTATGTTCATAAGACTACCTTAAACACTTTTGCTGATAGTTGACAGTCGGGTTGGCAACTGCAGTTAAGCTTTGAATATGTTTCAAGAGGGATGATGCTGCCCTTCCCTTGCCCTCCCTTAGTCGCATTTTATGACACCTATGGGAAAGAAGGGATCCTATTCTATGCTAGGACCACACTGCCTACAGAGTACAAAAATTATAAATAGATTTTAAATTGTATAAATTTTCTTTGTTATTTCAGGGCTCACAACATAGCTCTAACTCAAAAATGTGAACCATGTGTTCAATTAAAGGTGGATATGAAGCCATTTGCAGAAGCATCAGAGGACTGGGAGCCTCCAAATGTGAATCCAAGTGTGCCTATAATAAACCAGAACTCTTACAGAGACAATCCTACTGTAGCTCCCCCAGTGCAACAAACTGAAAAACAAGATGTACAGACGGGCTTTCAAGGGTTAATCATGAACCAGGTTATTTTACATATGTTTACTATTCCATTTCTACTAAAATACATGTTGTGTTTGAACTACATAAATTAAAAATAGTTGACATGACATCTATTAGAGTAAAGAAAAATAATAAAGATATTTTTCATACATATGAATATAATGTGCAAACTATTATAATGTATCTGGAAAATATGGATAATAGTAACAGTGTTCTTGGTCACTGTTTGCATGTGCAGTCAGCAAATAGTCATTAACATCACATATATACCACATTAAATAAGTGGTCAAGTCATTATGTGAATATATGAAATAAGATTTAGTTTTTATAAATATGACCAACTAAAATGACTATTTGGAAGAAATAGTTATAGTCAATTTTTAACTCTTACTTTTTTTCAATATAATTTGTGGATAATTCTTTATACCTACTATGCATATTTTAAACATTCTTGGCACAATCTTTATGCAACAATTAATTTAAAAATAACACTAACAGAAAGAAAAAATCTTAATAGACAATATAATAAAATCAAGTCTTTTGTTTGCTATTTATGTAAAACAAAAATAGTACATTACTGCAGCGGCCAGCAACTGAGGCATTGATGGACGAACATGCAAATGTGGGCCGAGGTGTAGCCAAGGCTTGTATAGTACTTTTCTCAAACAATGCATGGAAATCAAAAACATAATTTTACTTTTTATGTTCAGTGACTAATAATGAATAATAATAATTGTTCACGCGCCATAATATTCCTTTTTTTTTTTTTCAATAAACAGCTTTCTATTTGCAAATCAGTTTGAAATTTAAATAAAACCTTTTATTAGTTACCTCCTTGGTAGCCATGTTTCGAAGTAAAAGGTCATTCCATTTTTAAATTACAGGACATATGAGTTTACATAGTAATTTATCTGGGCGCAAAACACGACAGATATGGATTTTCATACAACTTTTGCTGGCCGCTGCCTGCATGTATCTGGCCAGTACGGCAGTTTTAATTTATCTCAAAAAAGATTGTCAAAATAATGCTCACATTTCCAAGCATGTTTGAGAAAAAAATATAACAACTTTACAAATCATGAAATAGTAAACTATATTAAAACATAATGTTAAATTCTCAGTCTACCCATCCAAAATTTTGTAAAATTCTAAAGAGATGATGTAATTGCTGAAAAATAGACAACAAGATATCCTAAATGGGCAGAGTTAATCTACTCTTCTTTTAACCTATATCTACACAAAAATCATATTTTATATATCTGTATCACAACATGTATAATATTTTATATAAAGCTCTAATTGTTTTATACATATGTTTGGAGGAAACATAGTGTAATATAAACCTTTTTCTCAGCTTATTTTCCTTGTATATTTATATACAATATATATAAATATACAAAGAATACAGAAAGTATTCATGAAAATGACACTTTATCCAAGTAACATATGTTAAAATTTATGCATATTATAAATCTGTAAGGGAACTCATTCCTTATTACAGATTTTTTCATGTATCCAAAAAAAAGTTGTACAGTTTCATGGACATTATTGTATAATAATAGATACATGCATTTTAACCCCCTTATTCATAAAAATGAAAACATTCTAAAAACCTATTTTATTAATTATTAAGATATTTTATTGTCTTTCAAATTAAGTAATTAGTACAAAAGAAAAGGACAATACACAACAATAGCTAAAATAGGTTTATGAGAAGTTTGAGAGAAAAAGGAAATTAACATATTAATACTACACTTAGGTTGAAAAAACATTTAACATGGTATCAAGAGCACTCAATCTATATGAGGACCCGAACACACCCCCACGTCCGCCACTTTCTGACATTGAATTTAGAGCTTTCTTAGATGCAGTGGGACAAATAAATAATCCAACAAAACTCCGTGAAGTCATCTACTGCGGTGGAATAGATCCTAGTCTCAGGTAAATTTCACAAAAATTGCAATTCTAATACAAAATTCTTGAACATTCTCTATTTTAATGTTTGCACAATGACTAATTTAACTCTAGTTGGTTTTGATAATGTATTAATCTTTAAAAGAATTTTAAATATTTATATATTTATGCATAAATTAAAATGACTCCAAAAATCATAATTCCTATAGCTACAGTGGATAAGGAAAATATCTACTGCACTTATTTAAAAAAACTATACTCCCCTTAGACAAATGGCAAACAAATCTATCGAGAGATACAATTTTGTTTGCATACAAATGAGAAAGACAAGACGTAGGTCATTGCTGTTTCACTCTTATTTTATGCCTGCAGTGGTGACATATCTGTCAATAAACACGTTTTGACTAGAAATTGTTTAGTTTAAAAAATTGTCATAATTGTAGGTAGGTATTCAAAATCGTTTAACATTGTTACTTTGCTTTTACACATTATCTAATGTTTGTATTTTCTTAATATAACTATTGTATATTATAATTTTAGAAAAGTCGTTTGGAAACATATTTTAAATGTTTATCCTGATGGTATGACTGGAAAAGAGAGAATGGATTATATAAAAAAGAAAGCTAATGAGTATTACAGTCTTAGAGCTCGCTGGAAAGATTGTATTCAAAAAGGAATGGTAAGTGATATAAAACTTTTTAAAAAATAATGTTAGTATCCCCTGAGAATTCGCATTTTTTTTTTTATTATAATTATTATTTTTCCTATCGCGCAATCAGCAAAAAAATGAAAGCACATTTGTTTTTATGTTAGAGAAACTGTAAAATACTTATAAATATGTTTATTGATTGAAGGTAAACGCTGACTTAACTTATGTAACTGGTATGGTACGTAAAGATGTCCTACGCACTGATAGACATCACAACTTTTATGCTGGCAGTGATGACAATCAGAATATTGCATCTCTCTTTAATATACTGACAACGTAAGTATTTTTTATTCCTTAATGTAAAATATATTCCTTTATCTGAAAAATATCCGTAATGGATGTTACATAATATTGTTCACTTTTCAGATATGCATTGAACCATCCGACAGTAAGCTATTGTCAAGGTATGTCAGATCTCGCTTCGCCCCTATTAGTAACAATGGGTGATGAAGCCCATGCATACATCTGTTTATGTGCTCTTATGACTCGTTTGTATCCTAACTTTTTATTGGATGGAGAAGCTATGACTTTAAAGTTCTCACATTTGACTGAATCGCTTCAAGTATATGACCCTGACTTCTATAATTATTTAAAATCACAACAAGCGGACGATTTATTATTTTGCTACAGGTGGCTATTATTGGAAATGAAACGCGAATTTGCTTTTGATGACGCACTCAGGATGCTCGAAGTTTTATGGGCTTCATTACCACAAAAAACCCCGGCTGTAGAATTATCTTTAAAAGAAAGAGATTTCGATCCTACCTTAGAAGTTGATGATAATCCCCCGCCAGTCAGTCCGTTAATCAAAGCTCCGCGAGAAAATGCATATACAAAAGTATGCGCTATAAGACGTCAAAGTTCCAGTTTTAGTTTAGCTAATGTAAAAGCACCAAAACTTGCTACGTGCAAACAAATGAATCATAGCCTCGATGAAAATGCAACTCGAAAAATCCTCACGAACTCTTCACTTAAACATGCTAAAGAATTCCAAAGTTTAGATGACGCTGCTTTAACACAAAAATCTAAATTAGATAAATATGAAAACAGTTACGACAAAAATAAAGAAAATATTGTAGCAAAGGACAATAAGCTACATTTACGTCAATACATGAAAAGCGTGCCTGAAGATGGAAAAGGTCTAGAAATACAGGACATCACCACAATTGAATGGTCTAGTAGCGGAAATTTAACGAATGGCATACCACATGCTGATATAAAAGGTACACCATTGGGGAGTCAAATCAGACTATTACGAGATAAAATATCTGTTCATAATAATAAATTTTCTTCTTCATTAGATAAATTAGATGACTCTACTGATACAACTAATCGTCCAAAAGTAAAAATGATAAAAAACTTAAATGAGTTCCTTAACTTTGCTACTGGAAGCAAACCTAGTATAAACAAACAAGAAAAATTATATAGAACACATTCCAATTTAGAAAATGATTCATTGAAGTATCCCAAAATCACATTAACAAAAACCTCTTTTGACGAAAATGATTTATCAGAAACTTTAAAAGATTCTAAACCAAATAAGTTAAATAAAAGCATATATTGTGAAACAAACGATGGTAGCAGCCCTGATGATTCACAGGAATACTATCCTATGACTACATCGATGACAAGAGAATTAAGACTTGAGTTAGAACACTTAGATCGTCAAGTATTTGGCCCTTCTTATGTTAACCGATGCAGTATGATATGCGATTCCCCTTCGGATTCAACTAGCTCAGATGAGAAACAAACTAATGATTGTACAGAAATCAAACAAGGTAGAATAACAACCGATACTTTAGACACGAGTACTGAAGCTACTGAGTTAATAGAATCAACAAAAAAGTCTCCCTTACTTGAAACATTAAAATCCAATGCGAGAAGTGCCGAAGATATTTATTTGTGGGAGAATCCTTTGCATAGGAACACCCCAACAACACGTACAACAGCAAGTTGTCCACAAACTCCTGACGAACAAGCAGATCTAGAATTTGATGGTGATACTGGTGAAATATTTGAAGAGCACTCTGGAAAAAAATCCATAACACCAATTCGATTACTAAGAAAAAATCAATCTCTGGAACCCCAAGATTTATGTAAAGATACTAAACATTCCAATGCTCATTCCAGTGAATCTGATTCATCTGATAAAACACTACCAGATACATCTAATAAAGAATGTTGTAAGGTTCAGCAAGGAACTACCAGTTCTTCAAGATCGCATAAGTTCTTTTCAAGTATGTCTCAAGAACTCGAAAATGCAAAAAGAAATTGTGAATCTCTTCTGAATGCTAAACAATCAAATTTACAAAGTGTTGCATCAACTATTAATAATTTTCAAAAGAAATATGAAGCCCTAAAACCGCCTATACAAAAAAATGTTACTGTGAATACCAGCAACAACGACAATATACCCAAATTTACAATTAGCAATCTTCCTCCTCCTTCTGTATTTGGAGGAGGAAATCCTTTCCTAATGTTTCTTTGTTTAACTGTCTTGTTACAGCATAGGGATTATATTATGAGAAATCGTATGGATTATAATGAATTAGCAATGCATTTTGACAAAATGGTTCGAAAACATAATGTAAACAGGGTACTAAATCAAGCGCGCCAGATGTTTGCTATTTACATGAAACAACAAGCTCATAAGACTGGTGACGTGACTACTTGAGTTACTAATTAGTTTTATAAGATATTAAGATCTCTTGTAATGATTTTATTGCTCATGAAACTCTATTTTAATAGTTAATTAATTTTGAATTATAATACTGGTAGAATAAGTGCATCATCTCTCCATCACAAAGTCATCTTCATAACTGAGAAAACATGTCGAAGTATTATTTGTTCACAAATTTTAAGTACGTAATTTTGCTATTAAATATCTATTAGATGTATTACTTATGTTTACACTACTCATAGTGTAATCATTAGAGGGTCCATTGTCCCAAATATTAAAACAAGTTTTACCTTATTCCAAAGATCTATATTATGTAACTTATTTGTGATATTTTTTATAGTTACTAGATTTATTTTTGTAATAATTGTAATTTATAATTTCTAGTTATTAATTTAAACCTAAAATAATTTAGCACACACTATCAAACATAATATATATATATATATATATATATATATATATATATATATATATATATATATATATATATATATATATATATATATATTGTAATTGTAAATGAAATTGCGCACCAATTTCCTAAAATTTTTCATGATCACACGCAAATAAATTAAATAGGAAGTTCGCCAATTTATTTTATGTATTTTTTATTAAGTTCACTGAGAATACAAATAGCGAGATAACAGACATTCAACTAAGCATTTAATTATTGCATTGAAATTAGATTGCAGTGTTTGGTGAAATAATATAAACTGCTTACTCTGCAGACTGTAAGTTCTTACGTAAAAACTGTACATAAAAATCTTGACAGAGAACAATCGAAGTAAAATATCCAAATTCTAGTTAATTATGCCTATTTCAGTATATTTAATAATTATATTAAATTAAAACAATTCCTACTATAGGCACAAGCATAGATGTATCATATGTTTCTGTCGAAAACACAAGTAATCTATTTCTCAATATCCTGCAGTCTGTACATCATCCTATATAATGATTATTTTTAACTCCAATTGTGTACAGTATTAAAAAAATAAATGTAAAATTTGTCCTACCTAAATTTCTACTTTTATTTTTACTGAATCATAACTTACTATACTTATTTAAAATTGTTATTATCTTTATTATTGCAAGGTACACAACTGTTCATTTTATATTTCATGCTGCAAGTTTGTGAAAATAACGTTTGCGATCGGTAATGATGATAAGATGCATTGTTTATGAACTAATTAGGTGCCGCTAGTTTTCTTATAGTTCACTAGGTATGCATAGATATTTGACTGATTTGCTGCCTGCATTTATAATACAACATAGTCCTTAGTACCCATAAAGTCCAAATTAAACCAATTGACAGTTGTGACTATGGCAAGTAAACTCAGAATCGTGTAATATCGAATTTACCTATATTATCCTTTGCTGACACAGTATTTACAAAGCAATCAAATATATAATTATCTAATTTACTGTTTACTATGGATATCGTGGTGTATGTTGGCTGTGTAATCGAATGTATGAGTATTTGTATCAACCAGAGAGTGCAATTATTTGAGTAGTTTTTGTCTAGTCCTTCAAATTCTTCTTGTTAAATAACATACACATATGCGCTTGTATCAGGTAAAAGCTTGGCCTATATGGTTGTTTCTATAATCGCAACTCGATATTTATCTACAACTATAATCAACAGTGATTATTATAAAATGGAATTTTTGGTCTGTAAATAAAATATTACATGATATTACATACATGTTTTTCTTTGTATTATTCTTTCTTATAGGTGGTTGCCATCATGCACGGGGTGATCTCCAATTTATTGTGTATTAGCGATCCGTCCCGGTTTCCCACAAGTGCATTATTTTCGCGCCCTTCACCTTACCGCGCCCCGTCTACTATTCCCGCACGGCCAGCGGCAGCGACAACAATAATTTTACGGACTTATTGTTTTTATTTTGTATTATCTTCTGACCAACTGCATCAATTAAAATACTGTAAAAAGTAAACATTATCTCCATAAAGTTTCTATTTTGATTTAGCCATTTTTTTTTATAAATTTAATATTATAAAATTTATTTTACATTTAACATAAAAACCATTTTTTTGGCTGAAATATTAAACTTAGATTATTTTTGCAGATTTTTATAAATCTAAATGTAATGAATATTTTTGCTATAGATTTTATTCCTTTATTTCAAACTGCTCAGACAGTGTACGCCATATTATAGAATTTCTGCCGTCTTCAATTACGATTATTGTGATTAATTATTGAAAGTATATATTTAGTATAGTATATTTAGTAGTAAAGTTTATATATATATTAACAGTGAAAGGATTTTCGAAATCGGATCATGAATCGAAAGACTCTCAATATTCGAGAGTACCTCGAACATCCATACTCACAAATTCACCTCTTTATCAGTGCGTGTACGATGCGTAGAAAAACTACATTCACAGTCACACATATGTGACATCATACTCTACCACTTCGTAGATTCTTATTACCGCGTACGGACTCGTCAAGTTATATTTCAAAGTGGTGACAATTAGTACAAAAGGTGAGACTATGATTTGTTATTATATAAACCACAATATCACATTTATTTAGTTACAAATGTTTATCATCAATATTCATTATTTACCTCATAAATACGCACATACCTACTAATGTGTTTGCAATCACTGGTAGAGAACACAATCTAATGTCAAGTCCGCCAATATTTATAGTGCACTAAAGTTTAAATAAATATATGCACTTGTTATTTTTGTCTTTTTTAATGAAACAACGAAATAAAACTTATTAATTTATTAATGTCTAAAATTAACAATATGAATTTTTAACAAAAGAAAAATACATGAAACTTAAAAACTACGCATTAATATCACAAGTCTTCCAAATGGGAGAAACAAAGCACGTTGAATTTTTGCTTTTTCCACGCCTCATAATTTAGGTACCTACGTGCCTATATGCGAAGTATATGAAACATCTTTAAATAATGGTCTAAATGAGGGTTGCAAATTATTTCCTTTTGTTGCCTCCAGCACCAGACAGTATCATGGCGATGCGCATAAAAATATTAAGTACGTCTAGATACACTGAGATGGCCCTGTAACAAATAAAAGTTAATAATAGACGATATTTTCAACTTTTTTATTGGTTTGTTAGAAATTACGATCTAATAGTAAAAGAAAACAGAACATGCCCTCAAGTGCTCGCATAAGAAAGAACATGACATCCGAAGTTGCCATCTCATTCTATCCCACAGATTAGCGATAACGATTCTATCGATAAATTTGTTTGCCACTTGTTTTGCGGACCTAACCATGAAAAGATATTATTGTACCTATATTTTATCGATCAGCACTTCATAAATTAATATTCTTGTTTCTAGTCTGTTGATAAATAATAGACTCTTGATTAATCCTCTGACCGCATTTTTTTTTTCACAACAATAAAACACATCGCTTTAACAACAAATTGCAGTACGAGTATTTAGCCATCTAAAGAGATACTGAGAATATCAATCTATCAAAACAATAGTTGCGGGATAACAACGCCAATAAGCATAAAAAATGCGAGCACGTCAAAATCGCGGGATGCGTAAAATTAAACTACTAGATACTGCACGCGAAAATTGCGAGATGCCCAGTCAGAGGGTTAATATTATATGGTATTTTCAACCTAGTTTATACTGTAATTAGTTTAACCTGTTGATATCAATAAAAAAGGTTATTTGAAAAAAGCTAAAATTTGTTCTAGGTATACTTATGCAACTTATAAATAAAAAAGCAATATTAACAACACGGAAATTTCATTTGAAACTACTTACGAATTAATTGGATCGTAACGCTGGAATCCATATGCTGGGTGCACCTCTGCTCGTTTGATTATGGCTTGGGTGTCGTATAGCAAAAATCCGCTGAATACAATCAATCCACCATACAAACTCAAAGAATATAGACCTGAAATGACAGTATAAATATATTGATGTATATATATTATAAAAACATATAAATAAAAAAAATAGTAAAAGCCAATATTTGCAAATTTACAACTTCCAATTTTCCATCAAATGTTAATATATAAAACATCCCGTGTTACGATGTTTGATAAAATGAAAAATGTGGTTTGAGTTTTTTTTTTAAGAGGTTTGTTTGAATCGAAGCGTTTGGCGTTCCATTATTTCTGCCTACCCTAATGAGAGACAGGCGTGACAGATATGTATGTATGTATGTAAATAAAAATACTGGCAACATAACACTTTAGGCCTTCTTCAGGAATGACATCACATTAAAGCATAGTGCTCCTAGTACACGGTGATCACAGTATATTCCGAAATAATAATAACGTTCATTTATCTCACATCTTTTTTGAGTACAATGAAACACTTAAATTAATGTGTTCGTGGCTTTAAATAATGATTACCACTTTCCATCAGATGCGCTATAAACTTTGTATACGATTCCAAATTGCATATAAAGTGATCCTGGAATCAACTTAGTATGCGAATAGATTTTATGAGTTGTAGCCAATATGCCAAAATGACGACAGTACTCGTAGGTTCCAAGTCTATTAATCTTAGCCCACTCTTTTTAATAAATTATTTTTATAAGGTGGTTGTTTAACTCACCTGCGCCTAGTGCAGATGTAGGTGGCAAAAACATTCCAGCTAGAGATGCAGCAAATACCGCGCCCAGACCCATTGCGAGAGGCGCTCGCATGTTGAGAAATTCACCTGATGGCGCGCAAATAGCAATCGTACTCAGACCGCCAACAACACCGGCGGTATACCTGCAAGAAAATCATCAATATAGCATTAATATTACATTAATGAAACCATCGATAAAAGGTACCGGATAAAGGAATCGCCCATAGGTGTATTTGGCAGGATCCGTCTCCACATCTAAATTATCTGCTATAAAAATGGCTATGAATATGACGATGATAATATACACATAGATAGATATATATTATATCTAAATATATGGGTCTTTTTTAAAAGGCCAGCCCCCCACTCCCCCCAATCGATCTTAAATACGCCGATGGGAATCGCTATACAACTTAAGAAGTTGAAGAAGTTTAACTCAACAAGTTAAAATCTACTATTATGTACAGAAATTAATAATAATTATTATTATTATTAGAAAAACAACAAACAAAACTAGATATATTATTAATTTACTAAATCTTACCACGCAGCTCGCATAAGTACGGGTCCACCAAGGAAACAGATTGGTGCAATAACAGCTCCCATGATACCAGTGTGAACAATCCATGCTAACTGCTTGGCTCCAAAGCCGGGTTGGTAGTCCATTCCCCTCACTACCATGCCCGAGCCAATCATCAGACCCAGCGTCATTATGATGGACTACAATATAAGATACATTTATTTTTACACCAGATAATCATAATGGTGCAAATTACATATACAAAATATACATAGGTTACATTTTATTATCTAATAATTTAAAATTATCGAATAAGAGGTGTATATTTTTCAATATCTGTAAATGTTTCCTACTAATAAATGTGAAAGTTTGTATGTTTGTTACTTAATCACAGCCTAAACTAAAAGATCGTATTTGAATGAATATTAGTACACGGGTAGGTTGTCTTAACACAGGATACTTATGTACATGCTGGTAAAGGGGGGAAAGGGATTGTTAGCAATGGAGTTTGACAGCCCCATTGCTAGCAATATACCCTATCAGGTCAACCTCCACGTGGTTCCCCCTGGAAACCATCGTGAACAATTCTTGTTGAATTCGTCACGATGGGCTAACTGACCTGCTTCATCCTCACCTATCATCCTTCACTGGTGACCCGCCAGCGTATCCTGATAGCGTAGGCGGGGTCACCATTCCATTATTACCCATTAAAAAAAAAAATACATGTTGGTAAAACCGCAAGAAATAGCTAGTATTTTTAAAGATTATATTATTTACTCATATCTCATATTGTCCAACTGACAACCACATGAATACACTGACGTGTATGTTTCTCTCACATGTTGCTCTTTCTGAAGATTTTATTTGTTTTTTTATTTGACTTAAACTATATGTCATTTAGTGTGTTCGTTTCATTACAACGCACACTTTGCGCCATAAACGAGTTAACAAAATGCCTTACTACAATCCCTATCCTACATAAAATTATTATAATTAACTAACCATCCATCCATTACGCGCAACTAAATTCAGTAATGCCGGTGTTCTGAATACGGCAACAGCACTCCCAGCGGTGATTACTAATGATCCAGCTATATAGCCATATGTTGCCTTAATTCTGTCTTTCACATATTGCGGCCACAAACTATAAAAAAAAAATATAATTTTGCCATATACTGTAATTAATAATAATACAAAAAAAATCCTATCATTTACTTATTATAACACCCTGTTGTATCTACTATGCATTTTTTATTTATGAAAATAATGTTATACTTAACAAAAATTGGCCCATGTTTACATCATTCATTATCATAAAGTTAATCAATCATAATATTTTATCAGTAGCTCATTGACTCATCATTGTATCATTGCAAACATTTTTTTTACCCGCCTGATAAATATAAAGAGAACATCTCTGTTAGCATTTCAACCGAGGATATAGGATCTGTTAACCAAGGATTTTGAAATAAATTATGGAATTAATAATAATAATACCCAAGAAATAATTAACATATATTTCACTCTGTAAAAGTTTTAATTTCACAAAAGAAAGAAAAAACTTTTATTATCATAAGATTAATATCGACCTGGGAGTATAAGCTAACAATTACAAAAAGAATGGAAGAATAATCAGATAACATGTCTAGCAACTAAAGAATGTAAAAATATTGAGATCCTTCTCCTTATAATAATTGCACTACTGACCTAGCCATATCTTCAGTTTTTGCTACACCAGTGGTGCCGCCACTATGATGTCATGAGAAAGGGCCAAAGCTAATTAAAGTAAAGCTCTAAGAGAATAATTATTAATAAAAGGGTCTAACAGCCCCATTACAAGTGTTCCATCCTGTCAGATAAACCTCCACATAGTTTACATTAGAAACCATTGTGGTTAATTCTTATCAAATTTCTTATGATGGGCTAACTTGCTTTTATCCCCACCTATCATCTCTCATTGGAGCCCCGCCGACATATACTGGTAGTATGGTAAAGTTACCATAACATTGTCATCCACTAAAGAAAAAACTAAAGCTTTAAAAGACAGACAATGCCAGTCTATTTATTAACTTATGTCTTATCATTTCTCAATTATTTAAATTCTATTCAATTATTGCAAGAATTTAAAATTCAATTGACACAATAAAATTATCTCTCTGGACTATCAGAACTGAAAAAACTAAATTAATCTTTAATAATTTAAACTATATAAGTTAACACTTACTGTGCTTCTTGTAATGTGCCAGGTTTCACTCCTGAGCCATAGTAGCACAGAGCCACAAGGCCTACTGCTGAGGCTCCAGCAAGTGCTCCCTTACCTAAGCTGAAGGCTTAAAATAATTAAAGTTAGTTAATTATTAAATCTAAAGTGTAATTGATTTCAATCTTGACAATTCTAGAAGATCAAGTAATAAAATGGTGACTAATATAACTGTTGAAAAGTAAACACTCAAAAACATTTTTTCTTTTTCTCAACCAATATGTTGTAATTTCTTATACAATACTCCTTAATTCTCATAAGCGGCAACCTATAGAGAATTGATGAATATATATATATGATATAAATACAAATATTTGTATACAAGTATTATCATCAAATTAGTTCATATGGCATTATCTACCAGTAGACAGCAGAGAGGAATAACATAATATGGTGTCACATTGATGAGCAAATACATACAAAATCAATATTAAAACAAAACAGTAATTTAGTAACACATACAATACACATTATCTATATTATATCCATTCGTGTTTCAACTGTGAAGCAGTTGTGATTGCATGGCTGTGTTTCAGTTTGAAGGGTGGGATATGGCGTGAATTTACTGGGTACAGAGGAATAACACCTGAGTCCTCAGGAATGGCAATGCATGGGGGGTATCATGGGCGAAACAGTATACTTTGTTATGTCCATGGTACTGCTCATGTCTATAGGCGATGGTTACCACTTTCCATCAGGTGGGCCGTCAGCTTATTTGCCATTCTAAATTGAATAAAAAAAAAATTATAAATACATAATGTTGGATGAATTATAATTAGGAAATATAAAAACCAAATAAAGTATACAGACAAAGAACAAGAAACTGAAGAAACTTTACCTATTTATAACATTATAGTATAGTTAAAGTATTTAAAATAGTATTTATTACATAGCATTCAAAAATAAATTGCTTACCATTAGGACCAGCAGGAGCCATTAATTTCTCCCAGATAGTCGGCTGTGTCCTAGAAGCAACTCTGGACCGAGATTCGCGAGCATAGTTCCTAACAATATAATTCCTGGGTACGAATTGTTTTGGGACAGGAGTCTTAAGTGTATGCGTTACAGTGAACGCTGATCGAGCGATACACATTCGGGACAACATGATGCAATCTGAAAATTTTTAATGGAATAATATAGAGAAACAATAATAAATAAAAAACAATTCAACTATAATTAATGTAAGTCAATCAGGTTAGTCTTTACTTAAATAATAAATTAGTGGAGAAAACAAATAAAAACGAGTATGAAAACATTTTCAATAATCCTTACCTACAGTTAATTTTCGCAAGTAATAAAAGGTAAGAGAAAATGTAAACTGGTTAAATATTGTTTAACTTGCAGAATTACGTAGGTATTTAGAATAAAAGGTTATTTATTTTAGAAAATATTCACCAATGATCGAGAAACGTCGTTGGTATGTCGTAAAAGACAGATTACTTTCGAGAAGCAACTTTGAAAAACCAAAGAGTATATAAGTAAAACCTAAGAACAAGGAATGACATAGAAGGAATGATAAAATAAAATCTGTAAATCATATGGTTGCCTTCTTTCTTCTTATGCAGATATAATTAGTAAAAAAAGGACGAAATATAAAAATGTTATACAGCCGTATAATCCTACCAAATTCAGATACAACCTGCTTGCATAATTTCTACATAAACTGTGTCGAATATAAAATCTAGTAATATAAAATTTGTTATTGACAAATAATTGACATATCAAACATTTTCTATACACTAACCTACTATGAATTGAGCACAATACCAACTTATGGTGTATCTTACATCCTCTTTTTACTAATTATATTTGCATAGGAAGAAAGGAGGTAACCATATGATTTACAGTTTTTATTTTATCATTCCTTCTATATAATTCCTTGTTCTTAGAGTAAAACAAATAAAAGATTTCATTATTTATTTCGTAAAATGAAACACAGAGAGATAAAAAACAAAACCACACATGGATTGAACATAGACATAGTATAACGTACTTGGAATAATTACTAGTATAATCTGTATTACCTACTTACTAATAGATTGCATAATGTAATCCCAAAAACAAGACAAAATTAGTTACACTAGTGTACGAATAGATAAGTTAAATATATATGTTACCGGCCAAAGCCGATTTCAGCACAAACTAGATTTGCCTAGGCGAAACTAGTTATTCCTATACACGACAGGATTAACTAGTAAAGCCACTTTGACTTTGACTTGGACTAGCCAAACCAATTTGTCCTAAGCCCGATAGGATAAACCAGTTTAGGCTAGTCCAAATTAATTTGTCCTAATATAAATGTCCTAATTTATACCAGATCAGAATTCAACATTTGCAATCAAACTTTTTAGAGGTAGCAGATGTAAACCAAGCCTCTGAAATATTGTTAAGGACTGTAACTACGAAACATTTAGTTGGATCAGATCAAGCATTATGGTTTTAATAAAAATGATTATTTTTCCAATGACGGAGTATTTAATTCAGTTCATCTATTTATTTTGACTTTCTAGATATACTATAATGTCTAGACTAGGCCATACCAGTTTATCCTAGAGTGTGCGTATTTATATTAGGACAAATTAATTTGGACTAGCCTAAACTATTAAATATTAAATATTAAAAATTTTTATTTGGGATCCTTAGCTTAATTTACAGTTTTTTTGTAGGTTCGATAATAACTGCATTAGTCACAAAGAGACTGTGTCGCAGCTATTAACGCCCGCTCCATAACATGCGGTACAAAATTTAAATAACAATAACACAGGAGAAAATTAATAAAATTACTAGAAATAAAACTAATCAATGGATTTTGTACGAGTGTGTGTGTGTGTGTGTGTGTGTGTGTGTGTGTGTGTATGTGTGTGTGTGTGTGTGTGTGTGTGTGTGTGTGTGTGTGTTTGTGCGGGTGCGTGCGGGTGCGTGCGTGCGTGCGTGTGCGAGCATGTGTGTGTGTGTGTATGTGCATGTTTAATTTTAATAATTAAACCTTGATCAATGACTCGACATCATTATATTCAAGAGTCATTAGCCAATTAATCAATTTTATTTTGCAATCTCGTAAAGAAAGTGGATAGATTGTTAATAACATATTTATTTTATTATATAACTTGTTACTCATGTACTTATATTGACGGTTCACTACATCTAGACGACATTTATCAATTTTACAAACTTTATGAGTAATTCTTTTGTCTATAAGTAAAAAGGGATCATATGGAAGGGACTTATGTTTACGCAGTATGGACATCAGTACAAATAACTTTCTTACACTATTTACTTTCCATAGTGCGAACAGATCTTTTGTTGGATACCTGATGGGTTTAAAAGCCATAACTTTTAATACTGCTCGCTGAGCTCTTTCCAATCTTAGCATTTGCGTTTTATTAAAAGCTCCCCATGCAGTTATACAATAACCAATAATGGATTGTGCAAGTGCAAAATAGGCAGTTTTCAAAATTTTGAAATCAGCACCATTTCTCAATTTTTTAAAAACGTAAATTAGCTTTCTAACACGTGTGATTACAGATTCAATATGTCTATTCCAAGACAGCATACTATCTACAATTACACCAAGGTATTTGAAATTGTCTGTTCGTGATATAGAGAGGCAATCACAATCAGAATTACCTATGGTATTACATTTGTGTGCTAGTATTTTAAAAGATGAGTCTGGTTGGGAGATCTTATTGGGAGAAAATGTTACTAATTTGGTTTTATTTAAGTTTAGCGTTAGAAGGTTTTGTGCCAACCAGTTTGAAATAACAAACAAAGCAGATTCAGCATGAGATCGGGCCTCCGCCCAATCATGCCCATGAATTATCAAAGCTGTGTCATCGGCATATGTTATTATGTTACAATTTGGGAGGGACATTTTGCATAAATCATTGATATATATCAAAAACAAGGTAGGCCCAAGAACACTACCCTGTGGTACGCCGTAACTGACAGATTCCTCATGACTCAGGATATTATCAATAATAACACTTTGATGTCTATCACTAAGGTAACTTTGAAACAATTTTAGGGCTATACCTCGAACACCCAAGTACTGAAGTTTGGAAAGAAGGATAGGGACCGAGACAGTGTCGAATGCTTTAGATAGATCAAGGAAGATACAAAGAGACTTAAGTTTATTGTTAAAATCATCGGCAATTAAACAGTTAGTTCAAGAACCGCGTCCTCTGTTGATCTTCCAGATCTAAAACCAAACTGATTAGGAGCAAGTATGTTTTTAACATCAAGATATTGAAGCAAACGTTTATTTAGTATCTTTTCAAAGATTTTTGAAAGGGCGGACAAAACTGAAATGGGTCTATAATTATTAATGCTATCTTTATCTCCACCCTTGAAGATTGGGTGTACGATTGCTTTTTTGAAAACTTTTGGGAAGACACCACTAGAAATACATAAATTGAGAACATAATTAAGAACAGGGATTAATACATGCTTAGCAGCTTTTATTAAAGACGAGGGAATATCATCCCAACCTGTAGCAACATTATCTTTTAATCCTATTATTACTCCTTCAATTTCTTCCTTATCAGTATTTAACAAAACCATCGAGTTTGGCTCAGTTAATTCAGGCTTGTGGCTTTGGCACACACTGTTTAAACTATTGTTACATTGTATTTTTGTTGCTAGATTCTCACCAATTTGTACAAAGTATTTATTAACTGAGTTCACAGCATCAATAGGGTCTTTATGAAGCGATAAAAGTTCTTTATGACATGACAAATTTTTATTGTTTATATTAGCAAGTCTTTTAATAAGATTCCAAGTCTCCTTCGGATTCTTTTTATGTTTTTGAAATTCGACTCGTTCGTAACTACGTTTAACCTTTTTTAGCAAAGAGTTACAATATTGTTTATACCGTTTGTATATAACAATTAAAGTTTCATTATTCGGTTGATTTTTAGTTTTACGATACAAGTTATCCCTGTGTCTAATACATCTCAATAAACCTGGAGTAATCCAAGGCTTGAGATTCTTGTATTTATTAGAAACTTTTTTGTAGAGAGTATGTTTTTTAACGGCAGAAGATACAATATTGACTAATAAGTTAGATGCAGTCTCAGGATCAGAGCAATATAGTATATTAGAGAAGTCGAAATGTTCTAGTTCATTAACACAAGCCATTATATTAAATTTTCTATCTGTATGAGCATAAGTAACATTCAAAATGTCATGACCTAATTCGCAGCAATAAATTACGGGTGCATGATCAGTAACAAGAGAGTCTAAAACCAGTGTAATTGATTTTTTATTGGATCTAAGTACGACATGATCCAAGCAGCTTTGGATTCTAGTGGGAAAAAGATGCGCAGGCAACATACCGTGGGATGAAGTTAGATTTTGGTAAATATCTGAATGAGGGTCCAAGTTATTGGGTATAATATTAATGTTTAAATCGCCAATTAGAGCCACCGTAGTATGTGATCGTAGTGACAGTAGCAGTGCATCAAGAGAGTTGATAAAGTTCTCAATTTTTTTATATGCAGGCGATCTGTAAACTGCTAAGATTACTATACTTTTGGGAATTTTAATAACCAAGCAATTAGCGTTTATTAAGTTTGGTTTTTCAACTGTAGCTTCAATATTGATCCGTATATACAAAACGACGCCATCGTTTTGATTATTACAGTTTGTAGAGAAAGACCTAAATCCTCTCATCTGCGGAATATTAGGACATTTACTTAACCAACACTCAGATAGAATAAGTATGTCAAGATCAAAAGATAGTCTGTGCATTAAAATTGTAAGGTTTTCAAAATTATTAGTATTGCCGATACTCCTTATATTAACATGTAACACTTTTAAGAATCTATTTGCATTAATTAAATATTTTGCACAGTTTTCAGGGGAACAAACATATGCATTAGAAACTGCAATCAATTCTATATCCGAATTTATGCGTGATAGATCATCCATAATTTGAATTTAATATAATTACGATTGTACAAGAAACGAGAGAATTCCACAATTTGATGCAAATTAAATATAAAGACCGTCTAACATGATGGGATATATTGTAATTAAATATGAGTACGAGTATTTTTACTATTTGATATAGTGCATCGTTTTTGCAAGTGATTGTTTTTGTAGATGTCTGTATTGATATACGATGGTGTATGTTAGTGTAATGTGTAGTATTATTATAAGTCATACTCCAAGACTTTGGAACAGTGAATGTATGCTTTGTGTGTGAATGTGTGAGTATGGAAGACGTATTATTTGTTGTAAAACTGTGTATTTTCTTAGTATTACAATGAGTGGTTAGGATGATAAACAAACTAAAGACTATATAAAAGAGGAAAAACATAAATGTATGCAACAAATTCCGATAACCATAACAAATTTGTCATTGTTTTTTATCCAACTTTTGTAGATCAACTTCATCATTTATTATGTGAAAAGCAGCCCCATCCGTTTCCCGAATAAATATCTTTCCTTTTGATGACCAACAATATTTGTAACCATTACTACTTGCGAACACACGTACGAGGTAAAACAATCTTTTTTTCTTGGCTGTAAGATTTTCTGAAATAAAAACAGGCCTTGTGGGACAGCTTAGTCTTAGATTGTCAGTAGTGAGTCTGTTGCGTTCTTTATTAAATTTTTTATACATTACCATGACCTTCTCTTTCATGAGAACGCTAGTTAATTCGACTATAATGGTTTTGTTTTCCAAGTTTTTCTTGCCAATGCGAAAAACATCCTTTACATCTTGGGGTTTTATGTCCACATCTAAGATATTTCCAATATCAGTAAAAATTTTGAGTAAACTCGTCTTTGATTCAGAGTTCGCAACAGGAATATTCCTTATTTCCAGGCAAGTAGAGCAAGAGCCGCTTTCCAATTTCTCTATTTTGTCCTCTAAACTTTTAATATACTTTTGTTTCTCTATATTTTCAGATTTAAGTGTATCTATTTGAGCCAGTAATGAGATATTTTGTTGTGACAAAAACTCTATAGTATTTTGAATTTCACAATTTTGATCTTTAATTTCTTTGATTGCTTCATAAATTCTTTCATATTTTTGTTCTTGTTGTTCACGGAAATCATCAAATATTTTTTTCATGTCTGAGGTGGATAATTGGGTGTCCACTGTATCAGACCGTTTACGTTTTGGACGCCGCAATGCCATATTATTCGTGTCAGTATTTGTGTCAGAAGACACATATAAATCATGTTCCGACGAACTACGATGCAATTTTTGCAGAACCTCTAACTGAGGTTGCGATAATGCAGGCGACCGAGACGAGCGTGTAGATGTGGACGGTGGAGGCGAATGTCTTAGTGGCATATTGGTAGTATGGACGCAAACAAGTATTTGGTACAAACTTGCCCTCCCTCAATTATAAGTAGACCCTCAAGTAGCAAACTATAGTTAGAATACACTCACAGTTACTTCAACAGGTGTCATTCATTTATGTATGCGTCATCTCAAATAAGGCAAGGCAGTTGCCTCAAGTTTATGCGTTCCTAGTATTTCTTCACAATTATATCTGATTGAATAAACGGTAATCTTATTTGAGTCCAAAGGTCAATTATTTGTTTTTTGATTAATGTGAGGGTATTCGTATTTAAACGGTTTTTGTTTTCAGATATTATAATTTTCCACTATTTCACTGATTAATCACTTATGATGTTTAAATACGAAGTTTCGTATATCACTTTTTGCTGTATAATGCTCACTTAGTTGTTGTTTTCAATAATATTCTTATGATGATTCTATAGGGCAATTTAAAATTTCTTGATTTGTTTTTTACTATAAAATCATAACAATAGCAAAAAAATTGTCACAAAAATAATACCACTTATTGAATTCTATGTAATGAAGTTATTGTATACGTTTTTATTTATATGTAATATACTTTTATATTTTTTTTAATAAAATGTACGGAGCTAATGTTTACCGTGACGTGCCCTCTCTAATTGACTGGTTTATTATTTTATAAACTGGTTTATCCTATCGGGCTTAGGACAAATTGGTTTGGACTAGGCTATACTAGTTAATCCTGGGGGGAATCCTAAAAATCCCATTGCTAGCAATATACCCAACCAGGTCGACCTCCTCGCGGTTCCCCCTGGAAACTATCATGGTTAATTCCTGATGAGTTCATCATGATGGGCTAACTGGCCTGTTTTCATTCTCATCTATCACCCTTCACTGGTGCTCCGCCAGCGTATCCCGTTAGCGCAGGCGGGGCTACCATACCATTTTCATCCACCAAAAAAAAAAAATACTAGTTAATCCTATCGTGTATAGGAAGAACTAGTTTCGCCTAGGCAAAATTAGTTTATCCTGAAATCGGGTATTGGCCGGTAACATATACATATGACAATGTTGACGGTCATAACACTATCCTTAATCTATGGTCTCTAGGCTGTTAACGTTAAATTGATAAATACAGATCTTAACGTATTAAGATCTGTATTTATCAATTGTCACTTGACACATGTTTAGTTACTTGCACGTGGAGCGAATTTAAACCAAATAAATATTTGTTAAATTTTAATTCTATTAAAATTATCGTGAAAAAATAACCAAAATGAAACCTTTAGATTCATCAGGTTAAGTTTAGAAGTTATTACTAAAATCTATTATCAAAATTACTTATAATTAAGTTCCTCATTTACAATGTAAGTTTATTAATTTTATACTTGTTCGTAGACTCTGAAGAGGATTTAAATCCCGAGACTCATAAGAAGTCCCTAGAAAAATTAAAAAATATTGATCCTGATTTCTATAATTTTCTCGAAGAAAATGATGAAAACTTGTTGAATTTTGATTTGGACTCGGAGGACGATGTCTCGGACAAGAATGACGACGAGGAGTCGGTGCATGTGCCAGGGCCGCTGACTGGTGACAGCGATGAGAGCGATTTTGAGGTTTTCTGTAATTTTTATTATAGGGTTTTGTTTCCAATGGGACAATTTGTTGCTTCAGAAAAAAATAAATTTACTCTTTGGAAATGCATTAAATTTAAAATTAATAAACATCCCAGAATTTAATTGCATGGCACATTCTATTGATGGAAGCATGAAAAAGATCTATTTCTTATAGTCATTATTGCAAACAACATTAGGGAATCCCCTCACATATATATTTATATAATAATTATATACTTAATTCAGGAAGAAGATTCAAAACCAACAAAGGGTAAAATTACTCTTAAATTAGTCAAGCAGTGGCAAGCTGAACTTCAAAGTGATGGCAAAATAAAACACACAACTTTGACAACTGTTATTAAAGCTTTTAATGCAGCCATGTTGAGAGCTACCAGTGAAGATGGTACATCACAAGGAGAATTTAAAGTTGAAGGTACCTAGTATTGCTGTAAAACATGTGTTTTTAATATAATGTCAAATAACAAGTTGATTTACCAAATCTTATTTTGTTTCAGGTTCTTCGATTTTTAATGCTGTTATTCAAATGTGTGTACTTTATTTACCTACTGCTTTAAAAAAATATTTAGGCATTGAGCAATCTGGTAAAGATCCAAGAAACTGTAAGCATTTTATAAAAATTAAAGGCCCTTTGGTGGCTTATTTAAATGACTTATTGAAACTTCTCGGTGGAGTTACTTCTGAAAATATCTTGACTGTACTGCTAAAACATTTACATCAAATGTGCATTTATGTCGCATGTTTTGGGAGAATATCAAAGCAATCCTTAAAAAAATTAATAATTTTTTGGAGTACCGGTGAAGAAACAGTAAGAGTGTTGGCTTTCCTTTGCATTTTGAGGATTACAAGAAATCAACAAGCTGCTTTACTTGACCGTGTCCTTAAAGCAATGTATATGACTTATGTGAAAAATTGCAAATTTGTCAGCCCATCCACATGGCCTGGAATTAATTTTATGAGGAGGTCCTTAGTAGAAATGTTTACTTTGGATTTAAACGTTTCATATCAACATGTTTTCCTTTATATCAGGCAACTTGCAATACATTTAAGAAATGCTATTGTTGTTCAAAAAGTGGAAAATCGCCAAGCAGTGTATAATTGGCAATTTATTAACTCATTACACTTATGGGCAGATCTGTTAGGAGCAACATCAAATAAACTGCAGTTGCAACCATTGATCTACCCCCTTGTGATGATTATAACAAATACAATTAAATTGGTACCAACACATCAATATTACCCTCTAAGATTTCACTGTATTGATATTTTAATGAATTTGTCAAAAGATACCAATACATTCATTCCAATATTACCATTTATTGTAGAGGTGAGATGATATATTTATTGTCTTTTGAAATATAGTTTATTCTATGTCTATGGTCAATTATATTGTAATGTTATCCACCAGGTGCTGACTTCATATGACTTCAATAAAAAACACAAGAAAGTCTCTATGAAACCTATTGACTTCTCCTGCATACTTAGACTTGCCAAGTCACAATTAACTGAAAATGGATTCAAGGATGCTACCATAGAGAGATTGTATGCTTTACTATTGGAGTACACAGCAAATGAATCACATAATATTGCCTTCCCTGATATCAGCCTTCTAGCCATTATGCAGGTTAATTAAAATGTATTTATTATAGGGTTTCATGAAACCACATTAGCTGACTGTTGAATATATATATATATATATATATATATATATATATATATTTGAAAGGCATATTCAAAATACAGTATGTGTGAAGTGAGGCTGTAACAAATTTATTAAGTGTTCTATAGCCTTAAAAAGACCTCTTAGAGGTCATTGATTTAGTATTCGCTTATTGTGGCTGTTGTTTTTTTTTTTAGTTTGGTTTGGTTTACTTGGTTTCTCTTACCTCAATAGTTGTGAATTTGAATGTAGACAACACCAAAAAGCAACAAATTATGCTTATAACAAATTAATCAAAAAGCATAGTAGGCTCATCTCTTGCCTATTTGCCATGATAGCAATAGTTAACAAGATCCCAATAACTATTCTGTCTAGAATAATTTATTCATAACAATTAGTATGATGACACAATGATGACCCAGAATATTCTGTACTGTGTATTGCACTTTTTAATTATCATGTTTCCACTTGTGTAAAAAAATATTCTCTTAAGTAACCCAGGTAAGATGGGGGAAAGGGATTGTTAGTAATGGAGACTGAGAATCCCATTGCTAGCAATATACCCAACCAGGTCGACCTCCTCGCGGTTCCCCCTGGAAACTATCATGGTTAATTCCTGATGAATTCATCATGATGGGCTGACTGGCCTGTTTTCATTCTCATCAATCACCCTTCACTGGTGCTCCGTCAGCGTATCCCGTTAGCGCAGGCGGGGTTACCATTCTATTTTCACCCATAAAAAAACCCAGGTAAGATTAATGTAACCCACATTACATTAGAAATGTGAAATCCGAGTTATCATATTCCTTATATGTATTAAAATGATTGAAAAACTGTTATTAATATATAATATTTATTACCATACTTCTCTTTTACAGTTAAAACAATTCCTCAAAACCTGTACAGTTGCTAATTATACAAAAAAGCTAAGACAGTTGCTTGAAAAAATAGAAGAAAATGCAAAATTTATTGATTCTGAAAGATCTAAAATCAGTTTTTCATTGAAAGATGACAAAATGATTAAAGCATGGGAATCTAGTATAAAAACTAAAGGTACACCTTTGTCCATATTCTTTGACAATTGGAATAAGGTAAATAGAATACAAAAACGTAAGAAGATTACTAAAAATGATGAGATAGCTGGAGAACTGCCAATGATAAAAAGACCGAAAATTAACGAACAAAAAATAACAAAAGCAGAAAATAAAGGACCGTTGGTACTATTCCCTTCAGATAGTGAGGATGATAAAACTCAGTTTGGAGAAGAAGAAGAAACGAGCAGTCCTATAAAAGTAAAGAAAATTAAAAAGAAAAGGCAAACTAAAAAAGTAAAAAGTAATAATAAAAAGAAAACAGATGATCACGAAATGAATATCCCTGATAAGGGAGATATTGTACAGGATTTGAGTGTTAGTGATTGGTAAAAAAATATAATGATATTAAACAGATAATATTGTTTTATTGCAAAACTTGACCAATTAGAATATTCCTACCTACCCTATAATAATGTGAAAATAATACAATAGTTACTATGTTAATTTTAGTATATTTTTAAACATTATAAACATGATCAAGGAATTCCTTGAAGAAAATACGTCCAATATACATTCGGTTCCGCTGGCTCGAAACATTCTATTGTAAGGCAAGCAGTTAGTGCCTCAGTCCAACCTTGCAGTGATTTCTCACTTAGATACACAGCAATTTTTAGTTCCTGTTAATGTAATATATTTCAATAATTAATATTGACACTGAAAAAAAAAGAGTTTTTTTTTTTTTTTTTTATATATAGAGCTTTTGCAGACGACGGACTATTTTCTGCTAATAATAGATTCCCAGTTATATTAATCGAATATGCCACGAACGGGTTTCCGTTACGTATTTGGACTTACAAAAAGTATCAAGAATTGTCCCTTGTCTGTATAGATTCTATATCACAAATAGATAACAGAGATTTCTATATCACCTTTTTGCCCCTTATCGGTTCGTACAACGTCTTTACGTAAAACTCTTCTCTATCGACATATATCTTGAAGATTCTATTATCTTCAAACACGTTTTTAAATTTGATTGTAGTATATCCACCTGCCTTTATTTCGTAAGGTCCTTGAGGTTTAGGGATTGTTGTTTTACCTTTTATATTAAATCTAAAAAAATTAAGAAGTTTGTTATGATATAGTATTATGTATCATTCGCCTGGCGCCATTAGGCAACTTTATGACGCTTAAAAGTCATTGGACCTTAGAGCTCCTTTTGAATCACAGCGTTCCTTTTGGATTTCTGCACCCCCAGGTGCCGACTAACCAAAAGGTGGTACTGGACATGGCACATTTCATAATTTTACCTAATTTCTACCACACACTGAAGAATAAAACGGTGAATCATACTAGGAAAATAACCTACTATGTACATAGCTTTTAAATGTCTTTACAAAATTTCACAACAATATTCTAATGCTTTTTGCCTGCTACTTAGTACAAGTGGGTTTTAGAAGTAAGAAAACCTATAAAATAGACCACATTTAGACGCCATATCAAAATAAAATATATATCAAATTTTAAGTTAGATCTTAAAGAACATAACTGCGAATACCACAATTAAATTGAAATAGTTATTGCGTGACGCCACTAAAAACACGAAAAAAAAACAGACAAAACTTCTATAGATTATTGTTTTGACTTCTATTAATAAGGACTATTAGAGCAGTAGAATATAAATGGGCAGACTTCTTCTAGTTACAATTTTATTATACCTATTCATAATATAAGTAGGATTTGTTTATTTATATTATACCTATATGAGAGCATCATTGTCTAATGATATAGGTACCTACTAACCTGGCTTATTCGGCTTGAAGAATTTTGGGTTTAAAATGTTTTTTCATTTGTAAACCGTATACAGAAACGCAGAATATATCACTGTCGCTACTAAAAAAAAACAGTAGAAGTGACACATATAGGCACTTTCAAAGTGCAACGATACTGATAAAAATGTATTGCACTCAAGTAGAGTTATCATGTCACAAAATTAAACTCATTTAATAAATTATTTTGTATGTTGAATAAGCGGAAAAAGATTCATAGTGACCTCTCCCCAGAGTGTTACTATTTTTTTAGTGGTTGAAAACGGAACGATAACCCCGTTTGCGCTATCACACTGGCGAGTAACCAGTTAGGGATGATATCAGGTCAGTTAACCCATCGTGACGAATTTCCACAAGAATTAACCACGATGGTTTCCAGGTTAATCTGATAAGATACCTATATTTAGCTATAGGAATAGTCCTAGCAATAGGACTGACAATCCCTTTCCCCCTAGTCTCCTACTATTATGTCACATACAATTGAACACATACACGACATTGACAAAATGTCAATAATCTACAATGCACCGTGATGTGAGAATGAAGTGGGGGGGGGGGGGGGGGGATATCCAGATGATGTTGATATATATATATATATATATATATATATATATATATATATATATATATATATATATATATATATATATATTTTATTTTAGACAAATTAATTTTGTTTTTATTATTAATATTGGCTTGTAAAGTAACAACTATTTATAAAATTGAAATATCAATCATTCATCTAAAGATGACTTCGTAATTTTTACATAATATATGTAAAAATTACATGCATTAAATGCATGTTGGGAGGAGATTGCTAATAATGGAGATTAGCAATCTCATTGCTAGCAATATACATTATTAGGTCGACTTCCACGCGGTACCCTCTGGAAACTATCATGATTTATTTATTTTTGAATTCGTCAACTGACTCGTTTCATCATCATCTATCATCCCTCACTGGTGCCCCACCAGCGTATAACGATATCGCAGACGGAGTTACCATTCTATTATTATCCATAAAAAAAAGAACATCAGAATGTAGGTATTCAGCTGTTTTTTACTCGCACAATAATATTTAGATGTGGTATTTACAAAATACGACTCGATAGTAACAAAACTACGCACTCTGTGTGAGTGACTAGGCCAAAACATGTACATACTCGGTTAAATTAAAGTACATTAAATTAAATTAAAATTAACTTTGTGAAATACTTAATTAAAATTTTTATGTAAATAATTCCTCAACGTATCAAGACAAGTAAGATTAATAAAATTATGACTGAAAACGCACAACCACAGTGATTAAAAGAATAGGCGGAAGTGTCACTTCTACTTATTCCTTATTCTTCTGGTAAAATGTAGTGAAAACGGACAGAATTTTCATGATCGGCTAGTATAGTATTATATTATCTGTGCTAAAAATGAAGGAAATCATATGAATTTAGAGAAATTTCATACGATTCAATCTTAGATCTCAATAAGGTCGTAACGTGAGTTTGAATCTGGCTATGCCAAAAACTTTGTATTGATTTAAATTAATAATTAACTTTACAATGAATGACAAACCAAATTCTATTAACAAATCAAATTAGTTCCAGCGGCGCGGACATGTAATGTACGCCATCTGCCAAGTTCAAATTCAAATATTCCTACTCGGTGAAATGTGAATAGTCGATAAATACCCCAGATGTGATTTTCTTTATTTGTAATAGGATTTATATAAACTTACACATATTCTCCAGCTACTACTGAGTTAAATGATAATTTACAATTCTGTACTCCAAGCTGTGTTGGTTCAAACCAAACCAAAAATTTTCCTTTCTCGAACGGACCCAACGTATATTCTTTTTCAGCTTGTATCGACGAATGAGAAATCTAGTTAATAATTTAAAAACCAATTATAATATTGCAATTATAGTTTAAAATCTTATCATCTTAATACTTACTTTTAAAATATAACAAACTATCTCAGCAAATATTCTTCTGGTCTTTATAAGTTACTTTTATACTGACTACTAAATAAAAACCATCATATCTATCAAATAGAAGCAAACAATAAAGAATTACGAAATTTCATTAAAATCAGTTGAGCGGTTTTGGAGATTGCCTTGAACAGATACAATAACACAGTTTTTTATACGTTCGTTTAAAGTAACTATCTATTCGTATAGGTGTAACTATGGGAACCGAATATTAACAAATAAGATCAGTAGGATAATTTTCAAACTTTCACTACAGAATAAAGTAAAAAAAAGAAATTTTTAATGGCTCTATATTCACGCCAAGTCTGCGGGGTAAACTGAAAAACCGTGTTGCAAAGGCCTCTTTTATAAGACTGCTTTTACAACCTACTTACTATCCATTCACTACTCGTCTCATATATGTACACCAGTTTCGGAAACTATCAATTCTACTAGCCAGATTTAGCTTGAATGTAACTTTTATTTGGGTCAATTTCACTTACAGAACTAAAAGTGATTCACGCGGAATATAAATACTATGGCATTTAGTGCCTCGCTGTAATATCAGAAATAGAGAATTGTATGAATGTAGTTACATGCCACCTATGTTAAGCATGCCTACGCGAATGAATACCTATTTGAAAACGGCATTGTTATATTTTTACTGATCTAATCTCTGTTATGTCCATGGTACTGCTCATGTCTATTGGCGACGGTTACCACTTTCCATCATGTAGGCCGTCAGCTTGTTTGTCATTCTAAGTTGTATAAAAATAAAAAATACCATGAAATGAATTTCCGAATCGGACTTAATTTCGTGTTTTTAATCACACTGAAATCGACCTAGTAAATGGAGATTAACTTTTCGTTCTTCTTAAATCCTACCATAAAAGTTCTTAGGAACGATATTTTAACATTCTTAATATTTTTGAACAGTACGTATCTATTATGTGATTTTAACATTAAATTTGTTTCGTTCGGCCCCGAAATCTCGGAAAACATTTCTTGGTAGGCCCTTAGATCTCCATACTCTGTGTATTGCGAATGACAAGAGATGGAATATTAAAAAAAAAGAACAATCGTTATAATCATTACCGAAGTCGCAAAGTCAGCTCTAACGTCAGTGTTGTTCTGTACTCGGAGTCTCAGTGGAATGCACGTGCCGAAAGCAGTAGTATACTCTAAGTTCTTTTCCTTAGCTGGTAGACACGTTAGCACAACTTTGTATAAATATGATCCTACCAGCTGATTATTCACTTCCAAATAATCTTCAATAGTGCCAACCACTAACGGGGCATATGTCAACGTCAATATTGCCTGAAAAAAAATCAGTATCAGTTCATTGAACTTAGTCGCTAACGTAGTCATAACGTAAACTTTTCAATAATTCACACTAGTCACCTGACAATAGGAGCAAGAATAAAATCGGTTAGGTACACGACTGATATTGTTTATTTTTTAATGGATGATAATGGAATGGTGATTCCGCCGTCGCTACCAGTATACCCCGGTGGGGCAGTAGTGATAAGTGAAAATGAAAGAGCAGACCGGTTAACCCATCGTGATAAATACAGTATTCCGTATATCCGTATTACGAACAATCCCTCCTGTAACCCCCCCAACTGGTATTGTTTCATAGTGACAGAATCAATTGTAGATCAAGAGTTTATAATGACTCTCATTCGGGAAGAACAACGTTCTACATTATATCTACTTATTTAAATATATATCGCCGTGTAGTCCCGGTATACAATAGGTCACCCCTTCTTTTGCCGTGGGTGTGGTAAGAGACGACTTAGGGAGGGCGAGAGATGGGCAGCAGCGTCCCTCTTAAAACATCTCTAAAAGCTTAACTGCGTTTACCAACCCGCCTGCCAAGCGTGGTAACTACTGGCCAAACTCCCCTTATGGGGAAGGCTTATGTTCAGCAGTGAACAGTTAACAGCTTATATAATAAAAAAATTAAATACATTTACCTCTGAATTTCTATGAATCCTTAAAAATTCAGGACATTTTAATTTATCGCATCTTATACGGAAGTCAGCATCTTGAGCCAGTGGATTGGTAACTATTAATTCTCTCTGTGTTACCTCACGAGCACGGGACACGAACGTGAGTGTATCCACGATTTTGCTGGCCGTAACAGTGGCTACGATGTTGTAGAATTGATATTCTCGAGTTATCTCGTTTATAAAGATAACCTAAAAAAAGATATACGAAAATTTATAATATAATAAAATAATATCGCGTAGGTATGTATATTAATCGTCTGAGGGTTAAAAGCAACGAACTTTTAAATGCATTTCACATTCATTGTAGCAAACGAATGTCCATCGACAAGTGGCGGCAGCTTCTCCCCACACTTTAATACTGTCCGGGTATTTTAATTCATAATACCCTTCAAATTTATCCGGAATGATCCTCACAATTTCCGTGGTGACAATATACGTCTCTGGAATCTATAAAATATCATTGAATCAAACATTATATTCGTAGACAATGGTTAAAAGTTATCCACGTATACAAAGCAGGGTATAAGTGACGGTATGAAAACATTCGAGTTCACTATAGAGTTTGCAATCCACTAAGGTAGCATTTGGCTGCAAATTCTTCAACAGCCTCACTTATTAGAAGTTTATTTGAACATATTTATTAAAAATAATATCTATTAATCTGATCTTTACGTCTTAAGAAGATAAAATAGCGGGAAATTTATAACTATTAGGTAACTTTAAACTAAAGTAATGTAATGTATTTTATACATAAGATATATTTCTTTTGCATTTCTTATTATGAAAAATATATGATTAACACTTGATTACAGGTGTTTAGCCGCAATTTCATCCACATGACCGGCATATGTTAATTAACTAAAATAAAAAATAGTCTATATCCTTCTCCATACCAAGTAGGTACTACGTGTGTACTAAATGTAATATAATTAATTATATTAAATTTAGTACACACGTTGTATAAAGGTAACAAGCAAACCAATTCACTTTCACATCTAAACTAAATAACGATGAAAAGTTTTATTTTTTGTTTGTAATGGATAATCTCGAAACATACTTAACCGATTTTAAAAATGCTATCCCTTAAAAAAGTTACACTATCAGTGAGTAACCTGGACTACATTTTATTAAAAAAAAAACTCGTGCGCATTTAAAATATTAGTACGAACATATATTTTTCATTAGCTTTATCCAACAGCGTCCATGTGAATCAGTATATATATAAAGTAGGTATATTATTTGTTAAGTAAATACACTTCAAAACCATTCGATAATTTTTGCGTAAAAGACTAACAAACATCCATCCACTCACAAACTTTCGCATTTATAATAGTACCTTATAGGATTTTTTTATGGGTGAAAATGGAATGGAAACCCCGCCTGCGCTAACAGGATACGCTGGCGGAGCACCAGTGAGAGGTGATAGATGAGAATAAAAAACAGGCCAGTTAGCCCATCATGATGAATTCATCAGTTAATTAATCATGATAGTTTCCAGGGGGAACCGCGAGGAGGTCGACCTGGTTGGGTATATTGCTAGCAATGGGATTCTCAGTCTCCATTACTAACAATCCTTTTCCCCCCACCTTATAGGATTATCTTTGATTGAAACATACCTCCGTAATATTATAAACAAGTAGTTCTTGAGTGTGTAAATCTTTTGCGGGAACACTGAATGTTATATTCCCTGTTGGATTTGGATGTGAAGCTACTGCAACCAGCGTAATGAATAGTGCACTTTCGCCCAACGGCGAATACAGTACCTGGCTCTGTTTTTGTTACAATAACTAAATATTAATTATAAATAGTATTTCGTAACATGAAAATAAAAAATACTTTATTATTAGCCGCATTTTTTAAATTTTGCTTGCGTGATTGATGCATCTAGGCAAATATAGTCGCATAACAATATAGTGCCATAAAATTACTTATCTGGGCAATTTGTGTAGATTATCTGGTTTTGTGGTATGAAAATTGATTCAAGAAAATATATAAATAGACGTTATCTAATTACTTTTTTTATGTAACTTAGAATGACAAATAAGTTGTGGCCCATTGGTCGTCTATAGACATAAAAAGTACCATAGACATAATAAAGACTATATTTAAACAAGATCATAGACTATATTTAAACACGACCATAGAAAAAAAAAATATTTTTAATGATTACCTCATGTCTACCTATAGATTTGGGTTTAAAATGAACGGGTATGTCAAATGTAGAGTTAGGCTCTATATTAAATTCTCTTAAAGTTTCAAATGGTCCACCAGATACTTCGCTTAAAACCAACCACATATCGTCCGAACTGAAAATTTATTTTAAATAATTTAATTCATTTTAATATACATATATATAAGTAGAAATTAATAACAATACAATGCTCTCTTACGGGTTTGTGACAGTTATATATTCAGTTTGAACTTCCCGTACTGGACATTCTAAGTACAATGTTTTATTCTGCATAGTTCCTATATCCACACAGGTTGCATACATAGCTAACTCCAAAGGCATATAATTTTCAACGTTGCAACTAGCCTTTAAGGAAATAGTGAATTACATTAATTAATAATTAAAGAAAAAAATTGTAGTATCATTAATTAAACATAAATAAATATCAAATAAAGGTATTAAAATACATACCCATACTTTTATAAACGGATTATAATTGACGGGTTTAAATGTTATAGTAAAAGTTACATTTGTATGAGCAGCTATATTACCCTGCATTGGAGATATGATAAATTCGTCTGATATTAGCGGTTGCCACCAAAACCTGAATAGAGCAATTATCTATAGGTTTGCCTTTAAATTAATATACAATTTGTATTTTTCCGTATAAAACATGTAATTGCGATTTACTTTATTAATAATTACTAAACTATATCAAACCTTGTTCCAAAATCGCCTTTGTTTAATAACATCACTTTTAATATCTTACATCCGCGTTTTCGCACACGACCAAATTGTAATGATTTTTGGCTGAAACATAGACTCATCCCCGTAGCACTTCCGCTTAAACGCACTAGTGGTCTTTCGAACTCGAAAACTTTCATATTTAACTATGAATAAAAAAAAATACGAATGAATGAGTACTAGAGGCTGAAGATCGTAAGAAATGGAAAAATATCATAAGAAAGGCAACAGACACCTTTCAGTAATGAAGTGGACGAAGAGAGAGAGAATGAACGAGTATACTTTATTTGCATTATACAATATAGGAAATAAGCAACACAACTATTAAATATAACGATACAATTGTATAAGTACAGTCACGGAAATTTTTAGCAGTTCTCTTGCATAAAATATAGTAAAGCACATGTTTCACTGTGCTAGAAAAAAAATTGGGAAAAATTGAGAGAAATAGTTATCAACGCATATTCAAATCAATCTAATATTTACATGTTATTAATTATTAATATTATCATACAATTAGATTATTTCCATCATACCTGAACATTTAATGTACTTATCATGCCCATAGGTTTGAACTGTATCTTTAAAGGAACCTTTCTGTGTGGTTTTATGGTGCACTTAGTGGGTACCACCTTTAGGGAGGATAGTGCATTTTCTGTATCCATTGAAATTTGTTCCCGAACTTTATTATCTTTATAGCATTGTAATTTTTGCACTCTAAAATCCATAACATCATTTTACAATTAAATTAAATTGAAGACTGTATTGAGACTAATAATTATAATTTTAAAATAATTTACCGAGAGGGTCCAGCATCTGTAGCTTGCAAATTCACTACGCTAGGACTAAGGCAAACACTAGTTGTTTCTGAATAAGTCGTATCTTCAATAACAGAGTACATGTCCCTAAATATAAAACTCGCATCAATTGGTACTTTGCTGTGGTTCATCACTTCAATTTGTCTCACGATTTTCTCGCCAACTTTTACGAGTCCTAACTCTAAACTTTTTTGACAGCCCTCATAAAGATCAAAAAGAAGAGGTACACCTGTAAAGTATACGGAGGAATAAAAGAGAATGCTATTGAAACTAAAACCATACTTTTTAGTGTTAAAGGATCCCGCGATTGACCATGATCTCGCTTAATGAGAAAAAATGATAAGGTTCCACTCGTGTTTTTGTCTTAAAGCAGCTGCATGGCTGTTTCGGTCTGTAGGATGGGATATAGCAGTGAAGTCACAGAAAACAGAAGCATAATTTCATAATCCTTAAGAATAATAGCAACGCAATAGGAGTACCATGAGCATCACAGTGTATTCTGTAATATTCGTAATGCTGTTATCTATAGACGAAAGTCACTACTTTCCATAAGGTCAGCTTGTTTGCCATTGTAACTTGTATAAACTTGTTTGCTATTCTAAGTATGATAAAAAAGGTCTGACGATGTAGATCGAAGGTCCGTGAACAACATTGATTTTTGCTTTAAAAAGATTATTAATATGTTAGGTACTTAAATTTATTTTAAATATGCGAAAAATCAGAGATTATCATTAATTCATATTATTCAGTTGCTCTACGAGCGACATCATTTAGTATTTTAGTAGTGACAGATACAAACATTAAGAAAGTGGTGGCTAAGAGGCTAAGAGAATATATTTTTTAATAATTTATACCTAGATTATGTCAGTGTAGCTATGAACTGAGAGCTACTCTCCCCCGCAAAAATTATAGAGGAGGTTCCACGAAAACTAGTGGGTGGCCCCCAAAAAGGTCGAGGAACCCCTGTACTGCGGGTTTGTGGACAGTCTATTACGCCACTGAGTATCTGATTGCGAAATATCACTGAATATCTAATTACGAAATTTTTATTTTTTGTCGAATTCCCTATGAAGAAGGGTTATGAAAAAAGTATGATAGGTAAATTCCTTTATATAGAGATATAATATTAAGATATTAAGAAAGAATATTTTAAAACTTTCGATGAAAATAGAAGGGAAAAGCTAATTATATATTTAGGTACACACCTTCGCCTTTAATAGTAACAATTTCTTCACAAAGTGAATTTACCCAAAATTTTAATTTAAACTCGTATTCCCGTACTTGTTTAGGCCTAAAGAAAATAGAAAACTTCACTCGCTTGCCAGGCTGTATTTCCGGAAGTTGATGGTAGTCAACAAACAATTCTGGTAGATTTGAAAAATTCATATCAATTCTGCAAAATAAAAACGTTTTCAATAATAACGACGTACTCATTGTTCATTAATTGGATACTATAATTTAAAAAATCCAGATAAGAAAACATTTCATACATGATGGGATCTTGATCATCATTAACAAATGCCAAATTCTTTTTGTAAGTTGAATCTGGCGCGTTTACTATACATTTTCCAAAGTCATAATTCATACACGAAAAATGATAAAGTGGTTTTTTTATCTCTGCGTGAAGATATATAGTATACTCTGGCCCATCTGAAATCTATATTTCATACAGATTTAAGTGTTAAGTCATACACAATCCAATCACTGTCGGAAAACATTTATTAGCAAGAATATTTGTATCTCCAGTATACACTACAAAAAATAAAAATATACATAAAACAAAAGAACAAAAATGAGCAATAGAACTAAAATCATACTTAGTCTTCTTCAAAAAAAATATTTTTATTTATGTGATCTAATAATAACACCTAAAATTTAAAAAGCTAAAGTAAATCTAGCCATGTCATAATAATGCTTCTTAGATGCATAATTTTTAGACAATAAATACGCAATAAATTTAACTAAACCACTAAAATATTCTCATTTGAATCTTTTAGTTAAATTGATCTCATTCTATTTACAAAACAATTATTCTACAAACTTACTGTCAATGTGACTGGAAAAGCTTGTACCGGCACTTGTTTTAAAGTAAAAGATAGTACACATTCCACATCGGATGCTGGTGTGATGTGACCACTCTTGGGTTCCACGCTTATTTGCAGATATTTCTTAACAGAGTTATTATTATAATGCCAATCAAAGAAAAATGTTGCGGACCCGTCGTTCTTTATAGTGAATGGTATCGTTCGCTCATATGTAGATGCTGTCTGAATAAATTAGTATAAAATAAAATCAATAGAGTGCTTAGTAAATAAGAACATGCTTAATAAAAAAAAGGATATGATATGAATGTTACCATTTTCTTCTTATTTTTGTTCACTATAAGAACATTGATACCTTACTAATGTGACATTAAGTTTGTCTGTTACCTCATAACGAACAAGATAGGAACATTTTTCCCTCGAAGAAGAACATAGGCTAATTTTTATATCGCTCGATCGATAAGATGTTGCAATTTTCATTATAAGATCTCGATTACCTTATAGATCTGTTTTTTGTATGTAATTATAATTCTGTTTGGTACCTGATCTAAATAAATATTTGTAATGGCGTCACTGTTTAGGACATGTTCATTCCCTATGAGATAATATGTAACTTTTGGCTTAATCAGGTAACTAAGAGCATTTACACACAACGTTAAGAATTTCGTCATGTAAGTAATACTGCAAAACATTTTAAAAGATAGCGGCCCATCTTGTATTGGCGTGTAAATTATTCTAGAATAAAAACATTTTGTAGTTAATAATAAATAAAAGACACGTTAACGCACATTGCAATGAAAGTAGTGTTAGTCGCTATAAAAATAATCAGATTCCATCACATAATCAGATTATGTAAAAAAAAGAAACAAAAAAATTACTTCAAAAAGGAGGAAGTTCTTAATTCGAAGGATTTTTTGTGGAATTATTTTTGCAACAAATAGTGTTAATACTATACTAATATTATTATGAAGCCGTTTTGTTTGTGTACCAAAATATTAAATAGTTAAAAATGTATTTTCACTAAACATATATCTGACAAACGTCTAAACTATGCAATATGTACAGACAATTTCCACTTACTTGATTAGCGTTTCAGAGCGTGGTTTTAATAAACCTTGCTCAGGATCAACAATTACTGGTGTTTTGCCAGACTCATTACATAATGAATTGCCTTTGAATTCGAACTTAAGAGATTCATTTTCATTGTTTTTTAATTTTATTTCATGTATTGTGGTGAAACCAACTAATGAATTTCTCATAATTAATAGAGTTGGAACAAACACCACATCTGGTTCTCTAACGAGACCAACAACGAGTAGATTAATAAGAAGGTTGTGAATAGGAATTATGAATTTCCACTGAGATTCGTAAACCTATATAAATGAACATTAAATATTATACTATAAATGTATAATAGCTATAAAATAATATTAGACATATGCATGTGTACATTAATCAAACATTAAATACCCCGGGGGCTGTTGGCGAGAAAGTGAATGTCACTATAGTCGATGTACCACCCTCTACATAACCTTTTAATGTATCACAGTGAATGGGTATTAGTTCAGGTTTATCTGACAACACCATCTCGAATATAAACTCGTACGCTTCACTGGTAGGGTTTATAACATTGAATGATCTGCAACAAATTTGTTGCTACTGTATTTACTAGTACAAATAGTAGAAAATAATACAAAAATAATATTATTATGTTATATTATTATTATGTTATTTATTTAGTTATGATTTTCATAAAATCTAACTTTTTATAACATCCAGAACCCAAAACGTTAAATTCTAATACTGTCATATGTTGAGGTAATGTTACTCCAGTCACTTTTCTTTGTCCAGATGTTAAATAGTCACTCTCCGGTATATCCAAGTGACAATACGGAATTAAGGATTTCGCCGTAATTTTACACGTTGCATTTGCGTCATATGGATCGAGATTATCTATAAGTAATCAAAATGTTATAAATAATGTTAGTTGGTTTCTAAGGTTAGGCAATACCAAGAAAAAGGAATCAAATATCTATTAAGTAATGTGAGAACAATAATTACCTATAGAACTTTTTAACCGAACTTTGTAATCAAACGCATCAAGCGGTGAAAACGTAACTTTAAAAATTCGACTTTCATTAGGTTTAAGACATTTTTGGAAGGGTCTATTCGAAAAGGAAGATCCATCTCAAACCAGGTATCAACACTTTCTCGTCCCAAACTTCCACTGAACAACGTGACTTTACTAGGCACTAACAGAAACGGAAAACTGAGTATTAAAATATTAAAATAGACTTAACTATTTTATTATAAGTATACATTTTAGTATAATTCACTTTATATTGTTTACTTGATTACCGTTTTCTTCTTTGTGTTCCTGTATGTTCTGATCGGCGCATAACACATTGTTAATAGACAGATTTTCTTCAAGGTTGGTGTTACGTTCCGGTCCTTGCTATAATATAAATGTTTTGTTTTAATTTAATTAATTCGAGTAAAATTTTATGAATACTGTTTTTTATATTTGGTTCACTTTATTATTAATTTATTTTTCTATGTTAGATAATAACACTGAATAATGCTATTATTGATTTAAATAAATAATTGCAAAAACTTATATTGATAATATGTATAAGACCTATAAATATATTATGTTGTATAAATTACCTTAGGTGCGCACTTGTCAATTCTCATAGGAAATTCGTCATCAATATGAAAATCCCATGCAATTTTCAACGGTACATTGCCTATATTTTTAACGTTGAAACTGAAATCTCTAGTCTAGTTAAACAAAGAGAAAACATATTAAATATAATGAGATCTATTATCCGAAGTAACTATCTATATATTAAGCAGCTGTTTCTGCCAAATTCATATTAAATGTTATTATAAAGAAATTTGGCGATGATAATGGTACCCGGAATTCCTATTTATATACACTTCAATGCATTGGTATTGACATCAGATTCACCTTGGTATTAAACAATTATGTTGAAAAGTAACTATCGTGAGTCATACTGATTACTTCTATTGTTTATATTGTTATTTCATATAAAACAGGACTAATTTATTATTTTAGAAGTATAAAAAAATTACGATATTAAAAATTTACCCACCTGATAAATAAAAGTGTCTCTCAAATTGACTTCTTCTTTCAATGTACACGTGTATTTAGTATACTCTGTTATAGCTGAATATATAATTATAATACGTATTGTCCCAAGGGAGCTATGTGCATTATTGACATTTTGTTCGTCTATAACTGTTTCATTCCTTTCGTTAAGTCTCGTCGCCCTGTATTCATGATGTAATTATAAATATTTAAAACAATTTGACGTCTTTATTTGTAGATATATATTGCATTTGCGCGAGTTACCTATTGTGATCAAATAATGTAACAATTTGACGATTATCCCAACTTGCACTTTTCATATCAAACGTTAAAGAATCATCGCTTAACGCTGTTAATAAGCAAGTAAATATTTCCTGTGAAAAGTACAGTAACTTAATAACTCATCTGCATATCGGTATACACAAATTAGACATATAGTCGCGTGTACTTAATAAAATGTATGTACCGATATTTTAGAAATTCGTGATTAATTAGTTATATTAAGTATAAAATAATTTATAACCTTTTTAATATTAATTGGTTGTATAGAAAAGAATGTAATTTCTAAATCTTTTTCTTCGCCCGGTGAAATATAGCCGACAGATGGTTTTATACAGATATGTTCAATGTATTCCCATGTAAACTTATATACTTTGTCTGAATTATTAGCCATGATAATGTTTCTCTTCTGCATTGTAGACAATTCACATCCACCTATATATAATATTTATATGAATGATAAAATATTTGACGTCGCTGTATTCTACTCCTAAATTAAGTAATGATTTTGTATAATGTATTTATATTTATATAATTTTAAAATAACTTTAGAATATGTTTTAAAATAAGGCCCTGTATAGATATAAATAAGCAGTATGATATCGTATGTTTTAAAAACGATGAAAACAGTCAAGAAAAATATAAGCGATTTTATAATCATTGTGATTTAAAAAGACGTACCGAAGTCAAGAATATATTTTAAGACAGATGGATCTGCGCTAAAGGAATCGCTGTACTTCATTGAACTAACAGATGTCTTTTTACTTTTCTTCGCTTCGGCAATATTTCGCGATTTCTTTTTATCTGGTGGGGCACTTTTACTCTTCTTCCTACTATCCATTGTAGAAATAGTAGAAACTGTCCTATATGTAAAGCAAATGTAAAGATGTTTGTGTATGTTTTACAAAAGCGTTACCTAAAGTATGAGAGGCTGACAGACTGTATTTGTTTGATTTGAAAGTGGTTAAACATTTAGAATAGATATATAATGATAGATGAAAGGTTGACAAAACAGATATATAACGCAAAAATGGAAGGATATATGCTCGTGAATCCCTAGATATACCCATAATGGTTAGATAAACCAAGTGCTGTTTAAGGACAAAACAATATTGTGTTTTACAAAATACCGACTTCGAACGTGAAAATCTGTTATTTTGATTTAAAAACTAAACAACTAAACCCATATTGAAAAAATATATGTAGAACTAATCTGAAAGTATATTCTTTCAATTAAAAAAAGAATTTTCCAAATCGATTTATAACTATTAGAGTTAGGAGGGAACAAACGTAAAAATATACTACCAAATTGAGAACCTCCTCCTTTTTTTAGTCGGTTGATAGAGAGTTTCAACAACCGCCATATATAACTATATGAGATAAGTTATTGAATATATTTTTTTTTTTTTATACAACTTATAATGCCAAACAAACTGACGGCCCACCTGATGGAAAGTGGTAACCGTCGCCTATAGACATGAGCAGTACCATGGACATAGAGTATACTGTTTCGCCTATGATACCCCCATGCGTTACCATTCCTGAGGACTCAGATGTTATTCCTCTGTACCCAGTAAATTCATGCCATATCCCACCCTTCAAACCGAAACACAGCCATGCAAACACAACTGCTTCACGGTTGAAATACGAATGGGACAGAGGTACTTAAGCAATCGACTTTTGTCTGATAAAAGGATAGAGGCCTTTGACACTTAATCCTCTCTGCCTACCCCGCAATTACTATAGAAATAGATATAGAAAAAGTGAATATGATAGAAAATGTAATCATCGGTAATAATTCAATCATTTAATAAAAATAATTTTTAATTTGTAACAGAGAGCCATAGTGATCTACGGGTCACCTGATTACAGCGAATTACAGATCCCTACGGCGCTTTGATGGAAATTCTAGTGATGTAAAATAAATTTTCTACTTACCCATCTACATCATTTCGATAAGCTTCTAGATCTATATCCATAGAAAGCATGTCAAGACCCATAAGTATAACGTCTTCCATAAACGCTTCAGCTTCACATAGAACCTGGTATATAATAAACTCATACATATTGTATTTTTAACAAAAATATAAATTACTTATGTGTCGAAAACAATATATTATACTTTATCATGATAGTCTGAAAATGCATTTTTTTCAAAAAATTCAATGTTCGTTTCTATTTATATTAATAAATTTCTATCTTAAGAACTGCTATACTGCTTTCAATATTTTTAAAACTTTATAATAAAGCTGATTAAAATTTCAAAGAAAAGAGATAAAAATTGAAATTTGAACAAAATATCACTGATTAAACATCATACGTGAATTTACTGGGTACAGAGGAATAACACCTGAGTCCTCAGGAATGGCAACGCATGGTGAATATCATGGACGAAACACTCTCTACTCTCATACTCTGTTATGTTCATGGTACTGCTCATGTCTATAGGCGACGGTTACCACTTTCCATCAGGTGGGCCGTCAGCTTGTTTGCCATTCTAAGTTGTATAAAAAAAAATACTAATATTAACTCTGTAGTTTATCACTTTGAAGGTAATTACCCGTTGGGTACTCAGGATATATCTCTATGCTATAAAATTAGGTAATGTAATATTATTATAACCGCAGTTAGGCTTTAAGAGATGTTTTAAGAGGAATGCTGATCGCCCTCCTTAGTCACCTCTTACGACACCCATGGGAAAAGAAGGGGTAACTCATTCTATGCCGGAACCACATGTCGATATAATGTAATATTTTAATACAATTAATTTTATATAAATACAGTAAATTAATTATAGTACTTTACTGACATTAATATATTGTAGAAAGTTTAAAAAGGCAGTTGAATGTTTATTCCTTGATCACACCAAAATGACTCAACAGCGGAATTCGCCAAGTATTATTGGATATATCACTATGGTCGATTAGCGGATGGAATACTTCTATTATAACCATTTATTAAAAATAATTACCGTAAAATATTCATACGGATTTTCAATGATGGTAAGTTTAATATCGCAACTTGTTCTGCCCTTCTTTATAGGACTGTAGTGAACATTCAGTGACGCTATTTCATTGGGGTGTATAATTACTGTTATAGTTGTGCCATAAGTTTCTAAAAACAGGTAAGTAGAAATTAACATATTATTAATAGCATTGGTAATATGTCATCTGTGTCTACACATATAAAAATTTTATATATAATTATATTAGCTGATACGGCAAACATGTTGCCTACCTACTGATTTCTTATATTGATTCAAATTATTTTATGTAGGTAAGAAATTGCTATATAAACGAATATCTCTCAAGTTGAAGTAAACGATACACATTTACAAAATTTTATTAAAATCGGTAGCTTTGTTGAAATTTGAAAATTGAGTAATTTGAGGCTAATTATAATTACTCCTTTCTATCTAAAGTTTGCCTGGAAGAGATCGCTTTTAGCGATAAGATCGCCCATTGTTTTCTCGCTATGATTATTTCTTGTAATTGTTTGTGTCTATAATAAGTTTACTGTTGTGATCTTTTAGAGGAAACAATAAAGAGTATCTATCTATTTTTCGCATACAAGCAACCGTATAGGACCATGTTTTGGTTCCATTGGTAATCACTGGCAACACTCACTGGTTAGACTGGTTAAAGAAAGATTTTTTTTATGAGAAAATGTGGTGTAGTTTTCCAAATGTTGCCCAGCCGAGTTGGATTCGTCGGTAGACCTCTCGGTCGAAGTTGGACTTATTTAGACAGACAAGGTGTCCTAGATATATAAACTCGTCGACAACTTTGAGCGTAGCGTTCTCAATTATAACAGGTATAAGTGTAACATGGACGTTAGATAAGATTTTAGTATTGTCCGTGTTCATATTAAAACCTTTTTGTTGAGAAACCTTATTGAGGTCATTGAGCATAGAGTTCATGTCTTCCAAGGATTTCGCCATGATTACTATATTATCGACAAATTGAAGGTGAGTGATGTATTCGCCATTGATATTTATACCATATGTTTTCCAGTCCAAGAGTTTGAAAGCATATTCCAATGCAACTGTAAAGAGTTTCGGGGATATTATGTCACCCTGTCTTACGCCTTTCTGCACTAGGAAGGGTTTCGTACTTTGATTCTGTACTCGGATAAACATCGTAGTACTACTGCACATACACTTCAACACTTCGATATACCTGTAGTGAATCTGGCACCGCTGGAAGGACTGTAATACCGCCTGTATCTCGACCGAATTAAGTTTAAATCTTATTCATAAAAACGTCAAATATAAACCTATTTCAAGTATTATATTTTTATTTGTACTAATTTCTCAATTTGAAAGATAGTGGAAATACTCCAGTAGTTAAAATATGTTTGTAGGAGCAAATTTTGCAAATGGTCAAAACACAAATATAATTTAAATGCACCTCTTCGTACTTATTATTAATAATATGAATTTACAATCAAAAGACATGTCATTCACAATTTTTCTAAAATACAGTATGAAACTTCAATTATTTCTTAATTTACAAAAAAAAATTATTTGCAACCAAAACATACTTTACAATTTTGCTATATCTGCATCTACTTGTTTGTTGTCCATTCTTGCACATTATCATGTAAAAACTAACATATGGGCAGGCAGGTATCTATTTTATCGTTTTATGTATGGAATAAAACATTATAAATATAAAAGGTACCGCAATATTTGTTAAATTTCAGCAACGATTAACGATAAACATAAAAATTTATGTCTAAAGAATGAAACAACTAAACAAGAACTAAAATCACTGATTCATTATCATCATTAACTTTACTGTCATTCATTACTATCATCCAGTTATCTACTGAACAAAGATCTCTTTCATATTTCGCTATAATAATTCTTAAGTATCATTTACCATAATTATCTGGAGAAATCACACGTTCGCATACATTTGCTGATGTCAAACAGAACACGGGTCTATTTTCAAAAGGCGATTGTGATATTTCAGCCTTCACTATACTTTTTACTGAACTTATATTTTTAAAACGAATGACATTGTTACTAGATGATCCCAAACAAGTGACCGGAAATTTCAATAAAGATATTCGATGCTGGCGTATCGGAGGAGACACCATGCATATTCGGGGAATTACCCCTTCGCCTATTAGGCAAATTTTAAATGATTGTTCTTGATTGTCTAATAATTTTAATTTTATTTCTAGAATCGCCCGATATTCCTAAAAAACATAAAAATAACGTAAGTTAAAATTTTTGTAAGAAGAAAATATTTACTGTCTATGGAATGACTTACTCAACATTATCTAATCCTAATCCTGATCCTAATTATAAATATGAAAATGAGTTTGTTTATTACCTCTTGGCGCCTTAATATTACAACAAAAAATTTTGTATACACGTACCTACTTACTGTTTGAGATGGAAAAAGATATTAGAAAAAGATATTATACCATTATTTATAGCGGTCTATTAACATATCGCGAATAAAAATTAACTATAAATATAAAAATGTATTTGTTTGTTACGTCTTTGTTTATTTGATTACAATTATTTTATTTAATTCTGTTACCATTATTGTGTATGTGGATGCCAACACTTAAAAATGAACGACCACTACTACTACTACCATAAGTCCCACAACCTTTCATATCTTATGGTGAATCTTCGAGCGTTGACTATCATACACATACTAATGGTAGAGGAATTAAACAAAATAATTCAAATTAAATAACCAGTGATATGGATTTCCACAAGATAATACCTAGTTCAATAAAATGTCATACACATCATAATTATTATGGAGAAATCTACTTTTATCCTTGCTGCATAGAATAAATCACGGGTAAAGCTAATAAAAAAAAATAAGAAAAATTACCTGTAGTGCTTTTGGACTGAATATTATATCTAAATTCTTGTGAAGTAGAGGCTCAATATATGTATTGTATTTATCTAAATAAAAATTAGTTTGATTAGTGTTGGATTGATAATGCAGTTTCATGGTAAGTGCACAAGCTACGAGTCCATTATTGTAAAGATCGATAGCTGCTGTATAACTGGAGTTCACGTTCACACAAAAAAAGTGTAACGTGACTGAATCTTCCACAAATACGCAATGAGGAGAAGACTGCAAACAATAGGTATTAAATTATTAATAATTAAATTCTAGAACGCAAAATACTAAAGAGAAGTAAATTTATCATGGTGACTACCTCTGGAACTTTGTAATCATTTAAATTTTTTACAATAAGATGTTCTCTAAAAGTGGTCTCCAAATTCCAGAGGTCCAATGTCGGCATTGCTCCCGTGCCAACCAGCTTGAGAGGCACGCCTTGCGCTTCCGCAGGACACGTATCACTTATTATAAAATTAATCGTTTCTTCGAATTTCCTAGCCGCTGTTGCCAAAAACTGTATTTGTAACGTTCGGCTAGTCCCAGGAGCGAGGAGGTTGTCATCGTTCATTATCAAAAAGTTACCACATCTTAAAGGCGGATTTTTTATTCTGTATAAAATTAAACAATAACAATCTTAGAATCTAATTTAAAATAAAAAACTACCTAGTACTTAAAACTTTTAACTTGGAAATATTTACTTATTATCTTTCATTTTTTGATTCAAAAAAGGAGCATCTGGGTTCAGCTGGTATTCAGGCGGTAACACAATTTCATAAGTCACAGGACATTTACTTGTATTATTTAATATAACATCTCTTGTAACTCCACTGCCAACTGGTATTATATGAAAATTTAATTCTCCTAAGGGAAATAGTGTAAATCTGAAATCATTCAACAAATATACGTTTGAGTACATTCATAATTTACTCGTAATTTAAATATGTTTAATCTTTACTTACGTATTATAAAAAGATGCAATAGTGACACAAACGGGGAACTTGGCAACGACCACTTGATCTTTGCTGCCATCAAGTAAAGAGCAAATGTAGGCAGGAACATTTATTAAATTCATTGACGTCGTCGGGGTACATTCGAATTTAATTGCTACTAACTTCAAAGTTGAGGGAATAATTCCACATTCAGAAGTTACTTCAAATGTTCGTAGCAAAGATGGCTCCGGGAAATTCTTCACTTTTTTCAATCTGAATTTTTAATATAGTGCATTATTGATTAGGTACTTAGCTCGCGACCGCTTTATGGCTACCCATAATTAAGGGTTCCGGTGGTCCCGAAAGTAAGTAACGACTGGGAAAGTCGTTGAGTATTCCCGACAATAATAAACATAATTAATCCGGTTAAATTTACATATGTATTTCAAAGTTACTATTCTTAAATAACAACAGGACCACGGCAATAACTAGGTGCGTATATGTTACAGTACGTTTGCTGTATTAGAAGTATTATCTAATAAATATGTAAATTTACAAAATAGCAACGCAGCGTCACGTTTTAAACAAGCGTAGCGTTGTAAATTCGCGTAGCGGGGTTGTACTTTTGTTCTATGTCTGCTATGCTAATGTTTCGTAATGGTAAGTTACAGAATATCAAAATAACTTTCAAATTAATATATTTAATTACATAATTATTTAATAAGGACTCCTATTGACTTCAAAACTATTTGGGCGTCTCCAAACATGAATATAGCCGATATACTCATAAATAATTACAATACAGTATAAATAATGTTGGTTATTATTCAATAATATATTAAAAAAGTTAAATTATATATATATTTACCTGTAGTATATATTATATTTGCCACGATTTAAAAAGTACATTTCCCGAATAACTGTAGAATTGACTTTGACGTTTCCATAGTTAAGGAAGTTCTCGTTTGGGTTTTCGAATGCACATTCAACCATAACATCGTAACATTCAGCTGACAGCAGCAAAGTGTCTACAAGCATAGGGTCGCCACGACCTTCCGCATCATATATCTGATATAAAATTATTTTATAATTATTCCAAATACTCTTCCATATATTGTCTTACTAGCAAATAGTAGGGGTATACCCCTAAAGTTAGATTTTTTTTAAATATTATTTAATTAAAGCAAAAAAAGATAATAAAACATTAGAGACCCGCCCCGATGAATTTAAGTATCATCTTTATTATTTCTACTTTACACAAGGAAATAACTCACACAATTTTTTTTTTCTTTAGTTGTTAACTAGTACGGTGGTTTCATATTTTATAAAATCTAAGAAATATCAGCGAAAGTTACTTACATCAATTAACATTTTATTCTGTGTGACACCAACTCTACAAGCAATGTATGTTACAGGAACAACTTGATTGTCATGTCTCGATACAATGCCAGATGTCTGAGAAATAATAAAATCTTCCATAAAGTCTTGGGCATTTCGTATTTTCCACATTATAGGCAAAATAGAATCATTTTTTACTATGAATCTGTCATCTTCTCGACGATAAAGAAGTAACTTTCCATAGTCTAAAAATTCGTGGTTGGGTTTCAAAACATAGTAAATATTATAATAATTATTAATTATCTTCTACAAATCTGGTTATTAAACGATGTTCAGTCATACTACATATTCCGGTCATTCAATATATTGTGATTATGGTCACCTTTCCCTTAAGTTCCCTTAAATCGTATAACTAATATGACATTCTTTATAGAAAAATATTTATTGGTAGCGTACCGATTGTTTTTGTGAGTGGTAATATTTCCACGACTGGCAAAACTCCACTGCATGCAATATTAATCGTGATAAGCTCGGGGTTGTCTTTGATACAAAATAATAGTACACTATTATGAACACCCACATCAGCCGGAGCAGCCGATATTGTTAATTTTCCTCGACAACCAGGCTATGAACACAATATTTATATATTAAATTTTTATTTAATCATCACTAAAATTTTACAGGTAAATGTAGAAACTCACAAAATGAATAATAGTAATTCATTGCTCATTCATTTAATTTGATAATAGATTTTTTCGGAATATTTGTTTGGATACCATCAAATTCTATGGAGATTTTCATATAAATACTAGCTGTATGCCGTGATTTTACTTACATGAATCAGTACATAAAGAATTCAATATACCATGTTAGAATGTAACCTACCCGTGTACCAAATTTCATTCAAATCTATTTAGTAGTTTTACGTGAAATAATAACATTCGTTAACTGTCCAATGCTGAACATAGGCCTCCCCAATTAAAGGAAGCCCGTTTGACCAGTAGTTGCCACGCTTGCCAGACGGGTTGGCAATTGCAAGTTATACTTTTGTAATGTTTTAAAACAGTCGCTGCTACCCATCCCTCGACCATTAACCTCCCTTAGGCGCCTCTGACGCCCACGGGAAAGGAAGTCGTAGCCCATTTTATGTCGAGACCAGACGACAAAAATAACATTCATCCATTCATTCGTATATCCATCGATACAAACTTTCGTATTTATTATATTAATATGATAATCGAAAATATGAATTTGTTCAAGCATTTAAATTCTTTCAGTATGGACAAATTTATTAGCATTAAAATTTTAAAAAGGTAGATATATATTATACTCTATTTTAAATTAGGATAGGTAATAACTTTCTACACATACAATTAAAAACTTAAAATTACTACAGAAAGCTAATGTGTTTCTTTTGATCGATTTCTTTTACTTTTAATAAAAAAAAATATAATATATACATTCTTTACTGCACTTCTAAATAACATTGATGAGACAGTTATAAATGATGTGAACAAGGATGGACTACATATATATCTCTGATAAAGATCTCTTCCAGCCAACCCAATACAGTAAAAAAGCATGTAGTTAGCGAGCAGCTAAATTGCATGAGCGCTGTACGAACAACATCAATACCTACTATTAAATAAGATACGAATAAACAGCTAAATAAAATAATAATATGTGTTATATGGATATATTAATTTACTTATAAAATAAATGTTAAAATAAATGAATATACTACCTATATTAGAAAAATTATTTAATTATTTTAAAATATGACACTCAAAATTAAAAGAAAAGAAAAAAAGATTACAGGGCATTATTGTAAAGGTAAAGAAAATGTAATTACAACTTTTTCTTGAAAAAGGTAATTTTATGTGAGAAGGGAGCTTGTTCTATAATTGGACAACTGTGTATGGTAGAATGTATATAACGGCGTTTGGCATCACTACACATTCTGTTGCAGATGTTACACAGTTTCTTATGAATCTCAAAATTAACAATATATATATATATAATATCTGTTTATTTATTGAAAAATATGACGAAAGTTCCAAAGATCAACAATATATATGAAATAAATTATTGGTAACGTTAAGCAGACCTCTAATTTTATAAATGTTTTGTCGATCTGAAAAACACTTGTATCTTCTAAAAATTCTATCTCAACATTAGTAGTTATTAGTGAAGAATTTTTTAGATTAATTGTATACTTCTCTTCATATATCCTGAAAATACGATTTTTATAATTAAATATACACATTCTATATTATGTTGGTTTTGTCTTCAATTTATTTCAGTACCTGTTGGCGCCAACAAATATTGGTCCAAATTCAAATAACTTCTGATCGTCCAAATAGGTAATTTTGTAAAAGTTATCTTCTATCGTTCGCCTTATGAAATTCTCAAACATTTTTTTCGGACGACTGTCCAACCTAGAAATGAAATATTTTAATTTATCTTTTCGTGCTATTATCACAATCGATCTATTAATTGCTGTAAAACCACCCATAAAAATCTTTTTTTTAGTACGTTTGTTCCGTCGTGGAATAGGCTAAGGTCGGAGACCATGCTGCCTAGTCTTCAATATGATAATTTGTCTGGAATCCATAAAAATCTGTTGTCGTGTCACTTTCGTCGCAAGGGTTGCCATATTTATTTTTAACAGACTTCAAAAGGAGGAGAATCTCAATTAGGATATTCTTACATTCACATTTTCGATCTGAATATCGTTTCTGAATAATTTTTTGTTGCAAATTTAAAAACTTAATTTTTTTTATAATTTTGCAATTTTGGAATATAAAAATATTTCATTCAGTTAAGCAACATGGATTTTGAAATACTTTGAGTTCGTAGTTTATAAAAAATAAATTGATTATTTATTAATGAATTAATCTCTAAAGTAAAAAAAAAATCAAACCAATCTAGATCACTCTTACTCAAACCCGATATTTTATAATAAATAAAAGCACTTAGCCTCTTTATTTATTATAAAATATATAATAGCTCACTATTATTTAAAGTAAACATATACCTTGGTAAGTCACAAATACCCATAACATTAATATCAACTCTTGATTCGGGCCATCCACTAACTTCCACAAACCGCTTCACACTAAAATTTCCTTCCATTTGTGGACTGAACGAATATTTACATCGTACCAGATCACCAGGTTGCAACACCAAACGGCCGCTAGTCGCTACAATAAAATTACATTTACCCCAAAGACTTAGTACCAGAGGCCGACTAAGTTCGTCAGAGGCCCAGGACGGCAAAACCGAATAAGCCCCCGCCCTCATTTAAGAAATTAATAATTTCTAACTTTGCACGCTTTTTATTCAGTTCACATTTGTATGTATAAATGTTCATATATATTTAATTAAATTTTTTCAAATGAAAGAATTAGACTTAATTAGACATGGATGAAGAAAATAATGACGTAGCCCCCCAGGACCGGAGACCAGGGGCGGACTGCCCCATCCGCCCTCCCGTCAGTCCGTCACTGCTTAGTACCTAATGTATTTATCTAATAGCTATTACACGCGACTTTGTATTTCAAGTTAAAATTTTCATAATCCTTTCATAACAGATGCTACGGTATAAATTTCGCCATTGTTCTAAATTTCAACTTTCTAAACTTTAACTTCCTAGTTTTGGCTATGGGTTGATAATCAGTCGGAACAAACGACGTGATAAGTATAAAATTTTTATGTGGTACCAAAAACTTCAGTATTTACATTTAAAATAGCTAAAACTACTTTTAAGACTGGTCTCATTCATGATCACCGGTTCTGGAGATTATTTAATTTCTAGCTCATCTAACCTGCCATTGATTTCACACTCCGTAAGGGTAAACGACAGGACATTTTAGTTTCACTATCTTCCTCAGTTATTTTTTCTAAGGATGTTGATAGAATTTCGCTTGTTGAGGTTTGAGAAGAAGCTACCTATAATTTTTAAACTATTTTATTGTTTGCTAAATGATATATATATACTTAAATTCAATTATGGAAAATAATAATTGTATTACCTTCTTACCACAGGTACAATGCCACTTAGATAAAATATTTAAAACATTATCCTGTGTCGAATCATCTAATAAATTTAAATCAGTGAGTTGATTGCATTCGCATTTCTTAATCTAAAACCGACCGAAGAAATATTAATAAAATCCACACAATTACATCAATATCAAGAATCTTTATCATTACCATATACCATATCACATCAGTTGTTAATTGTCCACTACGGAACTGAAGCGCGTAGCAAGCCGGTTGGCAACTACAGGCTTATGTGATGTTTTTAAAAAGGACGCCGCGTCCTATCACTCCACCATGTCCCTTAGTCCCCTTAGTAGACGATACCCACAGGAAAAGAAGGGGTAGATTATACATTACTTGTACATTATACAACTTTATGCAACTTAGAATAGCAAACAAGCTGATGGAAAGTGGTAACCGTCGCTTATAAACATGAGCGGTACTATGGACATAACAGAGTATACATGTGCATATAGTGCCTACTTATGTCGATTTACCCAATGGTTGATTGGTAACACCGTGCGGTGTTAAATCCGTTTATAAATTTTATAAATATAGTACATAAATATACCGGTAATTCATCCAGAAAACACCATTTCAAAGACTCTTCGTGCTGTATGTTAGGAAAAGTTTTAGGCAATAATACTGTAAATTCTTTCCTATTAACTGGACGTTTCAGGATATCATACTGTTCATCCTTTTTTAATGCTTCCTGTACCACTGGAGAATTACCAAGCATATTCACCAAAGCCCTTTTATAATTCTGACAAGGGCACATTATCAATATAAGAGGGAAACCACGCTCAGTAAAACTAACATCTGAAATCTAAAATATTAATATAGTAAATTATCAATATTATTTATATTCATATACATCTTTTAAGAAGATAGTTAAATATATATAAAATGATACATTATATGGGTAAATGTCACCTGAATTTGTACATCAGATTTTTTCTTTGCTTTCTTTTGAGTTGTTCCAACCACCTGACCATTGAACCCGTACAAAGGCGTACCAATATCACATTCTTCGACAATCCAATTATTGGCAATATTTATGAGACTTTCGAACGTATTTTTAGTATACTCGTTATATTTTGTATTCATTATCAAATATTCACTTGTGGGCTTTGCTGAAATTTTATGTAATTATACATACATTATTAATATATATTATAGCTAGACCAAGTATCAGGCAGATATAAAAGTAGATTATCTCTTTTATATCTGACTTTATACTTTTATAATAATGCACATCACGTATTTTCATCAACTTTTATGTTAATCATCATTATAATTATAAAACTACTTTGTGGAAGTCGATCAAGAATTCTTAGAACTTAAAGAAAAAAAAAGGGTTTAGAACTTCGTTCAGTAATATAGTGACAAAATTCACAATCAGCGTAGAAAAAACATTACAGTAAAACAGTATCCAAAATCGTATGTAAATGCTTATTTGCTCTTTGTGTTCTTTAGGTATGTATCGTACTTATACGTAAGTCATAATGACATTTTCTAGAATTGGCTACATACGAGTAGAAGTCTAAATTACCATAAGGTATCTTCATCAATTAGATGCATGCTAATTGATTTTAAAGATTCAATTATTAATCGAAATATTCATATATAAATAAATCCATATAAAAATAAATCCTTAATTGCCCTATGCTAATTTTGTCAAAACTTAAGCATTTAATAAAAATCATTCCGCTCTGATTCAATTCTTTATAACTCCAACTCTAACAAATACGACACTTTTTTAAAATTTCAATAAAACAACCTTTGAGATCGTCCTTTTTAATTTTTTTCTTCGACTCTGATGTATCGACGGTTAACAACGACTTACTACGATCTGTGGGATACAAATATATTAAATGATATGATAAATACAAGAACTAGATACATATTGAAGTTCATACGATACACAAATTATTTAATAACCTTTAGTTCTCTCTTTCTTTATTGTTTCACTTGGATACCTAAAAAATAACGCTTTTTATTAATTTCTTTATTATTAATATAAAATTAATTTTGTTATTAATTAATTGCTATTGCTAATATTAAAATACCCTTTCTTTTCATAATGTTTCTTTCGTCTCATTTCTAAACCATAGGATATGTAAATAGACTTTAATTCTACTGATGAATTTTCATATTCTTCGTCATCCATATTTTCTAATGTCTCTACTATTTGTTCTATTTCAGTTTCATTATATACTTTTAAAATGTTTCTGAAATTTAATTATATATATATATATATATATATATATATATATATATATATATATATATATATATATATATATGTATATATATATATTATTTTATAAATGAAACATATAAATATGCTCATGACTATAATCCTCAAAGGGGTAATAAAATACATTTGTTGATTGTTAACTGTTAAATTTATAATCCAAAGTTATAAAAGCTGAACTGCTGCAACTATTCGGATTAATTTATATTATTATCGATTTTTTATTACAGGAGAGTTAGTGGGAAATTTGATTGGTGTAGATATACCACTAAATCATAACCTTCGCCATTTTGACTGTGCGTTATTGTATATATGGAAATAATTAGAGACAACATAATATATTTCCTATTAAAAGATTTCACGGTTGACCTCTAAGTAGAGAGATTTATATGAAACAAAATTTATTAGTAAGTACTAATGAATTTTCTTTCATATAAATCTCTATATGCTACTTGAAAGGCTTGCAGTGATTTTAAAAGCCATATAGTTGTAGGTGTATTAGTTATTATAAAGGTGAACATAACCTTGAGAAAAAATATTTTGATATTAAAACTGAACCTGTAGTTAAATATATATCCTACTCTTTATTAAGAAGATAATTGCAGTTTAACGACACAATACTTACTTGTCTGTCAAATCATTTTCTCGTTGAGTTTCTTCAAAACTTTGAGCCCATTTATAAAAATCCGAATGACACAGAATAAGATGAATGTTCCAAATATTGTGTTTAATTTTGAGTATTGTAGTCAATGTTAAAGAAGGATTCTTTAGAACGATACTTGACAATGAATCTACGATGAAGCCACGATTAAATTTAACATGACTGAAGTAATCTGTAAGCAGCTCTTGAATCAAGTCCTGTAATTAAATAATCATTTTAATTTATTGGTTAAAACTACTGACTTACTTTACTCAAACATTTTAAATAAAAACCATTTGAAACATCGTTGAAGATCTAATTGCTGCTATGGCACTATGTGAATTAATTGACGAATTAGGGGACCTCTTCTTTTTCTTCTCACTAACTTTCGAGCGTGGTGTCCCAACATTCTTACAGTTGGCCAAGTACTCAATTTTCTTTAGAATAATATCAAATTCATCTTCAGTATCTCCAACAATTTCTATAATTAAATAAAAATTACTGGATAGTTATTTAGTTGTAATTAATTATTATTCTTATAATAAATAAGCAATATTAAATTTACCCTCATTATCGTTCTCATTTTCGTCAGAATCTGCTTTATTTACTAGTCTTCTCGATATTTCATACATGTCATTAATAGTACTTAATATTATTATTTTAGCCGGACTGTTGCTTACACACAGTGCCTCCACAATACACAAATCAATATTAACTACAGGTATTCCTAGTTTTTTTCCAATCGAATAAGCAATTTCTTGGCATTGTAATTCTGTAATTAAAATCTATGTTGTTGACTGTTTTAAAACATTACAATTAATTAAAATCCTAGATCTAGTTCCAACATTCATACAGTTGCCCAACTAATCAATTCTCTTTAAAGTAAAAATGACTATTATTATTCACCTTCACAAGGAGATCCATGTACAAATACAAGAAGTCCTTTTAAATGTTTATCAGTATTCGAGTCCGTTGATATATGGTCAAATATATGTAAACATTCTTTCAAAGGATCTGTTTGATTTTCTTTCAAAATTTTTATTTGATCTGTAATAATTTTTTTTGTTTTTATTTTGTGATAAATTTACAATTTTTATTTCACTGTAATTTGTTTTCTTGCATAGATAATTTTCAAAATTTTATATTTAAATGTCATAAAATTACCTTATCTTGATCAAATCTTGTAAAATTTATATGAAGTAGTAAACTACTACAGATTTTTGTTTGCCTATTAGTTTGATTTTGTTAATTTTATAACTGTATACCTATTACATAAATTTGTCCTTTATGATACTGATTATAGCTATATCTTCATATATACTTTACCTAGAATTCATTGCTCTATTCTTACTGGAAATATTAATAGGAAACCTACAGTGATAGTGCAAACTCAAACTTGACCAGTATCAGTCTAAAAATCAGTATTTAACAAGAATAAGTAACCTGAAATTATTTCTGCTTCTGTACGGAATTTTTTAGGTGAATTTGATATAGTAGACTTTGGAAGATTTTTAGGGCTTTTCGTCTTTCTGTAAAATACATAATATTATATTTTATTTAGGTATATTAAGTACAATGCTACAATTATAAAACATAGAATAATATCATATATACATATATATCATTGAATAATATAATAAAAAAATAATCGTCATACTTAGCAGAGACAGCAGATCGTGCGTTTATTGATTTCATGGCCGCTAACTCTTCGTCCATAGCCCTAAAATTTATAATATATACCATAAATATACAATTTATAAAAGTTATATAGTTGTGTAAAGAAACCATACAATGCCATCTATTTATTTTTTCTGTTAGGTTTCAATTAAAACAGCCAGTTTTCTCTGTCACTAAAATAATTAATTCCCCTAAATTTGGTGCTTTTTTAAATATTTTAAAGCCGTTTATTTTCTTCTTGATTATTGCTGCTTGATTATTTAAAAATAAGTCTGTTAGCAGACTAAATTAACATCCTTTGTTCAAAACTTCCTTTATGTTGTGAACAAAGTAGTGGAATATGTGTTGCGTCATCAGTCTTGATTTATAGGATACACTGACAGACATTATGAAAAACTATGCAAAGATTGCAAGTAAAACATTTACGCAAAGATACGCAATATAAGAGTTTTTTTTTTTGTTTTTTTTTTTCTTTATTGGTCTATTTCTTGTGTGAAAACTTTATAGACCAAGACTCGGATACGGTGTTAGACTACAATATTTTAATTCTAGGTTATTATTTAGAGCTCTCCGATTTACAATACATATTATTATTAAAAATATATAGATATTCATAAAATACAGCTGGACGAGCATCAGAATGATGCTAATAAAACTAGCGCTCATGAAAAACACATTGAAATTACTAGGAGACACAAATAAACAACGCATTAATTAAATTCTATTGAAAAGTTAAACTTACTTTTTAACACACTCTGTAAATTTTCTATAGAAACTCATGATTTCATTTGGTAGTCCAACACCAGGTCGAACAGCGGGAACTAACATTTCATCTGGTTTATTATAATATTTATATAATAATTGATATATCTCGTCTTCTTCTTTCCATTTCCTGTATGCGCCGTAATTAGATAAATATTGGCGAATGAATCAATCACTAGTTTCTAAATTAAAATAATTAATCCTGAATACTTTTTTTGTTTTGCAGAAGTTTAAAAGTAACTAAAAACTTATCGATTCTCATTTTATTAAAAAAATCTTTTTTATAATATTAACTTCTATAACTATAGATATATAAATCAAATATATACAAATTATTATAGGGTCTTACTAAAAAAAAAATATAAATTGGAATGCAAAATATTTTACGTACCTATACTAGTCGCAGACCTAGTACCTGTTACTAATAATCCAAGATATAGTACGTCTATTGGGCTATAAAAACATGGTTGATTGACAAACATGTAAAAACATTTTAACTAACTTTCTTTTACAAAATTAATATGTTTCAAATATACTCGATCACGCTGATTTGGTACACAGACAATTTTAGTTCTTACCCATTCCAATTCAAGAGGGCAAGCTTTAATCTACATTACAATGTTTTAGATTACAAAATAATATTTTACTTAAAATAATTACTTTGCATTAACTTACTCGTCGCTGTGAGCAATTATTAGTTCAATTGGAAACGGACATGGATTTGTCAGACCAAAGTAAATGTCAGTAGTTTCCGCCCAAGGCAATGTAGGCAAAAAGTTTAAATTTGATCCAATGACATGTACGTGGGGCAAAATACCGTGTCCAATTACGGGTATAGTCATTCTGTTTGGATTCATATGAAATCTAAATATTAAAAGGCCTTCGTATGTCATCTGTTAATAGAAAGCAATAATATATTTATATTATTTATGTCCTTATATCCTTACTAATATTATAAATAAGAAAGTACGTTTGTTTGTCGGTTCTACCGATCGTACCTAATTTTAGCATGCAAATAGTATTTGTAATAGATCAATAACTACAATAGGTTTATTAAGGGTTTGGGGTTTTATAGAATAAAGTAACACTCAATTTAAATAGAATAAAAAGCAAACAAAATATTCTCGATGGAATTTATAAAATATCTCATTAAAAAAAGGAAAGAATTAAAAAATGTTAATTGTTTGAACTTCTACTTATACTTATTATTATGTTCTTACCGAGTATCTTGATAATTATAAACTACTAGCTGACACGATAAACGATATTCTACTATATAAATTAGAGATAGGAACACCCTGATCACCTAGCGGTAAGAAATATACTTTACAATTTATTCTCATACCTACCAAATATGAATAAAAAATTCATAAAAATCATTAAAACTGTTGCGGAGAAATGGTAAAAGTAGTAATAATAGCATTTTGACTAACTTCCATAGTTGGTTTAAAAGCAATACTTAGCCAACCCCCTTCTCCGGGTTCGTACTTTCCAGAACTATCTAACACCGTCATCGGGTTGTCCCCAGATGCTTTTAATCGTAGCGTTACATACCAAACACACGTCGGTTTTCCTCTATAATAAATAAAATAATAATTTAATCAGCATATGTACGTGTAGAAAGATATATATAAGTCTGAATTTACTTACACGTTTTTAAGCGGTATTGAGCAAATTATTTTATCACCACATCTCACTGAGCCGAAATTAACGATAGACACGTTAGACATCAAGTACGGTACAGTACAAAGAGCTTTAATTCGAATTGGTATTGTTACGCCATATGGTACCTTTATAAAAATAAAATATAAATGTTAATGGGTACATGAAAACTTTCAATAACAATCGAATGCCAAATGTTTAATTACCTCCAAACTAAAGCATGTTTCTACATTTTGCTCCAACTGCGTAAAATCATTAGAAGTCGGAGCAAATACAACATCCAATTTTCCAGTTTCGCCTGGATTTAGTTTTCCACACAGTTTTACACTCAACCATATAGGAATTTGAGTGCCTTTAGCAAAATGTAATTTCGTAGCGATCGGTCCGTAATTTATTATTTCAGATATACACTGCACCTGTGTGACAAATTAATATAAAAATTCATTATACTATCTAAAATATCTATGATTATTTCAACATAGTTCAAAGCAGTTAACAGTACCGTGCTTCCGGTAATAACCACACCGTAATCAATAACATATGGTATAGTATAAAATCCTGGTATGGGACCCACTGTGGAACTTATAAAATGTGCAGTTAATAATTCAGGCCTTAATTTTATGTGATTTATTACTAACATTCTCTCAATTGCCAATTCTATATCCATTACTGTTGGATACCCGTCCTAAAATAAATATAAATTAAATTATATTGAATATTCAAACCTAGATAAAAACATTGATTATACAGAATCAGAAAAACAAATTTTACCAAAGATGAACATATATGCCAATCTCGATGGAAGTCAGGATCGTCAAAACATTTGTCTGTCTGTGGCGAATTTAAATGTTCCGATAAGCCCTTCATAAAAAATTCACTGACTGCTGATAAATATTCTGTTGTTAAAACTGGGATTGCTAGATAACCGTATTCTGGATTTAGCTGCAATTTTAAAATATTTCTGAATAAATAGTTCAATATGATGATATAAAAGTTAGGTGTATAACACAGCAATGAACTATTGTTGTTTAAATTACCTTTTAAATAAAAGCTGTATCGAAAATGTTAATACCTTTCCAGATAATTATGTTGATTAAATAAATAAAAACAATTCTAAAAATTAAGTAAGAAAATACATATAAATAGTTAATAAATGCATAAAAATGTATATCGCTATTTACCTTAACAATTTCGGGTCGGTGAAGACATATATATATTTGAGGAATTACACCCCAACCAAACACTTCAATCGGAATATGAGGCAGATGGCCTATCTCTAACAAAAATATACTATTAAAATATCCGACTATACCAGGTCTTAATACGATTTTCATCTCTGTTTCTTCTTCGGCCTCTAAATATTTTTCTGATGGTATTAAATCTGTTATAGTACCTTGAAGCTCATTCTCCAACTTCGGTTCATTTAAATAAGTTTTATACTGAAATGGCAGTTGTGCAATATTCGTTATAATTAATTGTTCCGAAGCTAATTCATGGAAAGATCTTATTTTGAAATTAATCTTTTGTGTGTTAATTTTATATATTAAATCAGAACTTTTCCCGGTCACGATGATTGTTTCTGGCGGACCTCCTAATACATCACATTCTAGAGTAGCTCGAATGTTAATGTTCGGCTTTGGTCTAAATATGACATGTATATATTGGATTTCATTCGGCTTTAATAAACCACGATGAGGAGTTAATTGTAACACATCGTTTATGTTTATTTTGTTACGCATAGTACTTTTGCTAAATTTATATATCCAGTCGAACTCGGGCTCATAATCGGTTTTTATCATAGGTGTTATTTTCTTGATAATTTTTGTTCTTTTAATATCATAGTATAAATCATAATCTTCTAAAATAGGGGATTCAACACCAGTAAGATCAGATACAGGCGACGCTAATTCCCTGGCTAGAACATCATCTTCTACTGCTTTATCTACACCTGATGTCGCTAATGTACGACAAGCCAATATTCCGTGTAAATCGCCCACTGGAATGAAATGTCTATTAAATATCAAATAATTTATAATATTAATGTGATAATAAATAGATAGATAGAAATCGCCCACTGAAATGAAATATCTATTAAATATCAAATAATTTATAATATTAATGTGATAATAAATCATATTTTTAAACTGTATAAATTATTAAAGCATATCCAATAATTTATTAATAAATTATAGTTAACTTACCACTTGGCTCTAAATCATCACTTATATATTTAATTTCCTCAACATTACTGCTATATTTTATTTTGTGTAGCTCGGGCTATTTTGTTTTGAAAAGAAAATAATTTAGTAAATTAATGCACATATAAATTGATTAAAAATAAACTATCATCTTAATAAAATATCCATACCGCTGACGTTAGTGCAATAGAGTATTTTTTCCACTGAAATCTATAACATACATAAAGTGGCGTCATATTTTGTATTTTTATGGTCTTACTCTCGAGACTTCCGTTCAAAATACACTGAAAGTCTACTCTTGGCGATAAAACAAATATATTAGGAAAATTTATTCTCCCAATAAGTTTTATAGCATCCTGAAACGTAATGTAATATGATATAGAAGGAAATAATTCATATTAAATATTTATATACGAAATTAAAAATTATTACGTATTTACATTTTTTCTTTAAAGGGTTGTCAAGATATTATTTGACTACCTCGACTCATAAGATATCGATGTCTTAGTTCGATAACTATATCAATTCAATTTTAATTATTGAATATATGAATGTCCGAATTGTGAAATGTATATATACATTGACCGAAGTTAACTATTAAGCCTTTAACTGACTTAGACGCAGCAATGATAATAAAATTAATAATATACTAACTTTATTTTTATGTTCCCTAAACTTAATCCTCATTAAATCGCAATATACTTTTGATTTCAAAGACGAATGTTTTGTAGTATCAAAGAGTATCTGTACTTTCATTACTTCCTGGTCTTCTAAACGTTCTTCTACTATGTGCGTAAGGTTGAAGGCCATTTTAATTTTATTAATATCTTCAAAAAAATTTAGCGGTTCTCTACGTGAAGGTTCTACTGGCTTTAATGTTAAATAATCTATAAACATGCTCGATTGGTGTGGACCAATTTCATTACAAATATTTGTTACATTCAAATCGCATTCGTTGTAGCGTATACAGCAACATACATTTTCTTCCTCCGGCGATATCTTATAAGTATCTTGTTTTTGAATTATAGCAAATGGTGGTTTTACGCTTATATCTATATGTAATGGCAACTTGGAAATATTCTTTATTGTTACGATATCTGAAATTATTATTATTTTGAAAATTTATCTTAGTTATTCGAAAGTTAGATGTTTAATTAGAAGCAAATTTTGTAGCAAAATGTTGGCTATTGGAAGTAAATAACCATTTCTGGATGACGTGAACCAGATCAAAATTGATGCAGTAGTTTTTGCGTGTTGCTAGAACAAACGTATCGGCAAAAATTCTATAAAATATTGTTTTGGTTTCTTTTACTAGTGTAATTTGATGAAAAATCGACTCCTCATATATTTTTTTCTTAAATATCTCCCATATAGCAAAGGGAGACTTTGTACAAAAGTCGTTTGCTTGGGTACCACTGTCCCATTCGTGTTCCTACCGTAAAGCAATTGTGTTTGCATAGTTGTGTTTCGGTTTGCAGGGTGAAATATGGCAGTGAATTTACAGGGTACAGAGGAATAACACCTTAGTCCAGCTTGTTTGTCATTCTAAGTTGCATAAAAACATATATATTGTCTAGTTAATTTTATTGTCAAGAAAAATTGTTGTCGTTTTAACAAAGTGAAGTGCGTACCTGTTAATTTATAATATTCACTATATGGGCCGTAATTGTACTGGAAATCTAAGATTGAAGACGATATTTCTATTTTAGGATCAACAAATTCCGCAACGACCTGACACTCCAACAATAGCTCTTTCTTATTAATGCCTTCCACGCTTCCAACTAAATACCACATTTCTTTAATAGTTGTCACTTTGTGAGATAAACCAGTGATAGTTAACTCCAGCTTTTCTCCTGCAGCTATTTTTAAAACTTTGGGATCCAAACTGAAGAATCCGCTAAAAGTTTGTTTAATGTTATATTATTTTCATCAGAGTTCAAATACCAATAATCATGTCATTTTTCACAATAAACAAAACATGCCATAACATGTTTGACCCAGAAAATTCACTGTATATATGCTTGTAACATTTTTATAAGATAAAATATTTTAAAATAAAATCATCGATGAGCAATTTTAAACATAATGCAATGATTTTTATTTGAGAAAAAAAAGTATTTTGTTCTACAAAAAAACCGACATCAATCATGACAAAATCCGTTAGAACAAACGATATGATATATTGATTCAAAAATTACTAAGCCAATATGGGACCAAACTGAAAGAGTAATCTTTTAAATAAAAAACATAATTTTTGTAATCGATTTATAAATGACGGAGTTATGAGATAATAAATGTAAAATTAAATACAACGAATTGAAAATCTCTTCCTTTTATAAAGTCCAATGATAAAAGGAATAAACAGGACAAAACACTTCAATAACAAAAATAACTCAAAGAATCTCAGTTCTCACAGATAAGGCCTCATAAACTCTAATCGAACTAAAGAGGTAAATACGTTCCTAAGTTAACAGTTCCTTTAAATAAACAGGTGCACTTCACTTGCACCCATAAATTAAAATAATTTCATTGTTTTCAGAAACATATGAACATACGTTGTATATTGTTTTGTCTTAGGAGCTTTATAATGTTCGTTCCACTCCAAAGCATGCATACGAGTTCCACAATTTTCGATAACCACTTTGCAATTCAGAGGGATTTTAGTAAAATGTCTCCCAAGAAATATCCGATCACGTAAATCACCAACTAGTATACTAGTTCCAATACCAGTTGCAGACAATGGCACTAACTGTAAATTATTTTATTTATTTGTTACTAATTCAAACAATATAATATAATCTTCTAAAATATCTACTTACTAAATAATAAAATACTCTAATATGTATAAGATTTTATAAGTTATAGTAAAAAAATAATTAATTTTAAACTTTCTCGTTGTTTACACATATTTTAAATACATAATCGGGACTTAACGCGACCACGATGTGGTGCAATCCACGTTGAAATGTCGGCAATAAAAAAGTATGTAGGTAGGTCCTATTTACCTGCAATGGTTTTACATCGCGTTAAGTATTGTGTATTTAAAATAGGAAAAAAATGTAGAATGAAATATAGAAACGTCACAATAAGAACAAATATTGTACTAACAATATCTTTTACTTTCTCTATTTGTAATACCACTTTATTCGTGTAAGTATCAGCATCTAATAAATACAAAGTGAGGACCAAGTTAGTCTCAGACTCGGGCTCCACATGGCCTTCAGATGGTTTAATGTGCCACCTTTCATCCTTGTTTAGCTTTAAATAATAAAGTAGTTGTATAAAGTTATGAAATGAGCTCCCTGCTGAGGTTTTTCTAAGAGAATGCATGGAGTTTTTTAAAAAAGGGGTAAAGAGGTTATGCCTGTGACTACAGGCATTCATAGGCTACGGTAACTGCTTACCAACAGATGGGTCGTATAATTTATATTGCAGACTATTACAAGTTTTTGCCCACGACCTCATCCACATTCACTAAGTCTTTAAAATTGTTTTTAATTCACTTTAACACACAAATATTCTGTAATCTTAATAAACTAATTAAAATTGAAATCAGTCTTTCTTAATCATAATTTATTTATACATTCGCTACTAATAACAGGCACTTTATGAATCAAAACAAATCATTTACCAGTGAAGCTTTGAAATTTACATAAACTGGGGAGTCATTGCATAACGTTAATATTTTCTGAGATCTGGTTAATAATTTCACTTGACCCCAATGCAGTGCTATTGGTGTACATGTTACAATGGGCCGTACACCACACCCGGTAATATGACATACTTCTATAGATTTAGTCATGCCAAAAAGACGCATCCTAAAAGAAATAGATGAAAATTAAGACTTCTACGTAGTAGACATTACATATAATGAAAATACAACGCAATATTGCTCCTTTTCATTATCAGAATTCAGTAGACGCCACTGTGTTGTGTTGTGTTGTTATTTTTTATGATCTGAGTTTTTGTTTTTATCATTTACATTCTGAATTTCAATGTACTCTAAATCTATTTTATCAATAATGGTCAATACTATATTATATTATACATATTCATAACAATGAATAAATTTGGCCCTTTTTTTAATGAATCATATTTATTCTTTCTTAGTCGACAGAAATTTAAAATGTACTTGCATTAAATAAATTTTAATTACAAATTTGCTTAAAAAAGAAAAAACGTTACAATAAACTATTTAGGTTACTATTTAGGTAAGTGTATTATATAAAACAATATATATAAAAAATGCATTTCAATCTCTATAATAAATTTATTATAATTATTACCGAATTTTATATTCCTGAATACCGAGTACGCTCGTTTTTACAATTACAGGTAGACGTATTGTAGTATTTGGTTTTATTAAACCTTCTTTAAGACTCACGTCCACTTCTAAAGTCGATTCTTCCTGGTAAAATAAGAATAGAAAACTTGACTTATTAGAACATCGTCATATAGAACAGTTAATTCCTTGGTTTCTTATTTCAAGTATCATATAGTCATGTAGGTAATACTTATACGAAAAAAACATAGGTATGCAGAAAATTTTAGTACCTCGGGTTCTTCTAATATGAAATATCCCCAAAACTCATTAGCTGTGATCGAAATTTCATTTTTATATGGATAATCTAAGAAACATGCACGTAAATAAATCTCAGGGGCTGGAGTTATTTCAGGAACCATTGCATTGAATAACACGGGCAACATTATTGGTGGACTATCAGACTTCTCCAATTCTAATTCAAGGGATGTTTGATTCGCTCTAATCAAATTAGCAGTCAACGTCACCTGAAAAATTTTACTATAATAAAGTGGAACATTTTTAAATCAAATTACTATTATCCGACTTTTGTCCTACTAATACTATAAAGGCAAAAGTTTATAAGGATGGATTGATGGATGATACTCTTTCATATAAAAGCTACTAAACTAATTTGAATGAAATTGAGTGCACAGATAGATTATATCCTAACACACAGGATAAGTATCAGTAAGTACATAAAATTATTTACTTACTAATACACGCGAGCGAAGCTGCGGGATACAGCTAGTCTGCATTATATAAAAAAAAAATTATTTATCTACATTATCAATCAATTCTCAATTCCTGACAATTATCAAAAATATTAAAATACTTATTATTGGCGTAAAATGTGCATTAATCATAAAACAAGTTGCACATTATCAATATAAATATTATTTTGCTTTTAAAATCTGCAATTATTTTTTATCATCATGCGTATATTAAAATGGATGTGAGGTGTGGCAAGCATAGATAAAACATATATACCTATAAATTTTATCATCATATCGACTCGAATATTATTACAATCTGCACTACTAGTACCTTTAGAAATATTCTTGATTGTGGTTCCAAATCTATCTTGCAAGGTTCAATATTAAACTCCTTAGGCCATTGTGGAATGTTTGGTTTAGATTTATCAGTGACAGCATAATCCTCAAGTGTGATACTACTTATTTCTGGACCGTCGGAAGACATTTTTACAGATCCACTGACATGAACTATCGACTCATTAATTACATCCACTTCTAGAGTTCTAGGTACCCCTAATAATTACACAAGACACGTTGGAGATATATATATATATATATATATATATATATATATATATATATATATATATATATATATATATATATATATATATATATATATATATATATATATATATATTAATATTGAAACATAGTGACTGAAATCCTTTGAAACAACATCTTACCTACACTAATCATTCCAAAATCTAAACATGGTACGCTGAACTTCAATGAGGGATATATAACTTCACCCCTAAAAATAATAATATCATTATTTTTTATATAATTTTTGTACTAATTTTTAAGGGACTTTAAATTACACATGCTATTTGTGTATTTTTGTATATATTGCCTACGGAATATTTCCGCAACTTTTGAATCAATGTAACTTTTTTATAATCGATGGAGATATATTTATTTCGGTGTTGGTCCATACGAATTTGTTATGAGTGAATTAAGTATAATTATGCTTGCGGAATAAAATGTATTATTCACAAGCATTAACACAAGTCTTATACACCTTTATAATGTAATGAAAAATGGCTTCTTACTTTAAATATACTTTTAATACAATATCGGTATCACGAATTGCGAAATTGATTTCTTCAAAATATGGTCCTTGGTTAGAATTGCTAAAAGTGATCACGAATATTTCCTTATCTCCTGGACGTAAACAGTGTAGCTCGGGTGTACATTTTATGTGGCTACCAAATAATACAGGTACTTCTTTGTACACTATAACACCATTTATGTGACCTAAAAATAACAACAGAATGCAGAAGAAATGCAGACGATAGACAGAACATTCAACGCCTGGATTTATCAATTAGTGATCTTAATTACACTAAATTATTATATATAAGTTTGCTTCCATATCTATAACCCATTTTTCTAAATACAAATACAGATCGTAAACATACACACACGAGCAATAATAAAATTATCCAAAAATATGCACGTTGAAAATTACTCGTCTTTAAAAGATACTGACAGTCATTGTGTCAATAGTATCAGATACTTAAATGTTATCTTATGAATTCATAACATGATATATCTGGTTAATTAAATTCATTCAACCACCGTATGACAAGTACAAACATAGAAAACGGAGGGGGATTGTTAGTAATGCAGACTACTAAGCCCATTGCTAGCAATATAGGGTACATTCAGCCTTATTATTATTAATCCATTGCAATAATATATAAAACATTTTCATAAACTTTTACATTGGTAATATTTTTTTTATACAACTTAGAATGGCAAACAAGCTAACGGCCCACCTGATGGAAATCGTAACCGTGGCCTATAGACATGAACAGTACCATAAACATAACAAAGTATACTGTTTCGCCCATGATACCCCATGCGTTGCCATTCCTGAGGACTCAGGTGTTATTCCTCTGTACTCTGTAAATTCACGCCATATCCCACCCTTCAAATCGAAACACGGCCATGCAAACATAACTGCTTTACGGTTGAAATACGAATGCGATAGAGATACCCAAGCAAACGACTTTTGTACAAAGTCTCCCTCTGGTATAATATTAATAACACAAATCACCTTTATTAATAGCAACTATTTCATAGTTATATTTTTTATTGATATACACGCAATCCATATCCAGTGTCTCCAAATTGAGGTGTATAGTTGGTGGCAGTGAAGTGCCAACCATCTGTAGTGGCACACGATCTAAAACTCCATCAATGTCTAAATACGCCGTCGACTGAAATTCACCTATTTGTTTAGGTGAAAATATTATAGTTATTTCTGTAGCTTTATTTGGCCAAAGCTTGCCTTTCTGTAAACAGTAAAATGCTATTACTATTATAATGTAGTTCTCTAATGTTTAATCTTTAGAAAAAAATCAATAATTGATTTTATATTTACAGCATAGTTATCTAAACACAAGTTGTTATAACTTAACTATATGTCAATACATATATCGTCTGATGAATCTAATTCCACTATAGGTATTAATTGCATATCTGTAAATTGTACTAACAATCGGTGTAATAGAAAAGTGGGTATTCTGAAAACATAAGGTTTCGTCTGCAACTAGCGCCTGTATTTCATCGAAAAATATTCTTGTGTACACTCTTTCATGTTCTTCGCTATTTAGAACATCATATTGAACTAATTTCGTAGATTTTGCAGATTCACTATCTTTCACGTTGTTAAAAATCGTGGCTAATTTTACCTTTTCTTCAAAATCTAGAATAATATTCGATAAATAATTTCATCATCGCCTAATATTATTATATACATAGCCTATATTTTTTATAAATTTTTTAGAATACAAAATAATAAAAACACATTATATGTGTTGCAGAGAGCCAATGGATGAATCAGTGGACCTTTAACTGCTAAAATGAATGAAAGAAATGAAACACTATTTACAGATAATAGTCAGATTTAAATCTTACCATAGTATACACATTCATTCTTCATGCACATGTAAGTAAGTACATGATTTGATTTGTTAATGATCTTAAAGATTTGTTGGCGCGCCATCGTATTGTAAGTGTCAAGAAATCTAACAACTTGTTTCTCTAGCTCGACTGAGACTATATGTGTTGTTCCATATAAATTTATTCTGAAATTCTCTCCTAATCAACACAGAAAACACATATGGCTACATTATTAGTTTTTTAAAGATATTGTGTCCTAAAATAATGTTTTGACTAAATCTTAGAGATAATGACAGTATTTATGTGTATTTATATACATATATCCTTGTGACTAAACAAATGGTTGGCTAATTTAATGCTATACCTACTTGTAATAAACAAAATATTATATATCTTGTTAGTACTCGAACTTATACTAAACGTATAAAACTTACTGCAAATTTTGAAAATATGTTTATTGTATAACTCCGCATTTGGGAATCCTAAATTATTTTTTTTATGAAAGAAGTAGAACCTACCTGTTTCAAACATAGCATTTAAAAGTCCTTTTATATTTCCAAGATTCATCGTTTTGAAACTAATTCTAATATCAATCTTCTGGTCAGGATTTAAATAAGCAGACTTAGGTTGTACTGAAAACGGACTATAAAAGAGATATGGATCAATCAACGATCTATCACAGATGTTAATACATATCATCTATCTATATAATACATAAAAATATGTATACCATTTAGTGCTAAGCGTGAAACCTGCAGGGACCGCACCAATATTATGTACAGTCATATAAACAAAATTTTCTATTTTAAGCGGCACTTTTGGTACATATATTTCATCAGGAAAATCGAATATAGGTCTAGGCCCCATAGCTGTAGAAAGAGATTGCAATTTAATACACATTTATATCTCCCAACTTATAAACAATCAGAACCTTTTATAAAATGTAGAAATTACAAACCTATCAATGGCAAGATATACTGATCTAGGTCAGTATAGAAAGTGACTCTATGGGTGTAATCCTCATACTGAACCGGCATAAAAGTGATCGCAAAAGTTACACTGATGCCGGGTGCAAGACGCGACAGAAGTTGTCCACCACAAGGTTTGATAAAAAAATATGAAGATTCTTTAAACACCATGTTGAGGAACGTCGGAGCCTAGACAAATTGCACATATTATTTAATTTATTAACAGAATTATTAATTTAATATTACTTAAATCAAAATTCATATAAAAAAAGTTCACAGTAAAACTGATACAACTGATCTCTAACCAGTGTATCAGTCGACCATTATTATTATTGTTGTAGTAATGAGGAATATGTGTTCGTTTTGTTATAGTACTGATATCCAAAAACTCCATACACTTTCTATTTTAATGCCGACAGCACATGTGTTACCTGTTACTGTACTAGCTACAGCGTACCTTACTTATATTTTTGACAGAAAACTTTGCGACGATCTTGTCGTTTGGTTTAAAGTTTTGGAATACGATTATTCTTGGTGTAAAGGAGAGCACAACATTATTAGATTTCTCGCCACGACTAACAATATTATCAACTACCAAATTATGCAAATTTTTTAATCGTTCCATAGTGTTCATGCGCATTTCCTTCTCATACTGTGAAGGAATTATCTGGGGAGAAAAAGTTATTTTACTTTATAAGTATAGATACGTCGTCTTATACATTGTTTTAGTGTTATTCTTTCTAATATTTATACTTTATTGTAGACAAAAAGTACATTGTTATAATTTATTTTAAATAAAGATGTACAATAGGCGTGTTTAACTCTGTAAGAGTTCTCTTCCAGTAAACCTTAAGTAGAAAGGAGCATTAATTACCAACGGGCAGTGTGCGCACAGTAAGAAGTGGAAACAGTATGGTTTTTTCTACTAAGAAATAATAAATATGCTTGCCTAAATACAAAGTTACTTATATCGTTACATTCAAAATACACACATACTTGTATATAATAATAAAAATATATAAAATACTATCTCTGTGATATATATTTTTTTAATATCGCAAGTGCAACATTAAAAACGAAAATTTTTTTTCATAATTGGTTCAATCAGGACTATTGTATCTGTATAAATAGATATCATACACATACACATAAGTAAATATATAAAACCGTAAGCTACTCATGCGACTATTAGACAGTGTCTATCTTTAGAATGTGAAACAAATATTTGTTTGCGTAAATCAACTATGTTTTCATCTTGTAAGTAGCCACTTACGTAATTTATATTTCTTTATTATATTTATTTATTGAGAGCGTCATAGCTTAATGATCTCGAGTTCAGAAAATATATAGAAATTCAAATTAAGAAACCAGTTTGAACTAAAAGACGTCAAAACTCAGACGCAAACTCATCTGACTCACTAATGACAATAAACTCTTAATATATAAATAAAATAACTCACATAATTTAATATAATTGATAATATAACTGATGATGAACTGTAACTGATGAACTGTAACTGATGAACTGTAATGGTAAATAAAATTAATGAACTTGAAATATGTGATAAAGATATACTCGCTTCCTAATAGATTTAAATATAATATAATAGGGAATAGTAGCCAATAGTACTAAAAATGTCTATTTAGGGTGACAATCTAATGAATATACTTTTATATATATAAAATATATAAGAAATTTCGTTAATGAAATTAATATATATCTTAAATTATCAAGAATTTCTTTGTCGGTTTTATCGATCAAGAAATGAAATTTTGATTATGTCTAACTAATATTACAAGTATCAGGACTATAAAATGTTTAATATCTACAACCTCTTCCGAAGTTGCCAACAGGTTTTTGTTAGCCAGTAAATGATAAAGTTCCGCACTAAAATATCCATTCTGTTTAAACTTATGCAATATTTCCATAATGCAACAAATTAAACATTTGATCTTGAATTCAACAAATTATTTGTTTACCTGCTGACGGACGCTATGAGTATCCAAATTTAAAAATATATCAGAATTAACATTGACATTTATCAAACAGTTAAAAGTTATCGTTGCAAGGAGGATTCATACTGACTACAACTTTTTCTATTTTATTTTTTTTATATAAAATTTTTGTTTCTATATTCTGTTTATTAACTAAATCTACTGGAACATTAAGTAACTACCAACTGCTATAGACTCATGCTGCGCTTTAAATAAAATACTGAAGGGCAGTTATTTTAAAACTGAAGATACTCACTCGTATGTTTCCTAAAATCTTCTCACTACTTGTAATCTTACTACTTACTAATAAAAAAACGATAACTGTACATGGAAGATATTTAAGAAAAACTGATTATATCTTAATGAGAGCAGTAGAAACTAATACAATAATTTTCAAAAATTTCGTCTGTCTGTCTGCGTGTTTGTTCCTGCATGACGTAAAAATTACTGCAGCAAACTGGATGCAATTTTCAATTGTATTACTGAAGATATAACTTAAAGTCTGGTGTATGTTTTACCTTAATACAATTTTAAGTAGTGATCTATTTCATTGGTTTTCCTACTTCTGAAATCCACGCGTACTAAGTAGCGGGTGAAGGCTCATACTAAATGTAAAATCAATATCTATCCAGTATTCGTATAACAATTTCGCAAGGTGTTTGACTTGGGCAAGAGGGCACAAAGATGAGTGCGGAAATAGCAGATGCGGCGTAATTTTAGTAGAATCGGGGCAACTCGGCCGCGGACCGAAATAGAGGTGCCGGCGCACGCGTCTTCCCGCTGTCAATTTCGTCCGGATTAGGCGCACGATTAGCTCCCGTGCGGAGAGCACGGCGAAGTGTATATCCACGTCAAAAGAACCCTTTTGACCACCCCGCGAGTGAAGTGTTCCTCAAAATGGTGTGCGGTTGCATAATACGTCTGCAGTTATGTGTGTGACTCAGCACTCTTAAATTACTTAGTGACATTTCCACATCTAGTATAACAGCACACTCAAGTATGTATCTACAGTTACATTATGTTCTTTCTAATATGTGTCTATATTATTAATTTATCTCGAAATTTTTTTTAATAAGGAGTTTTAATACGCATATTTAAAAAATATTTTTAGAAAAATCTAACTTTAATAAATAATCATAATATACCCGCTTGAATAAAGCGAATAATTAATTTCATTTCCTGTATATTTCTAAAAAGATATTTTATACTTTGATTGTATCAATAATAAAGTATACTGTTCATTTGCGAGTATAAACTCCTGATATTTTGGGATGCCTATGAGTGGCGGAATAAATGGGTCGTCGAGACGTCCACGATACGGCAACGCCCGCTCTATCCCGGTCACAGCTGCCATTTAAACACAATACTTTCAATAAACATTCAAAGAAGCCGTATATAAATTATTACTTATAGTCGATAGGTCAATCAATATAATTAATTAGGTAAATATATTGTTATCATTATTATATATTCAGGTACACTGTCACAAAACAAGTTTGGAATTCAGACACTCTTATACCTGGTTCTATATTCAAAGGAGTTTCTAATAAAAATGAAGTACTAAACAAAATAGGCACAACTAATGTTTATTTAACAATTACAATCTAAATATATTGTACTGAATATATATTATTAATTTCTGAACTTTTGAACAAGATGAGGCCTATTTTTGTCAAACCCAGGCTCGTGCACTTTAATTACGAATAAAAACGTTTGTATGAAATCTATATAACTACTTAATAAAATTTGAATAGAATCATTGTAAATACTTGCACAATACTTTTAATATTAATTTATTTTATTGTGTTGATACTTCTGGGTGGTAGGTAACTTAGAATCATTTTCCGAAACAATTTAATTGATTTAAGGGCAGTGTCGGGTCCTAAATAACTATTTATTCTGAAGTCCGATCAGTGATAGTTTTGCACTAAAATGAAAATAAAAAATAATAAAAATATTAAAAAGTACTGACAGAAGCTTAATTGTCATAGACAATTTCTTGAGTATTATAACTAAAATAACCGCCAGGTAAACACTTAGATATTACTTACATACTTATTTTTTAACCTTCGTGGCGTAACAGATACGTTAATTTTCGTAAATAAAATCCCGGATTCATCTCCTGGTGGAGCCAATTGTGGAACCAAACTTTACTAAATTGACTCAGATCTAGCTCTTTAAAGTTGTACTTCAGATGTTCGTTGTTTGATTCTTTATAATACAAGGTGTATAGCATCAGAACCAGGCGGTTGGTGTATTTGTATGGTATATTACTATTGTTACTATTTAGGTATTGATACTTCAGATATATCTAAGATTAATTATTAATCAAAATGGTATTAAATCACTACTTGTTAACATAGTTATAATATAGAAAATAAATGATTAACCTATGCTCTGTAATAACGTAATAATAATAAATACTAACTGTAATAGTAGTTACGTATATTTGTCAAATATTAACCATACCTATATAACCTAGTATCTGCTCAAAATACCCACAACAAGGATCATATTATGATCTAAAAGTGCAAAGTAGTAAACTAATTTGTTTTGTTAATGTTTTTTTAAATCACCAGCGAATTATTCGAAACTTAAATCGACTCACGATGTTGTTAATCTCGGCTATCATTATTGCTACAATGATGACAAAGGTACTACTGATAAAATGACCACAATCAGTGACCCTCATTTCCGAATAAAATTCTGGAAAAATCCTAATTCAGAGTTTCGCTAGCAAAATTGGTCTCTACTCGCAGTGTTTCTAATTTTTCTCCTGCCTAATTTCTCTTCCCTCGGGACAATCGTTTCAAACATTTACCGTGTTTTCGTTACACAATAGTTTTTCGTCTATAAGAAACTCTTTCAAAGATAAGTCCTCCCTTGCTAACAAGTTGTTAAACTAATCGTCGCATGTATTGTTTAAGTGCAATATATATATATATATATATATATATATATATATATATATATATATATATATATATATATATATATATATATATATATAAAACTCTTTGAGACGTCTCCAAAACTTTCTTCCTATCAAAACAAAGATCAATATAAGTCACACACTCCTACCAATTCTTGATTATGCAGATGTTTGTTTTCTTGATGCCACTGTTGAACTTCAGAACAAGCTAGAACATCTCTAAATCTCGGTATTCGTTTTATATTTGGATTACATAAATTCTCCCATGTTTCTCACTACAGAAAACAGTTACAATGGCTTCCTTTTCAGCTCCGACTTAATCTACACATACTCTCTTTTCTTTATAATATCCTGCATAATCCCATTGCACCAAAATATCTTCGTGAGCGGTTTAACTTTCTGTATTCGGCGGAAAGCAATACTAGGACTCTTAATCGTTCTTTATTGCGAACTCCGATTCATTCTGATCAAGCATATTCAGACTTTTTTGTTGTGGCTGCAATTAGATTATGGAACACACTTTCTCATGAAATTAGAAATTGTCCAAGCATTGGGATGTTCAAATCGAGCCTGAAGAATTATTACCTCTGAAGAATTATCATCACAATGCTGATGTACGTACTTATTATATTTGTGTATTATATATAATATATATCTATCTATTTATATGTATTTACTTATATATATTTTTATTTATTTATTTATACCTATCGGTCTTTTCAATTATAAAGACATTTTATTTATTTATTTTTAACTAACATTTAGGTCGATTGGTACACGTATGACTGTAACTACTAATAAACTGTCAGTTTTCTCATATTGGGTTTTGCTGGAAGAAATCTCTTTTGGAGATAAGCTCGCCTTTGTGCACTATTATGTTTGCTTTTCCATTTCAATAACCTTCTGTGTACAATAAAGAATAAACTTTCTAAATTTCAAGTTCCATTATTTCTACTTCTAGTTCTCATTCATACATTAATAGTTCCCTTCTTTTTTTTACTATAAATATTAACTAAACATGATACAGATTTTTTCTTAGTCATAATTTCGTAATAATAAATATTGAATATTTGTCAAGGATGCTGAAAGGTCGCGGCCGTGACCCTCGGACCACCTTCACTATTCCGGGGCACAACGCAACGCGCCCTTCGACTCAGGCACACAACACGATGCGACCACCGGCTCAAGGACAGACACACGCTACACTGCGCCAGACTGTGCAGAATAACAGAGCGCCTTTGTCAAAACCAGAGCCAGAATATGAAGTTGTCGAGTTTCCAACCGAACAGTATGTGAACGCAAAGCTTCAGCCTCCGCCGCCACCGCCTCCGCGACCTCCCACAGGTAATTTATTTGCATACTAACGTGAACAATTTGTTGAAATGTCATATATTAATTATTGTATTTTTTTAAATTTCATAATTATTAATTTATCAAACATTTTAATGGACCATTTAAGACCATTTATAATTACAAACATAATTAAACTTTCAAAATGACAATATAACCTAACTAGGCTATAATATTTACCTCAAATAATTATACTAATTCCACTTTACATCCTTTTTTTCAACAAAAATATTTATGTAAATAAAAGACTTAAATGAGTTCTCAGTTTTCAACAAAATAACACGTTAAAAATTACCAAAAAATTCGTGAATAATATAAATTAATATGAGACCAACTCTGGAGTATCTAAACCTTATCTACTACAAAAAGAACTATTAATATATTTTTTTTTTTATGGCAAACAAGCTGACGGCCCACTGATGGAAAGTGGTAACCGTCGCCTATAAACGTACCCAAGCAAAAACTTTTGTACAAAGTCTCCCTCTGGTAAAATATAGGTTTAAACGAAAAAACCTGGGGTGCGAGTTCTTTTATGAAATGGACACCTAATAGTTATTATTATTGACACTGTTGTTTAGAATTTCAATACTTATACAATACAAAACAATAATTACAATATTTTGGAGGAAACAGTGAAAAATATCTAAGCACATTTAATTAACACACTAATACCTGCTATGTCGGTTTGAGAGCTTATTACAAACTTAAAAACTTGACAAATTTAAGGTTAGGATAATCGATAAGTGATGATGAAAAGGTAGATATGCCATCATGATAAATTTTAAAATTAACCATGATGGTTTCTAGGGGGAACCTCGTGGAGGTCGACTTGATAGGATACATTGCTAATAGTACGATTATTAGACACCATTACTAATAACCCCTTTCCCCCCTGCAGACAGGGTAGCTCTATTTAATCTGCAAAATTGTCAGATTCTAAGCGCTTTGTTAGTCATTTACCATCAGGTGAGCCGCATGCTCGTTTGCCCCATGTGTGTTATAAAAAAAATTAAGCACTCGTAAAAAGTCCTTTGCCTAACATAGGTCACCCGTTGGAAGCTGGTGCATCATGTGGACTGTGTGGGGGCGGCGGTGCACGTGTGAGATGCTCAGAGTGCGGCCGCCGAGCTCTCTGCGCCTCATGCGACGATATGTACCATCGCCATCCGAAACGAAGAAACCATCAGAGACAGGTGACGATACAAATTTCAACTAACCGCTAACGTGACCAACGTGCCTATGTGTTTTACAACAATTATTATAGTTGTAACAGCGGAAGGGGGAGGGGAAATGTGAGAGCACAATGGCTAACGACAATATCGTACTACTTATTTACGAGTACGGGTCGGTAGGGATAACGTAATTTATTTTGGCAACATTTCTACAATAGCAATATTAATTATATACTACGTAATTACCATTTATAATATTTTTAATATTATTTACAATGACTATGAACTTAATTATTCAGGTGCTAAAAATTTAATTTTTTTTAACTAATCCAGAAAGTTGAAAGTTTCTAATTTCCCTGTAATGTCATATAATAATAATTACTTTGCGCGCTATTTTCATATATTTTGAATCGATTTTTATGATTGATTTACAGTCTATTATATAATTTAATTCATCTTAATAGATACTGTATTAATTATGTCACGGTTAAAATTACTGTTTTTTTTTTTTTGAAGAAAATATCAAATTATAAACAGATTGACACATTATTCTAGGTCCATTCCATCTATAATATGATAATATAACAAAAAGCATTTTGAAAAATTCCATACAGGCTCTACCCACATCACAATTACTGGACGAAAGACCTCCACTACCTCCGAAAGGCACGCCACCTGTACCTCCACCACGACGACACAAGGTTTATTATTTCTTGTAATTGTTAAAAAAAAAACTATTTATAACAAGCATAATGAGATAAACGCTTAATATATCTATATTACTACTTCTTCACCATGGCGAGAAGGAACACTTAAAATAAAACTACAATATTAGGGTACTTTTTGTAATAGTATTTTTTTTTTGTGGGATGAAAATGGAATGGTAACTCTGCCTGCACTATTGATATACGCTGGCAAGGCACCAGTGAGGGATGATAGGTGAGAATGAAAGGTCAGTTAGCTCATCGTATTAAATTCTTCAATAATTAACCACTTTGGTTTCCAGGGGGAACCGCGTTGTGGTCGACCTGATAGGGTATATTGCTAGTAATGGAGCCCTAAATCCGTAAATTACTAACAATCCCTTACCCCCCGTAGTAGTATATTAGGCGCTACACCAAACTCCCTGGTCAAGAATAAGACTCGATATAAACAGTGGAACGTAATGGAAATTAATAACCTCATTGCTGGCAATATTATTATTGACAACCTCCCTGGTGCAGTGGTAGACAAGTTGATTTGCGTAAATGATGATCTGGGTTAGATTCCTGGTTAAACCAATTTAGATCTGAATTGCCTCAGGTGTGACTATTCTGGATTATGTTCCTACAAGCTAGCCGCCCGGTCTCTAATCGGTATTATAGTTTGATGACTAGGTAATTAATACGAATTTATTGCATACATACATACATACATATCTGTCACGCCTGTCTCCCATTAGGGTAGGAATTTATTGCACTTACAATAAATATATCCTTCAATCATAATTATTTATTAAACACCATAACTTTCGATATATATATCATTGATAGTTCTCAGTTATTTGTTGTTGTAATTAATACAAAACACAATTAGAATGTTGCATACATTTTCCAGATGAGTGGTGACAGAATGAGCGCAAGCCCCAGGCCCCCGGCAATGGACCAGCGTCGAGCCACTTTAGGACACCTATCAATGAATTCAAACCAAACCGCAACTTTACCACTTAACAATAATGTTCTTCATTCGCAACAAATACCTCCTCACCTTCAAGCCAAGCTGTCGCAACCGAACACGAGTCATCTCGGCAGTATGCCATATCTCGCCAGCCCGACCATGCAACACGCACAAGCGCCTGTCAATCAAATGCAGTCAAGCCCCGTGGACCATCATTCTACGGCGTGGGGGCGTCCTCGCGGATCGTTGCCTGGATTCAACATGCCTTCAAATATGGTAAAAAATTAAATGTAATGTTATATTTTTTATTTTCCCAAAGATGGTTGACGTCGGGCAGGCGACCGGTCGTAAAACTAAAAGCCAAATCTTTTTGTAATATGGATAAAAACATAACGCCGACTCCAAATAATAATTGGGATAAGGGTAGGAAGATGATGTTATATTTTTTATCTTGTTCTTATTATCTACTGCTTGACTCTTCTACAGACGCATATTGAAGGCGTCATTTTTAAAAGGAAGAGAGGAGGAGATTTTGCAGAAATTTATGACATAATCACATTGTCCTTTTATTAGACCATTTTTTATAACGATTGGGTATTTTAACAATATGCGAGAACTCAACAATCAAATAAATTAATAGGTATTGTACACTATTTTGTGTATTTGAAATTTATAGTATTAATAGTAATTTCTGATTTCTCTTCAAAAGCTTCCGTTTTTGTTAAAGGATACAAATTTTAAATCATTTTAAGTTTTTAGACAAAATTTTTATATAATTGACATTATCTATCACTACAGGCAATGACGTCAGAAGCATGGGAGAATGCAGAGACTCACGCTCCTCCAGGTCAGCCTTGGAGTCGGCCGTTGCGGCGGGGCGCGTCAGTACTAGAGCTGGGCGGCAGCGGCGCGCAGTGCGGCGGCTGCTCGCACTGCGCGCCGCTGCCGTGGCGATACGGCAGCTGCGCTAACCTCGAGCACCCGTGGATCGGCGGCTGGCCGCAGCCGCCTCCTTCTTGCTGTGTTCACCCACCCCAGCATCCCCATCTACACTCGTATACCCCACAAACTCCACAACCGTACCGCAGAGGTGAGTATTCAAGCAGCCTACTTGTAATATATCGTTTGAAAGAAAAAACAAGAACCCTGTCAGGTCGACATCCAAACGGTCCCGCTCAAAAACCATCGTGGTCATTTATTCATGATTAACAGGCCAATTGATTTAATTAAGTTAAACGTGATCAATTTCATATAAAGAATAAAAAAAATGTTTTCATACTTATTTCCTCTCAATTCCTTGGATAACTTTTTCAGTTTTATAAATCACTTATATTATCCTTGAAAATCATATTGTCATATACCCTTTCTTTTATAAGAATAAAAAATTCGGAATTATACCATAAAAATACATTATGATTACATTTTAATATATATAGAGCATAATTTTAGTTTTAAATTAAATTAATTAAAATAATCTCATTATTTTTAGAATCATTACTTATAGGTCAGTATCTAAGTAATCGAAGAGTGAATGTTTTATTTTTTTATACTAATATACCTACATATCAATTTTTAGGGGACAGCCGTACAATGTCTCGTGCTGCGTCACGAACTGGTTCCCGTGCAGCTTCCCCAGCAGTAAGTGTTCGATCACGCACTTCTCGCCGCACGAAACATCGTACTCCTTCTCCGCCGCCGCTACCGTCTAGCGATGCCGATTCAGAAAGCGAGAGTGATGGTGCTCCTGCTCCTACTCGAGTACCAGCCTCCATCCCTGCAGCCACGCCTCCCACCCAGGCTCCTACAACTCGAGCTGTCAGTCCTGTCAACCAACCCCAAGAACAAGACGAGGAAGAATCTATGGGCCCCGCACCGCCGCCTCCTAACACATCCTGGCAGTGTGAACACTGCACGTTCGTGAACGAGCCAGGCGTACGTGTCTGTGCAATTTGCTGCCGTACACCGACTGCTGCTCCTAAAGTCATTGATACTATGAACAGCAGTATAGCGCGATTAAAAGTTCAAGAGAAGAGCTCACCATCACCTGCGCGTTATATAGAAGAACCGCGAGAAAGACTAAGTTAGTATATCTTATATCATTATTATTAGACAATGTAACATTTTATAAATTATTTATACTTATATACTATATTCAACAAATGCATAACAATTTAATCCTATTTCTCAGATGGAGAGGGAACTAAAAATTTAAATAAAAAGGAGAAAGCTTCTACTGGATGTGGACCATCACCACCGCGGGAAGAAAAAACAAAAAACAAACCCACAAACAGGCTTATGACTCCTACGAGAGAAAACATTAATGATCATACAGAGTCACTAAATACAAGACTGGTTACATCATCACGTCAAGATTTACAAGATTCTGTCAAAGTAGCGTCTCCGTCTCGAGAAATCCCTACTATCAGAGCCTCTCCGTACCGGGAAAGTCAATCAAGGCAGCCTGAGATTCAAAAGCATAGTGTTTCGGTTGGTCCTTCCCCGCCACGTGATAATATATCAAAGCGAGAGTCGATTGATCCGTCATCGAATAATTCTAATAAAAGCAATTATAAAAAGTCCATTGCTACTTCCCCTCCGCGTGGTGCGATTCTTGAAAGTCATTCATCATCTTCATCCCTCCGAGCCAACGTATCAAATACCGGTACGTCTCCACCGCCGCAAAGTATCTCCACACAGGTAAAATATAACAAAGCTCTAGATTTATTTTATTAGAATGAAACTGCTTTGAAATCGCAAGAATTTACTGCTGGCTATTATACATATAATCAACTTCAGAACATAGCTATTGTAAATATATTTCTTAATAAGCATTTGAAGTGTTTAGTTACATACGCAGCTTTTAAAAGCTTTAGATAGATAGATACTTTTTATTGTTTCCTTCAAAAAATTACAATAGTAAACTTATTATAAATATAAACGGTTATAAGAAATAATCACAATGAGAAAACAATGGGCGACCTTATCATTAAAAGTGATCTCTTCCAGGCAAACTTTGGATGGAGAAGAGTAATTATAAACTTTATTAGCTTTCATAATTACTACTTGTCGTTAGTGTACCTAAAAATGCTTTGTTTACATTTAACTACTTATTCTATTGCGGTTTCAAATCAGTTTACAAATAAATACACAAATCAAGAGAATCCTATTAATGTGCCTAATTAATGCGAAAGTAATGGATGGATGGATGTTACTCTTTCAAGTAAAAACTACTCAAGGGAATTAAATGAAATTAGGTACACGGGTAAATTTACCCGTACCCATATCTAACTTAGCACGTAAGATATTCTATATAATAATTCATGTGAGCAGGGTCACAGGATACCGCTACTATAAGGATAAACGCCATTAGCTCTCGAATCTTTGTGAGGATGAATAGATACATAGATGTTATGTAAATGATACAACTTTTGTTTGTAAAAATATACTTAATCATTTTATATGTGCTTCGTAAGTTAGTTTATTTTTCATTTAAAAAAAAAAGACCATTTCTATTTGAAAATATCTATTAATTTATTCAAAGTCTCTGTAGCTCCTGTAGTAAGTATTGCAATAATGCATCAGCGTTAATATTTGGACAGGTCTTTAGTAGCTAATGAATATTGTACGTCCTGGTACCTATTTCTATTCAATAAAACTTATTAAAAATGCCACTTTATTAATAAGATCGTTACTTTTTTATTAGACTTATGAAGACCCAAGTTCATGGGAGCGCGCACCCTCCGCTTCACGGTCTCGCTCAAGACCCCGGAGACGATTCCGAGATGAAACTCGCCGGGAACGTTCACATAGTAGACACTCGATGTCCAGTGATACCCGAGTAAGTCAATAATCTAAACAACCGATCGATTTACTTGATTCAGTCCTATGTTCTTTTGAGTAAATCAATTTACGAGATAAACTCGCTTACTGAAAAGTTCAAATGGCCAAATATATATTTTTACGTTTAATAACTAAGTTTCTCCACACTATTTTATGTTACGTGGTCAAAATGCGAACTCTGCGCAGTGTAATAATAATAATAATAAACTCTTTATTGCGCACAGTAGAGATGTATACAAGCAGTGTAGTGTGGCTTGTAGTTCGCATTTGTAATAATTATAATATAAATATAATATAATTAAAATTATGAATAGGAGAGCGAACGGAGCGTCCGCACGAGCGGCGGTGGCGGTGGTGGAGGAGGAGGAGGAAGGTGGGAGTGGCGCGAGACTCGCGACAGCAGCCCCGGCGGCGACTGGAGTGACGGCGAGCGCCGCCGCGCCGGCACGCGCCTTACGCGCCGCGCCTCGCATCTAGACCTCCACAGGACGAGGCCGGCGCGTCGCTCCAGCTTCTACGGCTCGGAGGTAAAGAGCGCTACGATCACTGTATACCATAGAGTGAAATCCTAATTATTAGAATCTATTTGTGCCAAAGTTCAATGGAGATGTATATATATGGAAAAAATCTGTTAACAATATAATTTATTTTGGATAGCCTTACACCCGACAATCATTTAATAGTTATAAAGTAATAGGAATAGTACAAATTCCTACAACAAAAAAAATTATGCCATTATTTATAGAAAATTAAGTTTTCGTTTTCTCGACTTCTCTATATTATCTCTGGATTTTTATTTTTTAGTAATAGCTGATATTATATGAGTCTGTTTATCCTGCGAATAGGCGGCGTCACCGGAACCCTTGTCGTCTGGAAGAGCGATATCTCTAGAAGCGCTAGTGAGCGCTGGAGCTCGGCGAGAAACGGAACGGGGGCTCGAACTGGCGAGACTGATGAGCGAGGCGGAGAGGCTCGGGTTCAGTGCGGCGGAGGTGCATGCAGCGCTGGCGCAGAGCCCGGGCGCGCCGCTATCGTGGCTGCGCGAGCGCTGGCCCAGCCTGTGCGCCGGCGTGCGCGCGGCGGCGGCGCGCCTGGCGCCCGGTGCCGCCGTGTCCGAGCGGGAAGCACGCGCCGCGCTCGCGCGCCACCGCGGACACATGTGGCCCGCCGTCACCGACTGCGTCGAGAGGCATCGCCGCCAGGTAACCATAATCATAATCAATTCTATATGCACTGTTAATTATATCTAAATAGTGATTGGTTGAATATAGTTTAGGAAAACTTATAACAGAATTTGACAGATTTGTGTTCGGGGGTCGATATATATATTTTAGGATGATTGCATTGTAAATTGATGCACGACAAATTGAATGAAGTTTTGAGGATTATAATGATGATGATGACAATGATAATGATGATAATGACTATTATTTCACTGCATCGATAGAAAAACTCATTGCTGAGTCGAAACAATGTTAGTAAAAATATAATTAATTATCATCAATGGAATTGAATTCAATTATTCTTGTGTAGATCATATCATATTGGATTCAACTACTATTCGATACAAATGTCTTGATTGCGTAGCATTTTTCCAGACGGAGGCGGTAGCTGTAGGCGAGGAGCGAAGACTACGTGGTCATGTATGGGGCTCCCCAGTAGGCGCGGACGATGACGCTGCTCCACCCGCTGCTAGCCGTCAACACCAGCGCCGCCTGCGCGGTAATCACAACCGATCCACAGCCAAATAGAATTACATTAGCATCGCAGAATCACCATACCACGTCATAACATTCACATTTACATTTCAGCAGAAGATAGTTCAGATGAGTTTGAAGGACCAGGACCGACCGTATTTCAAGACGATGATTGGATGTATTTACCGCTAGACTCGAATATTAATCAATACGAAAATGGACAAAATCTAGAGATAGGGGACAAGACTTTCATAGAAAAGACTAACGATAAAACTGAAGACATAGCATTAAAATTAAAATCTCTTCTTTTGCAAGCCGGAGTTCCTTCTATTAATGAAAATTTGCTTTTAAAAGGACTCTTAGCCGATAACGCCATATATAATGAAAATGCTAATGTAATGGGAACTAAACCATATTCGATGGATTTGAGTCAGTCTGAAAATGATTTTATTGATGCTTATAATGCACTAACTAGGTTAAGTCCATTACCAAATAACTATAAACCACTAAGTACGGTAGACAATAAGAAAGAAATAAAAAAACAAAATGATGTAACGCAAAGTGTAAATGAATATTCTAAAAGTGAAAACATAATTCCAATTACTAATAATAATAAACTTGACCAAATCGATAACAATATTATTCAATCCGTATCGTCAAACAATAGCTATTTGCAAGTTTCTGTTAATAAAAAACAACAACAAACAGAAAATAAATTGAATGAAATAGTTTATCCGGATAAGCTAATAATAAATACTGAAGATGAACAAACGCTTAAAAAACAATATATATTGCATGAAGATAGTTCAACAAATAAAGAAGACATAAATCTAGTTGAAATGCCTGGACAAATTATAATTACTCCTGATAAAGTTGAAAACGCAAATGAAATTAATATTCAAACAAACAGTTTCAAAACCAAGGAAGATATAAATGTATCTTTAACAGATGTATTAGAAATTGCTCCAGAAAAAGCAGAAAATGACCAAATACAAGCTTCGACATCTTCTTCATATAGCATAGACAGTAATATTAATAACACTATACTAAATCCTTCGTTACTGTACAAGGAAATAGATGAGTTTTCACAAATTGCAAACAATATAAGTCAAAACAAAACAGACATAGCGAACATAAGAAATCACTCCGAAGAACAAAGCATAGAACATTTAATAAAAGAAGTAACTTCTGAATCAATTTCAGATGTGTCACGTTCCCCCGATAGAAAAAAAGACATAAAAACTAAGAACAGTACAAATGTTAATAATCAAGAAGAAGATAAATCCACAAATTTAAACGACATTGTAGACAATACACAAAAACTAATTCAACAAATGAAAGAAGAAATTAATTCAGATATATATTCTATTGAGGATGCTAATGTTTCCCAAAGTGAAAGAGACACTAGTACTAATGAATCCGATTTCTCTTCAGAACATGAATCAAGTTATAGTGATACAGGAGAAGAGACGGATAATTTAACTTCAGATGAAAATGTAGAGTCCAGTACTAACGATGGAGAGGAACAAATTACAGAAAGATGTACATCCGTAATAAACAGAACTAGCTCAGAAGACAATGAACAGTTTGAAGAAGCTATGGATCACATACAAGAACAAATAGAGGATTTTAAACATACAAATATTGAAATTTTAGATTCTATAGCACGTAGTTTACAGGAAGAACAAATAATTTCAGTAGAATTAAATAACCATGAACCTTTGATAGTGAAACGACAAGATCGAAATAATAATATATTTACAGCTGTACAAAGTTTTGAGGAAATTTATGAGCAACTAAATACCAATGAAGTTGCAAATATTTCTCCTAAATCAAAAGAAAGCGGTGATACAGTTAAATTGAATAAAAATAATTTAGAAAAATATGACATAAATATATCATTATATAAGCCTGTATCCGCAACAAAATTAATATTAATCGAACAAAAGGAACCTATATTAAATGCGATAGAAGAAAATATGGAGGAACCTTTAAGCTTAGAAGATAAAAATAAAAATTTTCGCAATAACGATGGTAAAGAACAAATATCAAATGACCAACTTCACGCAGATAGTATTCTCAGTACGAATAATATAGTAGAGTCAGAAGAAATTGTAACCGATGATAATACTACAAATATTTTAGTTAGACCCAATGATCGTTCAAGGACTACATCCTCTGAAAATGATAAATCTATCTCAAACATACATTTGGATAAAGAAGAAAATGAGTTCATAGAAAATAAAAATATAAATATATCCGAAAATAAAAATACTTCTGATAAAGTAATTGAAAAAAACAAGAGATCCAGAAATAACACATCAGAATTAATACCTGTAAATCATGAAAACGACAATAATGGCAATAAAAATATGACCACGTCTAAGTCTAATATACCTAAACTGATTAGGGTAGTACCAAAAAATAAGCATAAAGAGGACAAAACAGCTCCTAAAATTTTGCCATCTAAAGTTCCAGTGAGACGTAATTCTGTTAAACAGTATCCCGCTCCTGCACCGCCAAAGTCCCAATTTGGATCCATTCAAAGTGGGTTTGTTAAACAATTACAAACCAAGCTATTTAATGATAAATCGCCAAAGACTGATATAAATAATAAAAAAGGTGAAGGAAAAGCTACTTTCATATCAAATTCAATTAAAAAAAGACAGGCACCTTCAGCGCCCTCGAAGTCAGAAGAGAATAAACAATCACTTACACCAAATGCATCACCCTCGAAGGAGAAAAATAATCATTATTTTCGTGAAACTTGCCGCACGGAAGATGAATGGACGGAGAGTGACACTGAAGATTCCCAAATGCAAACTGCAAAACCCAGCGAAGAACTGCACCGGGCACCGACACCACCGCCACCGATTACCGTACGTCGAGTATCAGGCCAAATTATCGACTTGGCCACAGTTCGTCTCCCGGAAGGTTCACCTGAGGTAAGAACTATTTAATTACTCGAAACCTTTAGTAAAACTGATTCATTTATTGTAAAATTAGTTTCATCGTATATAATAATGCAAACAGATATTTTCTAAAAGTATACAGAATACATTGCATGAAAAATATGCAAAAATGAAAGATGTTTTAAACATTCTAAGATATTATAATTAAGAACCGTGGATGATGTGAGGGTCTCTAATTGCATACGTACTTACTGTGACTCTAACTGGTATTTTTTTTAATAGAAAATAACACTCAATTTCATTAACATGCAAGAATGCAGCATCACAACTGCCTGTTAATTTTGGAATTCTTTTTTATTTCATTTATCGTTCATTGATAATTATCTAATCATTTAAAATTTATCCAAGAATTATAATTAATATTTCTTTAAAAATAACGAGTATTATGCCGTGACAATATATTTTTAATCTTTAGTATTCCATATCAAATTCATAAAAAGAAACCTTTATAGTACGCTTTTAGCCATCCATGGGTGTGTCCTTCTATAACAACTCAGTATTTGCCATAATGTCATTAAAAATATTTTTTCATATATCGATCCTAGATACAATTGGGTCCTATTTTACTATTGTTACAAAGCTCTATAATAAACAATGCATGTACCATGAAAGAAAAATATCTTCTGCAAGTAGGTACTGGACATCTGACACATACACATATCCTTAATATAGCTGAATTATTGATGTTTTTAGAGACAAGCTCGCATGCTGTTAGCTGAAGGTGCTGCAGAGAACTGGGATCAGGCGCATCTAGCAGTAGATCTAGTGTCGCGTGGAGTGGACCCTCCGGCTGCATTACTTGCTGCGCTAGAATGCGCCGATTTGACATCTGCTTTGGCTTATTTAAATCAAGAGTGTGAGCTGTGTGCTTCACGACTTCCGGAACATGAAGTAAGAAATATCGCTAACAAATTACAGTAAACCTAATTAAATTTAACGCCTGTAAATAAATGTAGAAGCTAATAACTCGACTTAAGAAAAAGGATGACAATTCAACTGTGTTTTTGTCTGTAGGTTATACGTACGTCTTCATCCATTATCGTGCACAAATTTTGATAAATCTTTCTTTTTTAATTAAATAAGTTTACTCCTGTGCATGTCATTAAATTATGTAGAGATTGAAATGAAATTATTTTATTATCTTATCAGGTAAATACATGTACATAAGTTAAACTGTAAGTATTATTTGAAACTACATCATACCTACGTCGCAAAAATGGGACACTTTTAATTCTACGTTGCATGAATAAACAGATCCACCAAAAAATTTTCACCTATTATTTGTATAAATAACTGTAAATCCTTTTTTCTAATCTAACAGATGGTTACAATGCTTCGTTGCACTCACCGCTGCTGCCGCGAGTGCGCGAAACTATACTTCACTGTGCAAATAACAGAGAGAAGTATAGCCGACTGTGTATGTCCGTACTGCAAAGTGCCGGAGTTGGAAAGCCTCCCTGAAGATTCGTGGCTCGAGTATTTCGCGCATCTAGACATACTATTAAAAACATTACTGGAGTCGGACGTACATGAATTATTCCAACGCAAGGTTAGAAGATAACTAAATTTACATTAGTTCTCAGGAATGGCAACAAATGGAAGGTATCATGAGCGAAATAGTATACTTTGTTATGACCATGATACCGTTTATGTCTATAGGCGACAGATACCACTTTCCATCAGGTGGACCGTCGTAAAAATATTGTTAACAAGATAGCGGGTATTGCACCAATATAATACACATGAAAACTTTTGAAAATATTACCGATAAGCCGTTTTTCGTATTTTTGCTCACGGGAATCACTACATAATCCAATAGGATTATATAGTGATTCCCGTGTCGTGATTATGTAGAGTCACTACATAATTCAATAAGATTCCATTGTTAACAACACTTTTATTTTCCCCCTCTTCACTTCGGGCACAGGTATTATTGTACTATACCTTCGAATATCCCGTCGCTCGTATCAAATAGCAAGGACAGGACACTTAGTTCGACTAAGCGTACCAAACTAAGAAAAAGTCCTATCCTATGTTAAGCTTAGATATCCAAGTACCAACTTCCATTCAAAATTGTCTAACCGATTAAGCGTGATTGAGACAAACACGCTTTTAACAAACATACAAACATCCATATATAAACTTTCTAAACCTTTATAAACTTTCACATTCATAATTTTGGTAGGATGATAAGATGTTTTTAAACACATTTTCAATAACTTCATGAAATAGGTATATAATTCCTATATAATAGCGTAAAGTTCCTATTATAAGAATTCCTATAATGTTAAATATGCAAATACAAGTTTTCAGTGTATTTTAAATACAGTTTGCTTACTTTTTAGTTACGAGATAGAACTTTAGCAAGAGATCCAAACTTCAGGTGGTGTATGGAATGTTCCTCCGGTTTCTTTGTTCACCCGAAGCAGAAGAAATTGCGATGCCCCGAATGTAGATCGGTGAGCTGCGCTACTTGCAGAAAACCGGTAAGATTGCAATATAATTTTATTAATTATTAAAAAGTTTATCACATCTCATGTCATGACGTCATCGATGCTCTTGTAGTAGTAGCATCACTCGTGGTTTTAGGCAATGAAAAATTCTAAACAGGTTACAACAAAATAACTATTACATACGTAGGTACGTAATACTTATTCTACTTCAAAATAATCTACATTGACATTGCTTTGATATATTGGTATGTTATTTAATAAAGACTAATGGTAAATTTAGTAAGACTCTTCTAAGATATATGCCTACCTCTGTCTTACGTATTTCTACAGTAAAGCAGTAATGTACAAGTTGTTGTATTTCGATTTAAACAGATTTGGTGCAATCTCTATCACACAAGGCATAACACTTGTGACTTACAGGAGTGGCTATTCATGATAGGTGCCGAAAGCAACACAGTGTGTATTCTATGTAGACCATGATGTTGTCTATGGGTATAAACTATCGCCTATACACAGATATAAATAATAAATGATTACTACTTTCCATTAGGTGTACTTGTTTGTTGTGCCTTACCTTGTTATATCTTGTTTGTTATTATGGTTTAGATGAAACTCAAAACAAAAAGTAATATTTATAAAACATTTTAGTGGTCATCAAATCACGATGGATTGACCTGTGAACAATACGCCAAATGGTTGGAAGACAACGACCCCGAATTATCAATATCAGCTGTACAACAGCATTTACGAGAAAATGGTCTAGAGTGTCCTCGATGTCATTTTAAATATTCTCTATCCAGGTATAAAAGCTTAATTATATACGTATAATTAATTGTTCTTGAACATAGCTCTACAAATAACGTCAAGGCTAATAAAACATTAAAATTCCTGCAAAATTTGTAAGAAAACAATTTCTCCTTTGTCTATTTTATTATTATAGTCCATAATATTGCAAGAACTTTCAATCCACATCTTTGATGGTGCCTATCGACCAAATATCTGGAAGTATCATATAATAAAAGAATAGATACACGATAGGTATTTTAATGAATATGCACAAAATTATACCATTTTTTCAATATTTTTTTCAGAGGAGGGTGCATGCACTTCACATGCACGCAATGCAAATATGAATTTTGTTATGGATGTGGGAAACCTTTCACCATGGGCGCACAATGTGGTCTTAGTGAATATTGCGCGAAATTAGGACTACATTCGCACCATCCACGTAACTGTCTCTTCTATCTTCGTGATAAAGAGCCGCATGAATTGCAAACACTTTTACAGGTAATATACCTACTACATGAGCGTAACACTGTGTTAGGTTGACTGGAAGAAATCTCTTTTAGAGATAAATTCGCCTTTGCTAACATTGTTATTAACTTCTTATTATTACAGTAAAAATAACATGTTTTGGTGCAATAAAGAATATATATGTGTCTGCTACCAAAACAGTTATTAATAGAAAAAATAATTAGGTAGTTCAAAATCGCGCAAAACGACTAAACTATTGGCTAACCTAACTTGTAATGCAAAATTGTTTTAATTTTTTTAATTATTTACTACAATCAAAATAAATTTTTATTTTGATTTATATATATATATATATATTATGAGTATTTTATTATTATTACTTGTAAGTATATTTTTATTTATATTGTTTATACTGCTTTTAAATGTATTTTACCCCCTTTTTTTCTTTCTTTTTCATTCTTATTATTATGCTTTCGTCAGACACAATTTGAATTATTCCTCTCCATCCTAAGGTTACCTGGAAGAGATCGCTATTAAGCGATAAGGCCGGCCATTGTTGCCTCTTTATCTTGCTTTATGTAATTAAATATTCATTTTGTTCATACACATAATGTTAGTCTTTATAATTTGTATCATTCTTTGAAAGGAACAATAAAGAGTTTTCATTCAGTCATCTAATGTCCAGTGCTCACTTATAGCCTTAGGGACGACTATCGCATTCCATCTACTTTGCAGATGAATAACGTAACATTTGAAACGGAAGCACCAGAGGGCAGCACCAATCGTTGCCCAATACAACTGCAGCGCGAAACACCTACTGGACTTGTGGATGGCATTTGCGGGAATGATGTGCCGCCCTTACACGGTGGATTATGCAAGTATGTACCTTCCCGAAACTGTTAGGTTTAACATAGTACATAAAAGCTTCAACAAACAATCTACTTAGTTCTGAATGTCTTACTAAAACTGATATACCTACTATATTTAAGCAACGTTACACACATTATCCCAATTTTAAACTTATTGTGTCTAACTCATGCTGTTCAACTTTTCTTGTTGCATTAGTTTGTAAACTTCCGTTAACAAAAACTATAACTTCTTACTTAATAATTTATTATCATATATTTCAAAAATAATTTCTAATATATTTCCTAAAATGATAAATTATAATTATTTTAATGGAAAGTGTGTATTTATTCCACTAAATCAAATGCAAAGTCAACGTTCGTAATTTTGATGTGCGAATATGGCGGTAAGCTTGACAATGGTACAAAGAGCGGGCGCGGCGGTGAGTGGGGCATGTACTTTGCAGAAACCATTACCTGGAGTACCTGAGCCGAGTAGTTCGCGCGCGGGGCATCGACCCGCTGCCACTGCTGGGGGTCGACGACCTCGAGACACTAGTACGGCGCGCGGCGCTACGCCTGCCGCCGCGGCCCTACGGCTCCTTAGAGGGGCTCTACAAGCGCGCGCTCATAGAGGTGCGTACGTGGACTGCAGCGCGTGTTGTTGCAGGGCGCACTACGTGGAGTACCTGGCGGGGCTGGCGCGCACGCTCGACCCCATCCCCATCATGGACGTGAGCGAGCTCGTGGCGGAACTGCGCCGCCGAGCGCTGCCGCTGCCCGAGCGCGGTCCCTGGGACACCGACCCCATATACGCCGGGATGTGTGCCGAGGTACCCCACACGCTAACCAAACGATCATCTCAACCGTTCCAACGTCTACTACTAAATACAGATCTGCCCTACATATGACGACTAAGTGAGATCCAGAATCACATATATTCATCGTCTCCTTTAAAAATAACGGATGTTGCGTACTTAAAAAAAAAAAATTGCCTGGGTCGACCTCTATGTGTTCCTAAGTTGTTAAACACAAAATTCAAGAACAGCTGGACCGATGCCACATTTTTTTTCTTGTCAAATATTCTTCAAGTCCTAGAAAGATTCTTATGAAGAGTAAAAATGGATACATAAAATACCGATAACTATTAGTCCCTCTGTGGTCCATATTATAAGAAATAAATAATAAAAAATTAAATTTTTAAATTTTTATTTATACAAATTTTACATACTATAAAATTATTTTACAGATTGTAAGAGAAAAAATACCATTGGATTGACGATACGATTATCATTTCGACCGGACAATGAAGATTCCAGTGATATAATGTTGTTTCTAGGGATTACGGTCGCCTTCATGTTTTTAGTAACTCTCAATATTATGTGTTTCAAGGCTTCTATATAATTATTATACTTATTAACACAATAAAAATATTTAAAATCGAGTACAGTTTATTATTATTATTATTATTACTTATCCTTAAATATTGCTAACACTAAAGATAAATTATTATTTCAAATTGTTACTTGGACCACTACAAGATAACAACAATATTAAACATAGCCGTATTTTACTTCCTTTTAGCATTTTTATTTCAGTCTTAACTTCTAAACGCACCTTTAGAAATTACGGTACATAATCAACCTTGTTATAAAACTATTTATTTCACATAATTTTCTTATACTAATAGCATTGTACAAATTTTACTGAAATTTTAACAGGACAAAATCGGATTGGCTAGTGTTATATAAAAATATGGTGCAAATGGGTAAAATCTATTTAGTAATTTGATGTACACGCGCTTATATAGTTCCTTCCGCGCCCCTCGCCCTGCGCTCCGCCTACTATTTTAGCACGGCCTAGGCCAGCAACAATCTGTCAAAGTTCATTTTTTATTTTAAAAAGCCCTTATTTACAATGTCATTTTAACTCAATAAACAACTATGTCAAGTTTGTATCAAACTTCTTTTTATTTCACATAATTTTCTTATACTAATAGCATTGTACAAATTTTACTGAAATTTTAACAGGACAAAATCGGATTGGCTAGTGTTATATAAAAATATGGTGCAAATGGGTAAAATCATAACCACAATACAGGTGTAGCGGTACAATTTACCTTCGAGCGAAATGTTCGTCCATATGCCGACGATCGCGTTGAATGTAATGCCTGTTGGAGTGGATTCTGGTTTCGAGCGAGTCGGGCAAACTACGCGCCTCAGGAGCGGCGTGCGGGCGGCGCGGCGGCTGCTCGGCGGCGGCGGCGGCGGCGGCGGCGCGCTGCGCGGCCACGCGGCGCCCGCGCTGCACCTCGCGCTCGGCCCCCGCTGCCGCCATGGTTGCCAGTCTAGCCGCTTTCTCTTCCTCGCTCATTATTTGTTTTCGTTTTTTATCATCCAAGCCTCTTCCCCTCCTGTCGGGTGAAACCACCTTAGCGTCCCTTCTATAACGCTCTTCACCGGAATCATGACGAACATTAGATTTATTCCTACTATGTTGTTCTGTTTTCTCTGAACTTATGTTATCTCTTGTCTTTTGTTTCTTAATTTTAATCTCATTATCAAGTGAGTCACTCCTCCTTTTCCTGGACTCGTTTCCAACATATGTCTCTGGTTTATTATTACTTTTCTTAATTTTTTCTTTAGTTTTTGATTTACTCTTCTTATCAGCTTCAGATTCTGAATCATCCTTATATTTATGCTTTTTTTTCTTAATTTTAGATTTCTTTATTTTCTTTATATGTTTTTTCTTCTTTTTTTTCGATCTTGACTTATCTTCATCTGAAGATGACTCGGAGGTAGAACTGTCCGAAGCAAGGAGTGTAGATATATTGACATTTCTGTCTCCAACCAAAGCACTGAGTTTGGCTGCGAGGATATTGTCCAAGTCTTTTTCTTTCTTTTTAGGTTTTTTCTTCTCTTTGCTTTCTTTCCTTTGATCCTGTAAAATGGTGAATAATATATTGATTAATATTTGAACAAAATTGCATTTTAGATATTAGTGTACAATCATTATCATTAATTAAAACAACTGTAAATAGAATTACTACACAAATTTAACAAATATTTATACACATTATAGCAGTATTAGTCACTCCTGTCAAACAGGGGGGAAAGGAATTGTTAGTAATGGAGACTGAGAATCCCATTGTTAGCAATATACCCAATCAGGTCAACCTCTTCGCGGTTCTCCCTGGAAACTATCATGGTTAATTCCTGATGACTTCATCATGATGGGCTAACTGGCCTGTTTTCATTCTCATCTATCACTCTTTACTGGTGCTCCGCCAGCATATCCCGTTAGCGCAGGCGGGGTTACCATACCATTTTCACCCATCAAAAACTCCTATCAAACACTTACTCAATATCTAAAACGGAATGAATGAAATTAAAAAAAAAAATATTAAAATACACATAATCCCAATCTTATTCATATACATGCCAATATAATTGAACCATTCAGTAATCCGTTACTAAAGTTAAATCCAATCCATTAATATTAAAGAAAATTAAAATATTTTCTAACAATAACCAATTTTAATTAAATCTTCATAATTTATACACCTGCTTTACTCATATTTGGACCAACAAGCAACTGTGCTTTCATGGATGTGTAGTTTTAGCTGTTCTTGTCCACTAATGTATATAAGCCTTCGCCATTAAACTGTATTGATCCTATGCAAACTTCTGTCACTGATTCCTTGCAACATAATTCACATTGTGTGCTTCATCTAGTGGTGATATATCTTACAATCTATCTACTTATATGGAATCAACACGCAAGAACCTTTCTTCCCCATCAGTTTCCAGCTCTTCAAGCTAAAGACAGAGCCTGTTTGCACTACAACTTTTTTATCCTTTGGGCTATTTGGCCACTTTAGTTCTTCTGCAGATATCCTCATTTCACTATCACTTCTTTACTATCTATCATGGCATATGTCAGTGTATAGATATATACTGAGATTGTAATATCTGTGATAAATTCATATATAGAGACATAAATAACATTACACTAGATATAAACAACAGTTACCACTTTCCATCACATTCAACTTATTGTTCCAAAACATATAAACAAATAATATTTTCAATAAGTTAGTAGAGATAGTTAGTAGTAGTTAATAATAAGTAGTTTTATACCTGTTCTTTTCTCAACAACTCTGTGAGACGACGCCGTTGCAATGGATTATTTAAAAGGGCGGCACGGGCAGCTCGTTCTCGTTCTTTCACAAGTAGTAGGGGATCTTCTCGAATTTTACGTGCTAAATCTACTTGAGTATCTCCAGCAGCAGATAACATGCTGGATCCAACAACTCTGCGTGCCACGGCTGGAATAACATCCTGATCTGACTTATCAGGTTGATCATAATTTTTTTCTATAGATTTCCCAAGAAGGTAATCCTCTTGTTGTGCTTTTTTATCAGGTTTCTGTAACAGATACAGCATATATTGGATTACAATTCTGAATTTCAGAAAATTTAAATTGACGATCCTCTATCCACACATTTTATTGTAATCCAATCAGCTATTTAAACATCATGTAACAAAGCTTACACTACATTCATCATATTAGTCAGATTTTATTATATGAATAAACATATTGATTATATAGTAGAATATTGATAACTCTAAAAATATTAACAATTTTGAGTTAATAACATTTTAACTTAATTAGTTTGAGATTCTAATAACTAAAATTCTACTTATTATTATTGACTATTAAAAATCTATTGAGAAAAACAGAATTTCTAAGAATATTTTTTGAGTTGTAAATTCATACTTTAATTATGATGTTAAAGTTAACAAGTTAAAAGTTTAAGTTAAAGTTAAGTTAAGAGTTAACAATTACAGGATTAAAAAATTATTTCACTGCTATATGTTCCAGGAAAGTTAAAAATAATATTTATTTCCTCCTGCTAATATCCAAAATAGGCATTTCAAATCATTTAAACTTTATAAATTAAACAAAATATATCTCACTCTGGCATAATAAAAGTACATATTTACACTTTATAGAATTTTAAAAAGCAGACAAAAATGAAGTTAGTAAATTATGTTTTATTTTGTACTAATACTCAGCTGTAGTTTTACACAGCTTTTTTAAATAAAATACAACCCATGTTACTCACTACCCGATATACCTAGTAGCTTTCTATAGGTAAAATAACTTTTAAAATTCATTTATAAATAATGGAGTTGTGAAGTAATATATAAAACATACCACCAAATTGAGAAACTTCTTTTTTTAAAGTTGGTTGAAAATAATAACATAGGACCAACTTGTGAATCACTACTCTAAAGTAAAATAATTCATAAAATTATGAAAAAATAAGAATAACACACATCATACATCCAATGTAGCCGATTATCAGAGGCTGTTGCACCAGAGCTAAGTCTGGCCAGACTATTAAGTTCTTCACGGTCTCTCTCTTCAGCACGTTCACGTTGCAAATCCTGTATATGTCGTTTTTCTTCTGCTGCCAGTTGCTCTGCCTTCCAAACGCGTTCCTGATTCTTCATTGTATTTGGATGCCATGATTTCTTCGTATTCTACAAAATAGAAGCAATAAATGTAAAGTCTCAGTAAGTAATTATGTATCATATACAGTTATACATTAAATCAGTTATATTACATTTATACAAATGTATTTAAAAGTATTAAAGAACAGAAACAATCAATTGTATTTCATAAATACAAAATACTAACCAAATCTCCACCTCCCATATTTATTTGTTATAAATAACGGTCTGCCAAGTGAAGCAACTACTGTCAAAACCCCCCTTATGGGGGAGGCCTATGTTCAGCAGTAGACAGTTAACGGCTATTACAATAATGAAGATGATGATGATGGTCTTTTTGACGAATCTGCTGAAAAAGAAAATCATATTTTCACATAAACAATTATTTCAGTCTGTAAAGTGTACTTACATCTATGTAATACAAAAGTAAACACCTTTGCCCAATAAAGGGATAACAAAATTATTGTAAGTAAAAATAGTTCAGCTGTCTTTAATGACATACATTTGAATGTAAAATTTGTTATATTTAATTATATCAACTACCTACTGAACTCGTTTCTGTTGGTTTTACCGCTACTTATTTTATTAGATACAATAAAAATGTAAAATATGAGAAGTTAAAAATAAAACTAAATATTTACTTTATCAAAAATTATAAACACAAATTAGCGACACTATGTCTACAGATTAGAGAGACTATGCCCACAGATTAGAAAGATTATGTCAAAATATAGATAAAAATTTCTTATAGAGTTTTTGGACAAAATTTTTGATTCTGTATATTAGTGATTTGACATTTCAAAAAGAACATAAGTGAATAATTGAAGCGACAAAAATTTAAAAAAACATTAGAATAATAAAATTCCAGACAATTTATCATATTGAAGACTAGGCAGCATGGTCTCCGACCTTAGCCTGTTCCACAACGGAACAAACGTATTTAAAAAAAAGAGAAAACATTAGAGCTGTGTTATATGTAATTATCGTTCTAACTATCAATAATAGTGTTGGCCTACTATATCGATATTTCTGAATTCTAGACTTGGAATTAAAAATAATAAATTTATATTTGGACATTTTTAACTAATAAAATTATAGAAAACATAAATAAACCTTTATTTTATTGATTTATTTATTTATTTTTACATTACCTCATCCAGAAAATCATCAGTACCATAACATATATAAAAAAGGAAAAATACACATAAATAAATTTAATTTGTAAATTTCTACACTCAAACACCTTGTAGTCATTTTTTTTTTCTTACCAAGTATATGTCATTCTCGCTACTTTTTGATGCTTCCACGTAATTAATTATTGATAAATAGTAAGAACCATTGTAAAAACAACACTAAGGCATTTTAGTGATTTTCTAAAAGTTTAGAAAATTACATTAGCAATATTCTTTTTTTATAAAGATATACTGTTTTTTTTTATTTTCACAAAGGGCCCATTATTGCCCATTATTAACAAAGTGGTGACGAGACAAAACATTGAAAAGGAACAGTAAAGATTTTGGTATTAGTAATAGTTATAGTTTGATATTATTATAAAAAATAAAGTAAGCTTACTACTTACTTATTGTAACTTCAATTCTATATAAATTCAGAACTGTTACATAAACATATTTGCATTTTATGCGCACTAGTGTAATTATTTTTAGTCACTTTTTGTGATTGCTACGTCTATGATATATATGGTTAGTATTATTATGTATATTAGATATATAGTTAATTATTACTTCGATATTAAAACCTATCTGAATTTAAACTCGGAACCGATCTAAATATCATAATATTAAAAAAAAAATATAGAGTCTGAAAATATAATGAAACATTCCATACCAGAGGGAGACTTTGTACAAAAGTCGATTGCTTGGGTACCTCTGTCCCATTCGTGTTTCAACCGTGAAGCAGTTGTGTTTGCATGGCTGTGTTTCGGTTTGAAGGGTGGGATATGGCGTGAATTTACTGGGTACAGAGGAATAACACCTGAGTCCTCAGGAATGGCAACGCATGGGGGGTATCATGGGCGAAACAGTATACTCTGTTATGTCCATGGTACTGCTCATGTCTATAGGCGACGGATACCACTTTCCATCAGGTGGGCCGTCAGCTTGTTTGCCATTCTAAGTTCTATAAAAAAAAAAAAAAAAAAAAAAAAAATTCTATTTATAAGTATTTTATAATCGTAACATTTCCGCTGTCGACGAAACCCAATGTATATCGATATCGAGTTGTAGATTAATGTCAATGCTGTCACTCTTAACTGAAGATAAATGTCACGTTGACATCTATCATACGACAGATGTCAACATGACATCCGTTTCCCTTGCAAAACGCTCAAGATTATTTGTCTCTCTATTTAGATGCATATGGAACATCCAAATCAAAATAGGTAAGTGATAATACGCATGCCAAGTGAAAATGTAATGGTATAGTTACCTATTATTTTTTAAGACAAATTAAGATGCGCCTCAGTATTTAAAAACTTAAAAATATTTATATTTTTTTTATAATATGTAAAAAAATAGTATTCTTATGGGGCATGTAACTCCCTAAATAGGTGTCTACTAAGCTTAGATTTTGTTTTTGATGTATGATAATAGAATGGTAACCCCGGCATACAGTGGCGGAGCAACAGTGAGGGATGATTGGTGAGGATGAAAAGGCGGGTCAGTTAGCCTATCGTGACGAATTCAACAATAAATTAGTCACAATGGTTCCCTATACTGCGTGAATTTCGACCTGATAATGTATATTGATAGCGATGGGGACTAATCTCCCCATTACTAACAATAAACTTAGATTAGGTATACTATAATCTGCACTACTGAAATTGAAAGGAAACATTGAGTAAATTTCTATGCCGTAACGTTAGCCACAGTACTTCTTTAAAAAAAAAACACTATATTTCTTTTAGAACAATCGTGTTTTCTTTCCTTTATTACTTGATACCTACCTACATATTTATTATAATTTTCTCTTGTATTGATTCTGCTTGTACAAGTACGTATTTTGTAAATCGAACAATTTTTTCGTGGTAAGTATTAATGTGGAAAAGTAAGACCTACGATATCAGGATACGCTGTCGAAAATTTATGATAAAATAAATTTGTCCCGTCGTGACGAATTTACCTCTCTTCCTCTCTTTAGGATTATAATAAAATTTATCAAAAATAAATTTGTCCCATATTTAAATCTTATAAATCGTTACTATAAATTTTAAGTTTACAAAACGGTTAAATAATTTAATTCGAGTACACTTAAATATTGCGATACTTATTTGTATGAGCAATAATTATATTATTAATAAGCGGATCGAATTATTGATTATCAGCGCCTTACTATCCGACTCGACCCACTGAAACTACTGAACTGAAACTGTTCATTTTTTACCGAATTTATCATGGAAAGTGCTCTGAGATCGGATTGATGCCTGCTGCTGATTTTTTCCATTGTACAACCCACCACAAACTAAAGTTCCATCTCAAACATCTGAATGAGTGGCAGTCCTCCACCGTGCGTTTTTCAAAACACGTTCTTCCACGCCCAACCACTCTTTGAAATCAATTTCCAGCAACATTATTTCCGAACCGATACGACATTATAACCTTCAATAAAAGAGCATATTCCTTAGTCACTTAGCTGTAGTCACTTACCAGGTGAGCCGCATACTCGTTTGATCCCTATTACAATATAGTGCGTGTAAAATAAAGTATAAAAACCTTCCTCTTACCGCATTAATATTGATATTAGTCTATCAACAACTTTGTAAATTGATCTAGTTATTAGTCTCTGTAGGTATTTGATAGTGGCACAATAACAGCCCAGTTAGGCAGCGATTAATCGTGGTGGTATCCCTAGATCGATTCCAGTCTAAATCTCGAAATTATCAGATTCACGTTTGGTTTAAAAATCAAATCACTTATTTTTTAGAATATACTTACCTAAGTTATATTCCGGTAAGTCATATCAAAGACATTTGTATTATAACGAAGACGGCCTAGAAACTCGATACTAAAACACAAATCCCCAGACAATATCATTTGATGTTAAAAACGATAACATTTCATAGATATTTTCAATAACTTTTTGATGTACTACGAGCGTTGTATCTTGTTAGAATTAGCAACCCTCGTAGCAACTATATAGCTGGACGGATTTTAACAAAACTACTTTTCAATACTTTTTGAAAAGTAGTATCTAAATTTTTTTATTGGATAACTCTGAATTAATAGACACATACGTCTAGTACATATTATTATTATCAGGAATCATTTTAATTACTGTAATGAAATATAAATTTATACTCAGATAGTAAGTAATTTGACAGTCTAAATCAAGATTTTGTACAATAGACAAGTATGTACTAATTTCTATAAGTATAAAGTTGTAGGCAGTCATAGAATTGATTCTATAAATGAAATCAAGCACATCATTTTACAATCCTTTAATAGGTTCATAATGCAGTAGATAAATATAAAAACTTATTTTAATAATGACGGCACAAATGCATTTAGACAATTAGTCTTTTACTCATTTCTTAGAAGCTAATCTGGCTAATATCTATTTATACTATTATAACATAAAATTACCTTAAGCTAAAGCTACAAAATCGTGGAGAATCAACCCACATACAGCCTTTCAAATAGAACAAAGCATTTAAATAAACTTATTAAATTATTACCACACTCTATTAATGATAAATAGAGTGCTACAACGCATCCGTCGCAGCAGGTGCAAATTGTATAACCGAAGTGTGACGTACTTCAGGTTCTGGCGGAGGTATAAGTTTCCATTTGCGAGGCGGCAGCGAAGATCGTATATTGTATACGGTATGTTGTGGCGCTAATATTGGCATTGGTGGCTCAGAAACAGGTGGAGGAGAAGTTGAAGGGACAGTATTCGCAGCTGGTACCGCCGGACATTGAGGTGATGGCGGTGAACTTGGCGGTGTTGGTGGTAGTTGCTGTAACGCAGCTTCCACTAAATCACACATTACATTTCCATTCATTACTAGCGGTACGGAGGACTGCATAGGTGGTGCACGAGGAGTTTCAGCACCATGCTCCTTATATATATGGGCTTCCATCTGTTTTTTCGTATTAAATGTCCCGTCACAAACCGTACAACGATAACATCGTTCACCGTAATGTTGAAAACGATGCAGTTTCAATACATGGTTGTAACCAAAATCTCTAAGGCAAATGTCACAGGTATAAGGTCTCTCTCCAGTATGAGTTCGCGAGTGTACTTTAAGTTGCTTTGAACAAGTAAATCCTTTTCCACAGCCAGGTGCAGGACAACGATAGGGTTTTTCACCTGTGTGTGTTCTCAAATGAATAACTAATTGCCCAGACTGTATAAATGTTTTGTGGCAATGGGGACACGCGTGAGGCCGCTCCCCCGTATGAATTCGGGCATGACGATGGAGTTTCCCAGAGTGTTCAAAAGCTGCATCACACACACTGCACCGATATGGCCTTTCCTTAGTATGGATACGGCGATGCACCTGTAAGTTTTCCTTGACACTAAACATTTTGTGGCAGTATTCGCATTCGAAGGGTCTTTCACCCGTGTGTGTTCGATAATGCCGCACGAGCCTCGCTGGCACAGCAAATGTTTTATGACAGACATCACACCTATGAGCATCTGCAGCGACACGGTGCGATCGCGCGTGAGCTGTTAATGCACTTCGTGTAGAGAGCGTCAAGCCGCATTCCCCGCATTGATGAACACGTTCTTCTTCACCTGTCGAACGTAATGATTCATGTTCAAACGTAGTAATAGAGTTCATTATTTCAATAGATGAGGCAGGTCCCCAAATATTGTTAATTATAAAACATGTAAACGCGACGACCGTTCACAGTGCACTGTGTGTTGTGTATGGTATGCAACGATCAGGAAATATCAGGATGCATATAAGACCAGAGAGGGGTGCGAGCGGGAAAGGGGAGCGGATCACTAGAGAGTGAATGTCCTCTGAGAGCACGTGGAGGCCAGTACCGCGATTTCGACGCGACGAAACCGCGGTGCGCGCCTCCACGTGTTTGGGCCGCCGACCCCGAGTTCACTCCAATGTAGGTACCCCGCTTCTCTTCCCACATACCCTACCTCATCCTATTTTTGTTATGCGTACATTCTACTCTTCCCGTATATAGATAATAATTTATAAGTACAATAAACTTAATTAAAAAAAAATAATTAGTAACGAACGACGTGGGATAAATGTATCTAGGCAACTTTAGAATTGAACATCTGCATATCTATTTATTAAGCTAAATACTACCTAAGCATTTCATAAATATTGTGTGTTATTTTATATTATTTGTTTCTATTATTGCACTGACTTAAGTTGTTATAAGATATAAAATTGTTATTCTATACTAGCTTTTACTCGCGACTTCGTACACATGACTGGGATATGTTCACTGAACGATATAAAAAGTAGCCTCTTCCATCCAATATAGTACCAAATAAATATAATACCAAATTTCAATGATTGGTTAAGCCGTTAAGGCGCTATAAGGTAACAAACAAACTCATTTTCCTATTTATACTAGAAAGGATAGGCTAGTAGGTAAGTGGGAACTGGCTATAAATTTGTTAGTGTCCCATGTAAAGAAGCTTAAATCTAGATGTTTTAGTCTTAGAATCAGTATTTTACGTAAAATAAAACTAACATAAGTTTATTAATAAATACGTATCTATAATATAAAATATAGATAATATTCGTTAAGTAATGTAAAATAATATTTAGTTTGCTTACCTATCATATTCCACGACGATAATGATTGATCACTTTCTCGAGGGCTATACGTATTATTTAGGTATAATGGCGTTGATGTTGGTGTAGGTTGCGCACAAAGTCCGAGATTACAAAACGAGCGCTCGCTCAAACGACGGTCGGCGGCTGAATGCGAGCCGCGCGCAAGGAAATTCGTTTGCGACCGTCCCACCGGGTGACGAGGTCGCGACGCGAGCGAGCAGCTCAACCTGCTATTACTCCGCTCCACCGCCACCACCACCGCCACCGCTCCTCTCCGTCTTTGCTTTGCAGTCGCACCTAATCGCATTGTAGTTTATTGCTTTGCTATAAGGATAGTTACGTAGTGCTGTTATAGTTTTGTTTTTAGATAATTGTAGGCATAAGCATTTAATTAGAAGAAATATTTGCTAGATACCAAATTGAATATCAACTCTATAGATCTACCTACCTATTCTATGTGTGTTTTTTTTATAAATAACTATTTAAGAAATACTTAAATCTATACCTACTTATCTACCTAGTCTCAATTCTTCTTATCTCGATTCTTCTTAAAATTAAAACTACATTTAATAGGTACTCTGTTACATACATTAAGATTTTTAATTACGTACTTTATTTTATTAATTCAAGAAAATATTTTATATCTATATAAGTAAGCAAGTCTTTGTGGTAGGTATTAGGTGCATAATTACATTCTTTAAGTATTTAAGGAATATTCATTATTATTCATAATTAAACTGTTATATGTTTTTATTTATGTATGATTATTATTATAACCACGATAGACTGTAGACAACATTATATTGGTAAGTTGTACCTACACGTTCTTTCAAGATGCGCGTCGCGAGGCAGCATGAACGCGCGCGGTACGCGGTAAGCGGAGAGCAGGGTAACGCTACACGTGGAGGCCCACCGCGGTTTCGAGCGCGCGTGTGAACTGGCAATATGAGTGCGTGCGCGTGCGTAACTTTGAACCCTCCCCCCATCTTTGTCTTCCCCTAACGATATCTGACTTTGTTTTGTCTGTCTAGGACAACATAACATGAACTACGATAGGTACGCCTTTAGAAGGTAGCTAACCATTTTGTAACCGTAACCTATTAAAGAACATATCTATAATTGCTGCATTTTATTTAGAAAACAAAATGTGCCTACGGAAATACAGATAGATCCTTAAATATATTTAATTCACTTAATTGAATTACTAAAACTAAATTAAACCTAACCTTTTTACTGGAAGGGAAGGGATTGTTGATAATGGAGGTGTAAAAGCCCTATTGTTAGCAATATACCCTATACCAGATAGATTTCACGTAGTTCCTCCTGAAAACCATCGTAGTTTATTCTTATCGGATTCATCACGATGGGCCAAGTGACCTGTTTTCACCTCACCTTTCAGGATTCACTGTTGCCGTGCCAACGTGTACCGATACCGCAGGCGGGATTATCATCATCATCGCCCTTCAAAATCAAAATCCTTTTTTACTAAATAAACTAATTAACAGGAATTGATCATGAAATTGAAAATTATATGGTTAAAATTTTACTTACATATCTAAATCTCAAGAAAAACAAATGCAGGGAGAAAATTACACTTCATAACCATAAGTATAACATGAGAAAAACGCAGTATTTCATATAAATAACATAGTAGTAATAACAATATAATAGTGGGCTTTAACGCCGTACCTAAGGAACGAACCGTAACAGGAATCGCTTTGTTTAATTCGCCAATGTAAATGTAATAGTTAAATTCGCGGACAACAGCGTCGTCTCAATTGCATATAGCCTTCAATATTATTACATATTTTAAACATTAAATAAATGTTTTCAAGGTAGTATATATATATATATATATATATATATATATATATATATATATATATATATATATATATATATATATATATATTATATGTACGTATAGGTATACGGATTTATTAAAGTATGCCGAAAGGTAGTATATATATATATATATATATATATATATATATATATATATATATATATATATATATATATATATATATATATATATAAAGTAGGTACCCAACATCTACTAGTTATAAATTTAGTATCATAGTATGTAGATGTATAGTTAAAGTACATGATCTATGACTTACAATGATAAATATTAGACATACAATTTAATTACTTTTATTGTCATTTTTACATTTTATTATTATTATTGACATTATTTTTATTGTTATAAGTTATTATAATTTTAATTTTATATTGTACATGCCTATATGGTAGAATGTGGAGGAATGAACATGTAAATAATATTTTCATCTAATGTATGTACCCATATTCGTACAATAAATGATTTGAATTTGAATATGAACGAAATAAATTTAGTTCTACCTTGCATGTAATATTCTACAGTGTTATTCTATAAAATTTCGCACTACATTACACAACGAATTTCATTTTGAACTTATTTAATTTTAATCTCTATAAGCTTTAGGAAAGACATGTGAAATTAAGTTTTGAAAACTAAAATACGCTCGTTCCTAAAGATGGCAATACACTTACTCCGGTTCATTACGCCGCCACCAGTTCACACGCGAAATGATGCTGTCATCCATCTTACTTGTTCACAGAATACAAAATAAATCACTCGAGGATCTGCTAGTAAAATATGAGTTTAACTTTACAGAATACTACCATTGTTCTATGACTTTTCAATTGTCCACTTTTACTTCTAAGGCAAAGAGGGAGTTTTCTCTTATTATACCTATTTTAATTTGTAACTAAGTTACGTGATTATGTTGACAAAAACTGAACCGATTTTGATGACTATTTTTTTTAATTAATTATGTTTACTCCCATGATAATCTCATATTGATTTTGTGACGAAGAATTTTGAAACTTATTTTTCTTTTTTTTAATATAATGCGTAATGTAACAAAATCAACATTATGCGCCTTTTAAAATCAATGTGTGTGTTCACGTCTTTTTTTTTTGCAGAGCAATATATTTATTTATTTTATTTTTATATATTTTATATATTATATTTTTATTTATTTATATTATAATAGTACTTGTTTACATTTCAATAAATTATTCTTAAATGTAAGATTTAATCGTATTTGAAACATCTAAACTATAATACATATTCTACTAATAATTAATTATGCACTACTTGCACCTGTGTATACAAAATTTTGAAATCTATTGATGACTAGCATCTGTCCGTAACTTAGTACGCGTGTATTTTGCAAATAGGTGACCAATCCTAAATCATACACCAAATTTTAAGTGAAACCTTCAGAAATACAACTGTGATAACCGACGACGCCGAAATAAACATCTATATGTTCTATCTATACAGACTAAAATTGAAAAAAATGAATATTTTGACTTCTTTTGTTCGTATTTAAATTATATTATCTCTTAAATGTCTGTCATGTACAGAAATCGTTTAGTTAAAATTTTATTATATTTTTAAGATTTAAATTAAATGCCAATGCCATACTGATTTTTTTTAATTGTTCGAGACTGAAGTACAAATTTATTTCAGCAAACAAAGCGTTATTATGTAAGGAGTAGATATGAAAATAAATCTAAATATAAATAATTCTAATACACCAAATCTTTACAAATAATATCTGGTATTTTATTCATAATAAGAAATCGTAAAGATTTGTTTAGTGTGAACAAAAACTGTTATTCAACTATATAATAAATTGCCCACTGTGACTATAGTAATATTCTGTCAATTGACACCTATTGTAACATTATAGAATTCAAATTTATAATACTAATTCCTACTTATATAATTACTAATATTTAAACAGTTAAATATTAGATGAAAATACATTATATTCACACTATGACTCGATAGGTATATCTCACATAAAATCGAACATGGTTGATAAAAGATGCCATAGTCAGTAAATTTTCAACGGAAAATCAATCTAAGAAAATGGGTCTGATATTCAAAAGAACTTAGTTATGTAATTGTATTTTAAATTTTGATGTACAGATTATATATTTGTAGAAACGTTGCATGCTTGTATGCAGATAAGAACTGACCCCTCAGTTCAAACGTTTGCGTTGAAAAACTAACAAAACACATCTGACGAGTTATCGACAACGCTTATTCTAAATTTTCAACCCAACCTTTCTTTTGTACGTAGTCTCGAAACAATTTTCCCTATGGTATATATATATATATATATATATATATATATATATATATATATATATATATATATATATATATATATATATATATATATATATATATATATATATATATATATATATATATATATATACATATATATGGGACAAATTCGAATCAATTGAAATCGACTGAGCTTACGTGAAGAGCTGTGTATTTAGGCTGTATATTTGCAAATGTTAAATCTTAAAGTTGACCCTCTACATCTTGCTCAAACTAGTATAAACTGGCCTCGTTTTCCTGGGCTTCTTATTTCCATAAACGGTAGAAGCTATTTATCTCTGCGTCCTATATTGATTTTTGTGATCATAAATCGATAAAACAGATCATGTCTTCATTACTTCGTATTTTAGTCTTAGATCGAGTTATTTTGTTTTCATAACATTGTTTTAGTTTACGCAACATTGGGATCGATTCTGAGGCGACGTTTCTCTAAACAAATCTCTTAACTTAATATTTTAATTTAAAATTTTTACTGTTTTATAGATCATAATAATTTTAAATTAGATTTATAATAATTTTTACTTAGATGTATTAAAAGTTTAGTTTATATGATTATTAATTGAAATTTTCTATTCAGATAGATAGATCAGGTAGATTTAGAGAAATACCATATTAGAATTGATCCCAATTTTTTCTTAATCTATCTATCATCATCATATCAGCCATTAACTATCCACTACTAAACATAAGGCTTCCCCAAAAAGGAGGTTTTGCCAGTAGTTTCTACGCTTGGCAGGCGGGTTAGCAACCGCAGTTAAACTTTGGTAATGTTTTAAGAGCTGCCTATCCCTCAACCTTTAAGTTTCTTTAGCCGCCTTTTACGACATCAATGGAAAAGAAAGGGGTGGTTCACTCTGTGCCAAAACTACACGACAAATCTATCTGTATTTATACTATATTATAAAGAATCATGATTGACTGTCTCATCATAGCCAAAACTACTAAAGTTAGAATTACCAAAGATTCGCAGTCGATTCCTTTTATGACCTATACAAATAATATAAAAGAATTTTTCGAAATTCAGTCCCTAAAGGTATAAAGGTATAATTTTGTATACATTTACTTAACCGATAGATACTTAAAATTTACTATAAATACACTTAAATAAAAATGATGAAATTTTATTTCAG